ACAAATTGAATTATTTGTAGCCACGAACCAAGTATCATGGACAATTCAAGGCTGTGTGAGTGAGGTTTGGTTTTGTGCAGAGTTGTGCTGCTGGAGGGTGCTGCCAGATGTAAAATGGGTAAGGCAAAGGGTGTGACTTTCCCTTTGGACAATAGGCTATAATGAAGTCACACCAAAGTCAGAGGTCTCTCCAAACACAAATGGCCTAAACATATCTTCATCTCGGCAAGGAAGAGACATGATTAACGGTTTATTATTGTTTTTATTCATAAATCCATGACATCCCAACATCATTCAAAATATATGATACATTTTTTTTTAACATAGCAATACAGTGTGCAACCTGTTAAAAGAGAAAATTCAGAAGCACATGAAATACATACTTGGCAATGACAATCATGGATTGCTTAGCTATCCAGGTGTCTTGGTAATAAATCTAACCAATTTGTAATACACCTCCCTGCCCTGCCAAATAATGCAAGAAGAGGTCCCACTTCCCTGCAAACTTGTCCCCCCTGCTTTCGCCCCTCATTACTGTATGTCTTGTGTAAACGTTACAGCTGGGGTAAGAAACCAGACTTTGGGCCTCCATCCTTTCAATGAGAACTGCTTGGAGTACTTCCAATTTAGATTTACACCCTGTTCTTCCTTGCAAAGGAGCCCAGAGCAGCAAACAAGTGTTTTTAAAAAATAAAAAGACAGCATCTTACAAACAATTCCAATTCAGATGCAGACTAGGAAAGATGTCAGCTTAAAAAGCCTGGATGTAGTTTTTTGCAGCTCTTCAAGGCTGTGTCACTAGAGTAGAGCTGAAAACCAATCTTCTGCAGCATAGAAGCTGTTGGACATCGGCACCCGATGTTGTTGGACTTCCATCATGCCACTCCAATGGCCAGGCTGGTTAGGGCTGATAAGAGCTGGAGTCTAACAGCATTTGAAGGCCACCGTGTTGGGTATCCCTGTTCTACAGTCTCCCCCAAAAAGGATTCAGCTTGTAAATTTTTCTAGTCTTTAATTCACAAGGATTCAGTTCATGTCACACAATACCTTTGCCGTGCCTTACAGTTTTAGCAGAGGCTTTAATAAAATAAAATTTAAAAAATAAATGGGTGGTGCTTACACTCTGCTCATACAGCTGCTTATCTCACTTGTTACTTTGGGGCCAAGGTGTCCCCCCCCCCTTCTCTTACTGTGGGCTCCCCTACCAGGTTCACTATGCACATCATGCTCTGGCAGAAAAGGACAGACACTAAACAGAAGCGCTATTAAGGAAGACAAAGTCTCTTGAGCATCGCTTCCAGCTACACATTAGCTATTAAAGAGGCACTAGTCAAGATATCTCATAAGCATCACCCTGTGATGTGGATTTGATTTGACCCAGATATTACACAAACCCATGAACCAGCAACGAACAGATGCATAAGCCAAGAGCTTATGTTAGAGCCACTCAAACGATTTCTAGAACCAGAGAGATTTCAGTCAGAAATTCCCTGGCTCCTTAGCTCCATATTTAATGACAAACTGCAAGGTTGAGGCCTAAATGTAAAAATTACCTTGCATCGATATTAAACGGCTTTTAAAACCGCAGGACACACAAGCACACAGTCCCTGGTACTCCAAGTAAACCTGGATAGGATTGCACTATTACCCGCTTGCCTGAAAGACCTAAGGGGAGTACCAGCATTTGAAAGCAACTGGCACTACTCTGCAGTTCTTTATGTAGGATGTAGCACAGTAAAAGGAAGAAACATGGAAGGTGAAACCAAGTCTGCAATTATGAAAAGAACAAAACTAATCCGGATTGCAGACTGAACAAATAAGAACTTAAGGAGAGGCCAGTTGCATCAGGCCAAAGGCTCATCTAGTTCCCCTCTGGTTGTTATACTGACCTGCCAGATGACTGTGGGAAACCAACAAGCAGGACCTGAATGAAAACAGTGTGGCGATGGAGCTTAATACAAATGCAACTGTCAGAGCCCTTTTGGTTTTGGGTGCTAAATACTAGTAAGTGCTACTGCTACAAATGCTTTTCATTCTGGACCAAAATATCCATTTGTGACATTGCTTTCTTTAAAAAGGTTTTGCTTGGCTCAAGTGTAGCAATGACTGCCAAAATGAGAAATGATGGCAAAGATTTTCTCTGTGTTGAAATAAGTGCGCATATATATATATATATATATATATATATATATATATATCAACAAACAGAAAGTCTTTGATATCATTTTTCATTTCAGCAGTCATTGCTATTTGCTACACATATAAACAATCCTTATGTTCTTGCACCGCAATTTACGATTTAGCTCAAAAAAGTAAGAGTGCTTGCTTTAGTGGAAATTACAATGCTTGCAATTTGTGCCCTCTAGTTCTCTTCCTGTTATTTTACAGACACTGTACTTGGAACAGGCTACTCATATCAGAATAGAAGCTGTCAACATGAATATTTATACATTAGAAACAGAGATTGGGGGAGAGAGAAAAGGTTCTTTTCAGATACATAGCTAGATGGACTCGGAAAGGCCACAGTATCTTCTTCTATTCCCAGACTTTCTATTATAAATTATGCTTTTAAAAAGCCACTACAGTGGATGCTCGGGTTGCGAACGTGATCCGTGAGGGAGGCACATTCACAACCCGCAGCGCTGCGTCTGCACACGTCGCGATTCGGCACTTCTGCGCATGCGTTAAGTGCGAGCGTCGAAACTTGGAAGTAACCCGTTCCGGTACTTCCGGGTTCGGAGTGGTGCGCAACCCGAAAACACACAACCTGAAGCGTCTGTAACCCGAGGTATGACTGTATTTGTATTTATATTTAGCAACATGTTATACTTTATTTATTTCTTTGGAGGGGGTTGACATTAGCTTATACTGAACAATCTGTGCTGCATTATCTGATCAGCTTAAACATCCAAAGAGAGCATTCCTCAGCTGCATTTTATAAAAGGTAGGCTCTCATTTTCATCTTGAAATTTTTGAAATGCATACTGGATAAAACAGTGCAATTTCCTCCTGTAACTTTACAAGCTTGGCTGTGTGTACTCAGCAATGGATAAAATCCAAATTTGCCAGAGTATCTTCCAAAAACATCTGGCTTTTGAGATCCACATAGTAAGTACCCTTACTATGTAAGACCCACAAGTAAGTACAAGATAAAATATTATGCATGCTTTGCATTATTCATTTTGCTTGTCAGACTATGCTGGACCCTATAGCCCCAACCCCCCCTCCCCCGCCCAAGTATTGAACCCCAATAAGGTTTAGTAAGGCCCACCCTGGCACCTGCAATTTCAGCTGGCAGTACCCACAGTTTTGTTACAAAGCCCATCTTTGCAGCTCAAAGGGGCAACAAATTGCCCGTTAAAACATGAAAAAGAGCACCATTGGCTTTAGCCCTCTGTGTGTCCTTCTCTGTTCAAAAAGGAGCACGGCATGAATAAAACATGGTGGAATGTGACAATTGGAAATGGATGAGGCTTCTGCCTCTCATTTTCTGTCTTTCTCCTCCTGTACCCAATGAAGTCATCTTGCATCTCTCACTAGGACTGTGCCATTGCATAATTTACTTCGGCCTTGTGGCAATATTTTTTTTGAAAAAAAGTGAAGCTGTTCTTGGGCACACCATTTTTAACTTGGAATAAATAAGTGAAAATGGAGCAGGTGAGGATTTCCAACTCCAGCACCCATCAGACTGCATTTGGCAATATAATACTTGTAGCTTTCCTATCATGTATGTATCTTGGGGGGTGCCTTTAGAGATTTTGTTAAACTTATATTTGCATTAGTTGTTGCAAAATATATGACCAACAAACTCTAGAATTGGGATTCTGACTCAAACCAAATCAGGCAGTTGCTTTGGATGGAATAAGGATGCGATGAATTGGCTTTGAACCCAATTTTGTGGTTGGTGTACATCCCTAATATAAACACCAAACTATACCCAAGGCTATAGCTTGATAAGCAAAGCAAGTTAACAATGATACAATTATTTCTCCCAAGACCTTATTTGTTGCCTTTTTATGAAGTTGCACCATAAAGCGTTAATATATGACGACAAGCACATAAACTGCCCTAATAACTTGGAGGGCCACAGTATAGGCCTTACTAATAAACATATATACAGGTGACTCCCCATTTATGTGGGGGTTATGTTCCCAACCCCCCCTATGCGAAATCACCTAAAATGGGGTGTTGCCTGTATCAGCTCAGCTGATGCATGGGTAAGAGCCTCCCTATTCATCAGCTGTGGGAGAACCAAACTGTTCGTCTACTCATGTGCACATTACTCCACTTCTGGTCCACATCATCTGCGTCAGAGATGCATTGTTCCTCTGGCTCGCACATGCAAGCAGAGGGTCAGCTCTGCTCTCTCACAGCTGACAGGTGGGGAAGCAGCTGTTTCCATGCTACCCTGAAAATCAGCTGTTAGGCAGGAAGGACTCATGCTCACAAGGAGATCCTCCCCAGAGCCTTAAGAGGACATCCTATTCAGGCTCTGGGAAAGGTCTCCTGACAAGCCAGAACGCCTCTCCAGGGTGTCCCCCATTTCCAGAATCCACTTCTGAGATCCTGGCACCACGTGTGTTTGTGGTCACATGTAAACAGAGCACGTGCAGATGGGGAGTTGTCTGTACTCCAAAAGAAATCACAGAGTTTAAATTCAGCATGCCAGCCAAAACTGTTCACCATTACACAGGAATGTACATTTCAGAATTTTGTGATCATGTCTGGGTAAAATTCAGTCAAATTTAAGCACTTTTAAAGTCCCAGTGATTTCAGTTTTTTGATGTTTAACTTGTTAATTAATACATATACCTAATTTGTGTGCACCATATAAGATGCTCACAAACATGTAATACATTGGAGAAGCCTGCAGATAGTTTAACTCCAGATCAACTGGAAATATTATTAGCAATGCTCATACACACAACCTCAAAACTGACCTCCTCGCTTTCAATTTTGGAATAACAGAGAAGTCACAAAAACACAATAAATACTGCATATTATCGTTACAGGAAGTTTAATTTGTTCAGCTCATCAAAACATCAAGGTTTTAGTGTACATTGTTAAAAAAACAACTACAATTCTACTTCAGACTAAGATACTGAGAATGGAGAATCTTCAAGGATATTCTGTTCCCTGACCTTCGAAGGTCAATCTTGCTACATTCAAGGAAGTAGCTCTGCCTTTATTTATCAATATTAAGTAAGGCTGGGTTTTCAGAATGGGGATTCATATTACTGCCTCTTATTGGCAAACTTGTATGCAATTTAGAAATTTAAGGTAGATGTTGAAGAGAAGCAAAGTTTAATAGTATGGAAATCACTCCAAGAAAATATAAGCAGGACATTTAAGTAATTCAAGGGCAGGTTCTGAAGCCAAGTGTAAACAAGGCTATGGTGCATGGCTAGAAAAACACATTATTTTTCAGATGAACCAATTTAGAGGATGTCTTGTGAAAGCGGAATGCTGAAAAGCCTTATTATTGATTTGGCAGTATGTACATTTCGAATGAATGCATTTTTATAGAGAAGTATATAAAACAAATAATCAGTGTCCTTTTAAGAACGTAACTAAAATTTGAAATGAGAGGCTCATTTGCTTGATCTATGTGTTCTGCACTCTAATGTTCTTCATGTCTCTTAGCAGCACTGGTCTGTAGGTTAGAGCCAAGTTTTCCATGTATTTGAAATAATCACTCACTTGAAATCCATGAAGTGCTTCTTCCTGCACATTGCACAAAAGCAAAGTATTAGCCAGGGGGAAAATGATGGATATTAACATTTGAGGCTTTCCCAAGAGGCAACTTGTTTTATTTTTTCATCCCATTTAGAAATTTGTTCTGTTTCCATTGTAATACACAGATACTGCATTATGACAAAAGTGAAAAATAGACACATCCGTTTCTATACAATGGTGTCTAATGACATATTTACTAACGGAATTAATAAAGCAAAATGAGGATTTCAAACTTTACATATTTCTTAGCTGTATCAGTATACATAATTTGAAGTATAAAATAAGCTCCAATTTATCAGTAGCCCTAGTTAAAATAAATTACTGTTTAATATAAATGAGCAGTGTGTTATTTCATGCTGCTCCAAACTTCCCAATTTGCTTCAACCTGGTCCTACCGCTGCCACACAGCAAGAAAAGCAGCTATGACACTGGTCTCATCGTTCATTTGTCTCCAAATAAAGAACAAATGGAAGCCTATGTTTGTTCTTAGTTTACTGCTTATAGTTTGGAAATAAACAAGCCACAAGCCTGATGCAGACAAGGTAACCTGAGGTTTGTTTCCTCAGCACAGGAGTAGCATGCTGCTCTATCACACTGAACCATCATGGCCAACTAACATTACCTTGTCCCATACCCTTTGTTGCATGCCATGTCCTATTTTGTTTCTGACAAATTAAACCAACCATCTTGTTAGAAGGTTAGCACTAGCTGCATTATGAACGGTACATTTTGAACGTCTTTTAAAATAAGATAATTGGGAATTAACCCAAGGACAGACAAGTTTAATTATTATTATTTTAAATTTATATACAGGGCAGTTTATGATAGAAAAACACAAACATGAATAACATAGTAACAAATAAAAACAATAACACCCCACAACAGAGTTTAAAAGGGCACAGATGGTTTAAGGCCTGGGTGAAGAGGAATGCCTTTGCACTGATTTGCTATTGAGGGATAAGGAACTGCAGACTTTTGTTCCCCCAGCTCCTACCACAATGCTGGCAAGAGCTGGAGAAAGATATTTTCCAAAGCTATCCACTGTTAAAGTAATCTTAGGGACATGGTAAAACTTTGCAAGGTGCAGAGCATCGGTGAAGTCGGTAGTTCTAAACAGAAGTGGTTGTGAATTCCTCTACAAAACAACAGCAAGTGTTGCAGATGTTAATATTTGCATCTCATTTGCAGCAACTGTAGCATTAATGGCTAGTAAACACTGGGGAGAATAAGTAAGTTTTTAGTATACACTGAAATCAATGCTTTGTCAGTGCTTCCCTTAACCTAGAGGCAAGTTTAGTTGTTACTTTGAGTGATGTAAACCATATGGAAATACAAGATGAGAATTTTACTGCCTTTCCACATTAAGGTTTTGATGGGGGAAAAGTAATTCAGATACTGTTTTGTTTGTCAATAATTGTGTGCATACCTGTATGATGGTTACTAGATGCTTCAAATCATCTATCTAAAATTGCATATTATATATTATGTCACTGTGCAAAAAAAGTGAAACACTTGGTTGGAGTATTATGGGCCACCAAAAACCTCACATACTGTAATGGAGGATAGTGGTTTTGTTAGAGAATCTTCCACTTTTATCCATATATATTATTATAAAGTAATTACATGACAAAGAGCAGCTGGCTCTTCTTGAAAGTCAGCATCAGAAAAATTGGGATAAGAAAATGCCCACATAGACTTTTGAGGTGTGGGTGGGTAGGAGAGGAGGAGGAAAAGGTGACCTGACGGGCCCACAATCCTAGCTACAACTAAATACTGACTTTTAGTATCAATGGGATGAGTAATTAGAAATTATTTGCTTTATGAAGCAGTTAATAAGGCTTTTATTGGAGAGATTTGCAGTCAATTGTCTCAGCCTACTAGCAAGGGAAATCCATGTGCAGAAAAAACCTACCACGTAATAACCAACATGGATGCAGATGTTTGTCTGTATTACAACGCACACCTGAGTTCCATTAAACTGGCTTCTGCACTTGATGTAAATAGGTTTGTACATTCCTATATGTAGCCACAAACTGTTGCACACAGCTTCAAGTAGACTGGGTCCTCTTAATTAGAGTTTCCATTTTAATGATGCACTGCTTTGTGTACTTAGTACTGTGTTTCCTTCAAACAATGTATTGTATTCTAAGGGTGTAATTTACAACCAATTAAGTCCAGAGTATTCTAGTTAAAATTAAACTGGAATCAGATATGGTGGATTTCTTTTCCAAAATCTGCCAAGTCAAGCCTAGTTATTAAAGTCTAGTTAGGACAATTTGACAGAGAGTGTAAATTAAAATCGTGTTCTTTCCTCAAAAAACATTTATTTTTCTCTTTTATAAAAATACAGCAAACCCCATGATTCCTTATAAAATGTGTTCAGCACACTTTTAATGAGAGTTTCATAATTTTTGACCTATTATTTGGCCTCTGTATCTTAAGAACTATTTAATCATGATGGCCTGTCATCAGATGTTAAGATGAATTTTATTAGGAGGAAGAATAGCTCTGGTGTGTTGTTTCCTGCTATATAATGAGGACTACAGATCTGTCATGCTATTTTAAAATGAATGTCAAAGATTTTAAATTAAAAGTATATTTTGGGAATCACATTATACAAAATGGCTGTTATAGACAGGCAGCAGCTAATGGCATGTTTAAACAATTAACTTGATATTTCTTATTTTAAAAGTATTATCCAGTCTAGAACGATATATTCAGCTTTGATTCTAAAGTTATGTATATCAAACAGGGTTTATTAAATTTAATATATATAATGCCTGAAGCAACTCTTTTCATACAGAGAATTCTACTTTGGAGTTTTCGTTTGTGCATTCTTAGAAAAGGTAAAGACAGATATGAAACTTCAATAGAAAAGCAGCTTTCAGAAAATAATAACTCATTTAACTTCATCTTTAAAATTTATATCCCTACCTCTTTGCCCAAAGACTTAGGGGCAGGGGACAACAATAAATACATAATTAATGTTAAAACAAAACAATAATAGTAGAATAAAAACAGTCTGCCTAGGTGTCAGTCTACATTTAAAGGTCTTTAGCTGAGTCCTAAACCTGAACGATGTCAGCACCTGTCCAATGTCTGGCAGAAGTGCTTTCCGCAACTGGGGTGCTACTACTGAGAAGGCCCTCAGATGGGTTATAAAGTCCCAAACTATTCTCAATGATGGAACCATCAGAAAGCTCTCCCTAACAGATTTCAACTCACAGGCAGGTTGAAATGGGGAGAGGCAATAGGGATAAGGAAAAATATATATTCTGACCACCTAAATTAGTTACCAGAACATGCAAAGCACTGACATAGTTACCTTCTCAATGACCATTCATTCAGCTTTGAATTAACTCAGGTTTGCCAAAAGCTCATTTCTAGTTCTGAAATTCTTCACTGAGTTTACTGAGTTAATGCAGCCGCTACACTTATGAGGAGACAGGACTATCATGGATACTTTAGCTGAGATTTGTGCATTGCAGGGGGTTAGATTAAATGACCCCTGTGGTCCCTTCCAACTCTACAATTCTGGTTCTAATAAAAGGCAGCTACTGTTTCTGCAGAGTAATGTAAAGCTTAGAAATAAACAAGTCTATAGCTTAAAAATTTTAAGAACAGCCCTGATGGATCAGATAAAAAAATCAATCTAGTCCAGCATTCTGTTCCAACAGGGTTCAGCCAAATCTCCCTGGAAATATCACAAGCAAAGTATTTTGCTCAAAGTCCATCAAGGATATGGCATTCTGTAAAAGAGAATGACATATCAAGATCAGGCTCATCACCAATTCCCAGCGAACAAACAAGGAAGAATCTATTTCATATACATTTGGCATATGCATTTGTTTTCTTTAAAGGATTACAGAAAGGATATTTTCCTTTGTCACTAAGTAAAGCTATGAAGAAAACAGACTGAAAACAAACACATATTCAAAGAATAATTTGTTAAGTTTTTCTAAAAACTTGACATCAAATCTTCAACACTGTTCTATTATTCTAAGTCATGAAGATAAAGAAGAAATTACTTTAAGAAAAACTTGGAGATCCTGAGTCTGCGTATGCTGAAGAATTTCTTGCTGTAGATGCTTGAATACAGATATACACATATAAATCTGATAATCTGGGCCAAGAAAAATACAAATGGCAATGTAATGGCAGATCTCGCTCCAGTCCAAGTAATTCCAGAAACACTGAGTCAACCATTGTTGACAGATCTAGGAAAAAAACAATAATCCAATTCATCACTTCCAACAGCAACTGTTCCACATAATGCATCCAGCTCTATATACTCCATTCTGAGGTCCCTTGCAATTGTCAGCTACCATAATTTACAACAGAAATCCACCCCCCACTCCCCGCTCTTAGTCATTGGGGGGGGCAGCACACCCTGTTTCGCCACTGGAAGTGAAATGTTTTTCCCTGGAGGTTCCCAGAGCTCACTGAAACCCTGAATCACTGCCACTAGTAAGGGCTTGTCTGGGAAGGCAGCACTTCCGTTTGTAAAAGCAACTAAAGCTCTAGACCACGTCCCCTATGCTAGGGGGAGGCATCTTTTCTCAAAGAATTTGAACTAAAAAGGAATGAGGGAGGTGTGTCATATCATCATCTCCCAATTGATCATTTGCACTGCATCTTCTTTCTGGCAATCATGGGCATAAACAAGTTTCCACCTTAGTGTAGCATCATTAAAAACCCGGAAGAAGAATTGCTACATGAAAGAGTTTTCTAGTGAAGAATGTCACAAACAGTAGTACTTTGGTTTTGTTTAATGTGTTTGTATTTAGCAGAAGAGGAGCTCTCCAACTTTTTAATAAATCTGACATTCTGTTATTAAACTGATTATGAAAAACAAAATTAGAATAACTGTTCTTTTTGTTGATCTCTACCATGACAATTTCATTTAGCTGTGAACTTATGAATCTTGTGTTAATCAGCCTGTAAATATTTACAAAAGTAAATCAGGCAAAAGTACTAATTTGATTGCAAAAGATAAGGTTTAAAACAGATTTTAGCTTGCTTCATTTGTAATCCAACAGTGACAATGGACTGGAACCAGACTTTTTCTTTTTGTGGACAGCTTCTAATCCAACAGAGAAAACCATTTTTTGTTGAGTCCCCCCTATACTCTATGACTCCAGAAAAACTTACCTAGAGGATTAAGGATCCCTTGGAAGGTAGCACTGGGGATTTTGAGGAATGGAAAAATCACTCCTCCTCTTTCATGGGAGTGTCCTGAGCAGAATTCTGCTTAGGGGATCCAGCAGGAACAAACTCTGAATCTATCCCAATTAGTGTTTAGACAGCAAAATTACTTTTGCTCTTTTCACTTAAAATTATGGTGTAAGAGCTGGCATCTAATGCACTGCCCAATTCTATGTATTTTCATTCAGAGGCAAGTCTCATTGTTATTCCTAAGCATTCAGATACTTCCAGCCTTACTGTAGAAACTGTACAATAAATAGTACATATCAGCAAAACAAACTGTTTTTTATTGCAGTAGCAATAATTCATTTTTTTGGTCTCACCTGTATAACTTGATTTCAAGTATGGTTATGAAGAACTACCAGACAAAAGCAATTCAATTTCAAAAAGCTCTCTCTTTCTACAATTCCCAGCTGACTATTCATTAGCAGTAAATATAATTTATAGTTAACTCTGCCCACTGCTGTGCATTTAAGGGTCTGACAAAGCTATTCTTTTTACCACTATGCTTTTTAAGAGAAAAAGAAAAATCTTCCTTCCTGTGAATTTCTTTTCAGAGTTGCTTCAACATGAAATGATTTAGTGGAAGTCCTACCCAGCTGGAATCTTGTCTTAATTTCCCTGTAAGCCTCATTTAACTTAATGAGATTTACTTCTGAGTAAACACCTAAGGGGCTGCACTACAGAAGAGGAAAGTGCTTTGGCTCCAGTTTTGCAGTCTCCCTTTCACTGACAGTCAAGGCAACCATTTTTTAAAAAAACAAATTGGAATATTTTTTATTACCTGTGACGACGTAAAACCAGACATATGGAACGCAGAAAAGACTAAGGGTAACTCAGCCTTCAGCAACATCTCAACATAGTGTGCACTGCAAAAATAGATTGGATGGATCCCAGACGCTGCTGTGTCAACGGGCAGGTGAATCTGGTCAATGAAGCAACAATACCCAAAAGGATCCTTATGATACAGCTTTTCAAAGGTCTACCTTCAAAAAAGATGTCACCTTCCCTCTGCCCATTCATTATCCACATGCAGAATAGAACAGTGATCGCTTTTCCTAATTTATGTCTAGCTGTAGAAAGTTTATTTGCTCCCAACACATCTAGGAAAAAAAAATACGGCAAAGTAGCCGGTAACATTTACCAATGCTTTGGGAGCAATGGGAAGAAAGGACTACCTGCTTCCCCCTTCCCTCCACAGCCCCCTGATAATCTGGTCCTGAAGGCTGCCCCCCCCCCCGGGAATATGGGACATAAGTGATGGGAGCTGCAGATGGATGGTGGAACTGGCAAAAACTGCATGTCCCTCTTAAATGAATGGAGAAGTGCCTTAGGATCCAAGTCACAGTCCTTGCCAGGGCCATACATTTGGCTGTCTTCAAGCAGCTGCATTGCGCATTCCAAAATGCGTGTTTCAGGATCCCTTGGAGTGTTGTCGAAGGTGTTGTAGCACACCTCTAATGCTGGACTGCTTCACGGAAACCAAGAGCTGCACACTAGAAAGAGCTGTGGCTCTTCAAGGAATCCTGGCATGCACAGAATTCCTTGGTGCCTAATAGAAGCATTTCGGTCCCAAGTGGACTGCTTGGGGTCTTTCTGCTGACCTACCTTTTGCAAGGAGGTTTACTAGCTCTAAAAAGTAGTGTACAGAAAAGCCTGTTCTTGCCAGAAACTCCATGAATTGACTGACAGCCTGCTTGCCTTAAACTGAGTTTATGACATTTAACTGCTAATTTGAGTGCTTTGTTACCAGTGTTAACAATATGATTTGGCTTGTGGCTTCCCTACTAGATGTGAACCATTGCTTTGACCTCTAATGGCCTTAGAAACAAACGGGCATCAACTGTGCAAGCGTCGAGGAAGTTCCAGAATATGATTTGGAATTGTCACATGTCCATAATGTTCACGAGTAGCACTTCTTGATCATGCCCTACACTATTTCTTAAACTCTTTTTCAAATCTTAGTCCCTCTTGCCATATGGCTTTATTATTTTGGGGTGCTGACATGTCTCAAGTGGGGAGCCACACTTGCCCTGTTTGCTCAGTTTTCTAGTATGTGGAAGTTTATGTTAGTAGGAGGGTAAAAAATTAAACATACAAGTTTTCATTTAATTCTGTGATTATTTATGTTAAAGGAAACTTGTATAAATATCTGAGATGCTAAAATAGTGAGGCTCTGACTAGCAGTGACAATGCAAGCTGGCTTACTTTTTCCCCCCTTATCCAAAATTGCTACTTTGTATCATTTAATGATTTTATAATAAAACAAAAGCTAATAATCTAAAGCATGAGCTTGCACATAGCAATAATAATAAAAAGGCCATTCAATAGTTCTATCTGCCTACATACAGAATTTAACACTACTAATAAAGTGAATTTTATGGCTCACTTTAAAATTCAATAACACCACCACTGCTATCTGTCTACCTGTTTTTTCCCTGGTTCCAGACAACCATTTGAGCAGATGTCAAATCCATATTTTTCTGAGAGAAATTTTGCAGGGCAAACATTTGGTTAAAAAAACCTTTAAGTAACTGCATTGTGTTCTGTTTATAAACAACTTTGGAAATATTAAATTTCATTTAAAATGTTCAGAGCAATCTTGTCAATATGAAACCTTTTTTGAAGTCTTACAGAACTGTGCAGCCGTGGTATCCAAAGGAATGCTGACACAAGAAGACGGGAGAACTGGTGGAGAAAATTTAATGTTTTTTCCCTGTCTCCCATCATTATTAGAAATACAGAAGATGCAAACCAATCAAAGCCGACGTATCCTCCCTGCAAACCACCTGTAGGAAAACGTTCAGGAAATCCAAGGGTTTGTTGTTAAATGCAGAAAAACCCTGCCATCGAAAACACATCTATTAGTAGACCATTATTAGAAAAGGAGCAGGCCTAGATACCAAATCCAGAGACTTTGTACATGCATCATGTACAAAGTACACCCCTTTCATTGCAATTGTGAATGCAAATCTATAACTGTGGGATGTCTGTGGATCTGCTTTCTACACTGGAGTAAGTGGGGAAACCACTGTAGATTTAAAAAAAACTCTGGGCAGAAATAGAAACTTACTGTATTTTTCTCACCATAGGACGCACCGGACAATAGGACGCACTTTGTTTTAGAGGGGGGAGAACAAGAAAAAAAAATTCTCCCCCTCTCTGCCCAGCGCCCCTTCAGCGAAGTGGCAGGAGGCGCTGTGCAGAGAGGGGAGAACTTTCCCCTCTTGCTTTCCCGCTCTAAAACAAGGTGCCGTTGAAGGTGCGTTCAGGTGGCTACCTTGGAAGCCTGGAGAGCGAGAGGGGTCAGTGTGCACTGACCTCTCGCCTCCAGGCTTCAGGTTCCTCGACCTGCTCTTTGGGCCTGGCAGGGGAAGCCCACCACCAACCCCAAAGAGCAGGTCAGGGAGCAGCGGAAAGGCGCAGCGGAGAGGCTCCTGCCATAGCCGCGCGTCACCCTCCAGCCGGGAGAGGGTCGCGGAGGGCTGCTTTAGCCCGCGCGCGCTCCCGGCTGGAGAGGTGACGCGCGGCCATGGCAGGAGCCTCACTAGCCGCGCGTCACCTCTCCAGCCGGGAGAGGGTCGCGGGGTGCTTCTTTAGCGGGGCTATGGCGTCTTCGCTCCATAGGACGCACACACATTTTCCCTTCATTTTTGAAGGGAAAAAAGTGCGTCCTATAGAGCGAAAAATACGGTAGATGGGAGAGCATCTGCTCTGGAAAATATGCCTGTTGAGAAAGGAAAATGTTATGAAGTTCCTGCCTATATGGCACAAATCTTTGTGCCATCTTAAATAATTCAAGAAGGCATCTTAAAAATTATTTTGACAGTTATACCGACAAAAGACTTGGTGATGTTTATATTATGAGAAAGGATACGCAACGATGTCCTTAGAACTGCCTGTTGTCGTTTCAAAAAATTTTCACAGTGCATTATTACATGGCATAGATCATCTTCGGCATTCTCTCTCAGCAGGTTCAAATGTTTACCATAGCTAAACAAAAAAATAAATAAAAATGTTTAACTTAACTAGAAGCTATACACATTTTCATTTACTTATTTCATTACGGAAAAGAGCACACCAGACATTAATGTGAGTGATTTGTACCCAATTGGCAGAAGCCTTAATCCACATCATATTTATAGGCAATCTATACTGGGAAAACATGTCTGCAGCTGTTTCTTTCTTTTAAACCTTGCTACTTTATTTAAGATGCATAACATTACACATAAAATAATAATCTGAATACAGAGAGCTCATGGAAGGGCTTGATACAAACCCAACAATATTTGTGACTCCTTCTTCAAACAGCTGAACTCCATCACCACCACCCATGGCACATCATAAACTGCATTTGAAAGTCCCTCATTCCCATATTAAACAGTTTTCCATGTGGCTGAGATGGCTGGTCTTCAAAAGAAAGCACTCTAAAGGCCCCTTGGGTTCGTGGTACTAGTTTAACGGTTCTTTGAATCCTGGCCTGACCTCTCTCTTCAAGTAAAGCACATTCTGCCACTTAAATGAGACCGCTGGTTAATTTCTGCGTGAAATGTATGATTTAATGGATTAAGGCACTGATTTGACAAAATTATGCTCTTTCTGTCATAGATGCTGCAACTGCATGCAAAAAATGATGCAGTTACTCAGATTGCTGTTCCACTAATGTAAACAATAATCCCAAACCTTCTTTATGCCCAGCTCCAACCAAAGTTGTTGGTGGTTTTGCTGGGGACATAGGTATATTAAAGTATATTAAATACACATCAGATTACATGTTCCCAACCACAACTGGCGCGGTTACAGCAAGGCCAGGATGCATAAGAGGAATGTAATGTGCAACATAAAAATAAGCAAAACAGAATTTTGGAACCTGTACCTGGTACTTTCCATGACTATCTATCTGCATCTGCTTGCAAATCCTATTTGCCTTTTAAAAATTGTGTGAGTGTCTTCTCATCAAGGCAAGGTAGCAAATAGAACAGAAATAATGGCACAACAGTATTGTATAAAAATTTGCACATTTAAAATGTTAAAACAAATGGGCTGCCCTACAACTATAATATGTGCCAGCCTAGTGAAAGCATAGGTGTGGTGTGTATTTATATTTTTATATAAAAAATATAGAGCAAGAATGGCTAACCTTTCTGGGCCTGAGGGCTGCAGTTAACCTTGAACAACCCCCTGAAAGCTGCATACCAGCAGTGCATGTGATCAAAAGTGTGTGTAGCCATCTCACTCCCTTGCACGCACACACACACACACACACACACACATGCATATCCATTGATACTAGACATTTTTAGTATAAAAACTTATTAAATTCTTCCACAAAGCATTCTGCTTTGCTTCAGGCTTCCATTTGCACCCCACTGTTCACAGCTTAAGTCAGCTTTAAAATGCACATTATGTTGATTTAGATTATTATTCATTCTAGGAAGATCAAATAAAGCATATACAATGGAAATATGTTGATAGTTTAAATAAATGAATGAAACATTAGTGGTTCAAGAGCAAGGAAGAAGATTACTAGGTCTCAGTTGAATTAATATGGAATTATTAAAGCATCTGTTAATAGTATTTTGGTAAAAATATAGTGTTCAGAGCTTGGTTACTCATACTAGAACAGCTTACTACAAAAATAATAGTATGTATTATAAAGATGTTTTTAAAATATCTGATACTCCTGTTACTGCACTTCCTATGAGGAATGGCTTGAGGGAAGCAATGGCTCCCTGTTACCTTACCATGTAGAATTCACACTGTTGTTCATGACTTTAAAAGCCCTAAAGGGCAGAGGCCTGGCTGATTTAATGAATCAAGGTGACCACAGATTCAAAGAACTGTAGCGTTGGAAGGGAACATGAGGGTCATCTAGTCCAATTCCCTGCAATGCAGGAATATTTTGCCCAGTGTGGAGCTCAAACCCACGATCCTGAGATTAATAGTCTCATGCTCTACCGAATGAGCTACTCTCACTCCTAAAGCCTGGTGTGAACTTATTTATGTCCTGCCCTTCGTCACAACTTATCTCAGGGTGAATTACAAAAAAGTTACAATATGATAAAGCACTAAAATACTGTTAAAATCATCAAAGTAAACCCATATGGTTGCCTATACCTACTCTCTGTAACTGTGTGACTACACAGAGATGTTTAGAAAGCATGATGGAAGAGAAAGCAATTCAGCTGGCGCTGAAAATGAATGGCATCAGCTCAGTCTTGGAGAGAGGGACATTCCTTAACTGATGGAACCAGCGCTGAGAAGCCTCTAATTACATTTTTGGTGGTACTGTCAGAAGGACCAACCTAGCTCATTTCAAAGGCTTGGCAGGACAATATAGAGCAGGGTAGGGCCACCCACCTGTCAATCACCTAATGTCATAAAGATGTCACAAGGGTCTTGCAAAGTTCCTAAGCTTATATTGTAAAATAACCAAGAATGTTCTTCTATTTCACTATTGCTCCTACTGTGACCAACAGGGACCTTTTGATAGACCTTCTCAGTAGAAGTCATACAATTATAAAATTCTCACTCCTGAGATGTCTGCTAGTCAGAACCTAATCATCTAGAAGCACTCTCTAGTTTGGGGTGGCCTTTGGTGCACCGGGTTAATTCAAATTGTTAACTGGTTTCAAGACAAAACAAAACATGATTTTTGTATTCAGTTAGGGGGGTTATTTTATCATAGTAGTAATCAAGCACTTTTCTTTTTGTGTAATCTGGTTATATATTTTTTAACCTGCACTAGGCCTCCGGGGTAGAGCAAATAACCAACCTCAAATAAATTACATTCAATGTGTCTGAACACCATTATTAATCCCTTCAGTGGAACAAAAAAGAATAAAAGCAAATTCCTAGTTTTGAAGGACAAGCTAAATGACCTTTATCAAATCTATTCTGAAAACAACAATTATGGTAATTATGTTGAAATATACAATTCAAACTTACTTAAAGGAATGAAAAACATACAAACCATACCAGGAATTATATACTGGTAAGAACATCAGTATTCATTATAAATCTCAGCTATGAAGTCACTGGGGTGACTTAGGCGAGCCTTTAACTCTTCACCTCAGCCTGCCCTCCTTTTCAATGGCAATAATGGAATATTTATTTCTTTAAAAATTACTGACAACTTTTCAGGATAAAAAAATGACAAGGTTGTTTACAAATAAATATAGTACAATAAAACATAAAGCAAACTATCTAGAGTTCAGTAAAGCTGGTACTAAGGATTAGAGTCCAGGAACGCCCATATCAAATGAAAAGTTTTTACCAGCAGCAGAACATCTGCGCTGTAGGTTCCTGTCATATCTGTAAGGGGAGGTCATTCCAGTGTGGGACACTGGTCTATTTTATACAGGTCGTCTTGTGAGGATTACCAAGAAAATATATGATAACTGCATTGCACAATATTCACTCTCTGTCCAGTTTACAGCAGGTGCATGGCTTCTGAGCAGGATCCCCAGAGGGGAACTGGATGCAGCCCAAATTGAAAACGCAAAGCCATCATTTATACAGCACAACTGATCAGTCGGCATAAAAAGGTAAAAATAAAGAAAAAAGGCTAATGAATCCATTCTAAGACGGGTACTACTTAGACCTGAAAGCTTGTTATTGGCACACACAAAAATAACCAATTATGCACAAATGGAGTATTCCATTTGCAATGGGGCACTAATTTTAGTACATCTTTGATAATGAGTATTGTTTTGTTTTGATAACATTAAAGTATACCTATATAGACACTTAACTTGGTCTGGTGTTGTTTCAGCACACTATAGCCCCATCTACCGTATTTCTAAGATGCTTCATGGAGAACACCCAAAGGCAGACAAAGCTGGCTAAGAGGTCACTTAAAGTGATGTAGGTGCTGTTCTGCCGGTGGGGAGAGAAGCCCGCCAGCAAACCAGCCCTTACACTGCTACAGGTCACCCACAGAAAGCTCCACAGACATAGATGTTCTGCTGCCACTGAAACACTGAGGGGTTGCCCAGTGTTTCATGGGCAATGGAGGATCTGATATAGTTCAATCAATCGGTGTTTTTTTTGTTTTGTTACAATTTCAGATCAGCCACTAGAATATAGTCCAACACATATAATTTACAGAGATTATAAATTTGGGGTTACCAGTACTACCAAAAACTAGGGTATGTTTGTGCATTGCCATACATTCATAATCACACTAGAATGAGTTTTTTGAGTGCTAGTGTGGTTGGTAGAGAGATGTAATCATCTGGTTCCTGGTGATGCATGCTGATGTGCATAATTTTGCTACATTGATGAGTCTGGTGTAGTTAATTCCCTTCTGTTGGCTGCAATGAGGGGTGTGGGGGGAAAAAGGAGAAAAAAGTCTATGGACCTCCCACAATGGATGCAGTGAGCCAACAGGGATTGGGAAGTAGCAATAGCTCTACCGTAGAATCAGTGAGAGGAGGAATAGCTTGCTCGGCCATTGATTCATGGAACATTACAATATTTTGGTGATGTATCTGGTCTGGAAGGTGCTGGTAGCAGTGAGAGAAACCGTGTGCAGTTCTGTGGTTCCAAGCCATTCACGTTACAATAATGATTTTCACCCTAAAATTGTTCAATTTAAATGTTGTATTATGTCGAATGGATGGTTTCAATAGCATTCAAGTCATAACAAATTAAAAATGAACATTTTATAAATACCTAAGTGAAATGTTTTGACGTAATGTACCTGATTGTCATTTTAACGCCAAGCTGCTGTACAGATGAAAGAGTTTTGATCTCCGCATTTGCATCAGCTGCAAAGAAAAGAAAAAGTCACATAAAAATAAGTTCAGGTAGGTAGCAGTGTTGGTCTGACGCAGTCAAAATAAATAACTAAAAATTAAAATTGTCCAGTAGCACCTTAGAGACCAACTAAGTTTGTTCTGGGTATAAGCTTTCGTGTGGTGTCTGAAGAAGTGTGCATGCACACGAAAGCTTATATCCAGAACAAACTTAGTTGGTCTCTAAGGTGCTACTGGACATTTTTTTAAAAAATTAATTTATAAAAATAAGTGTTTAACCATTTTAATCTGAATTTCTAAGAACTGTTTAAAAGATGAAGTTTGGTGGCAATCCATAATACAGTGAATTTAGTGAAAGCAATAAATAATAGTTAGTATAGTTACAATAAGACAACATTTTGGACTATCTATGGCCTTACTTTTAACAACTGAACTCTACAAGCTTCCATTTTATGACAGATATAAATAACTGTCAGCTTATGGTTCATCACCCCTTACAACTTCATAAAACTGTCAAAGTGGCACCTTGCCTAAATACTGTCTTATGCACAATCCTATGGGTGTTGTGATGGAGTTCCAGGAACCATAGGATTTTGCAGATGAATCTCGCCTTCTCCATGGGCTCTGAAGAAGCTTCATCCAGGTTGCTATGAAAAGATCCATAGCTACTACTTCCCCACAGAGAGGAGGGCAAAAGGGAGCATTTTGCGGGTGGATTTAAGTGCTGTCTTTGGATCTGCTTGAATTCAAAGCCCTTTCACTCTGAAACCGTCGGGAAAGAATGCCAATCCTTTGGCTGGTGTCCTTCTTTTCCCTATTCAAATTCTTGGAAAAAAAAACTAAAAGCCAATAGGAGGAGAGAGAAAATGGGGAACAACACCATCACACCACCTTCTGTCCTGACAGTGCATTCCCAGAGGGCTTTGGATTTTGTGATTTGTCTTCTATAACTACTAACCACTCCCAACACTGTTGCTCTATTTAAGCACTTATCCCGCAGACAGAACTTGACATCAAGCGCTCTTCTCCAATATTTGACTCAACTCAGCCTTTTGCCAAGTATGGGTAGCATCCAGTAAAAACAATAGCCTAATTCACTATAATCAAAATGAACGAGCAGATTATCCTGTTTCACAGTCTCTTATATATATGTATCTATTCATGACATAAATTAATGTGCAAAATTGTGGCTGGGTTGTCATTATAGCTATGTTTTCCTATTCAGAAGATATTTGTATCAACTCTTTCAGTGCAGATTTTAAAATGGCTTGCAGAACTCTTCACAATTGAAGTACACTTAATATTAACCAATGAGTGAAGCATTGGCCTGGTGCGGTAGTTCTTAGATTTTTCCAGGCTAACAATATTTTCATCTGCTGTTTATAAAAAAAGTGGGCCTACAAGTCTTTTTTTGTACTTTATTCAATACATTAGGAGCTCAACACCTCTACAGGGAAGGGGAGGAGGCACGAAAGCTGCAATTGTAATGATGCACAAAATGTACCTTGTTTATTCCAAGATACATTATTTAATTTCCCCCAAAATCAATGTGAAACCCATTTTATTAAAAATGTCTTGAAATAATGTGGCTTTCAGAACAAAAGCATCAAAGGATCAATTTTCTCAATAAGAAAACCATTTTCCCCTTAACAAAAGGCAGAGTATCTCTGAACTGTCAATCAGACAAAAAGGTGAAACTGCTATAGTTGTTAAGCAGAATGAATAAAATATGCTATGGCAGCAGCTCCCAAGACGCCAAATTCAGGGAAAAGATTTAAGTACACCTCACAGTTCAAAGAGAAATAAAAACTGCACAGAACATGTGTAATTCATTTTTTAAAGAAATCAAACATTCAATTGGATGTATCACAATTCATATTTAATTTCAATATATGGTGACTGTCAGAATTCCAGATACAGTCATGCTGGGAACTTGTGCTGAAGTAGTTTAACAATATTGACCATTTTTGTTTTTCAAAACACATCCTTAATTCAGAATTCACCGGCTTCTAAGAAGAATAAGGCAGCCTCCCTACCACCATACACCATTTTTAAAATCAGATCTATTGTGTGCATTTCTTAGGTTTTCTATCAAATTTAGATTCTAAAATAACAATTTAATAGTCTATTAAACAATACCAAAAAACGTTTCTACTAGTTGGATGCCATTAACATTGATAATTACAAGTGTTGGTGTCAATTTTCCCAAAAGGAATGTGACTTCCTCTTCTTAGTGTTAACAGGGTGCTATTCTTGACATCCAAGAAGCACAACTTCTTTTTGCATACAATATTAATTGCATTAATCCATAACAAATTCACTATCTCTATAGGGGTTCTTCCAACCCCCAGACTTCCCCCCACTCCTCTCCCCGGTTTCCAATAATTATCTCTTCTCTTTTCTGTGACTAAATACTTTTATCTAATCTATTAAGTCTGCCTTTTCAATACCCTTTATCAAATTATATTACAAGTGCTAATCCAAGCCTGCTAACGTTTTTAAATGTTTGCAATGCTCCTTCATATATTCTATAAAGTTAATCCATTCATTTCTAATTTATTTTTTTTGTCCTCTTGGTGTCTAATCTTCCCATTCCCGTTCAATTTCGTCATTTTGGCATAATCCATCCAGCTCTCTTTTCGCATAGAAGGAAGCTGCTTGAGCAACTGCTTCTCTTCCAACTCCATACTGTAGCTACTGAAATAAGAACGACCTGAAGCCACTTGGACCCAGAGGCTGTAACCAATCACCCTAATGTACTAGCAGAAGCTAACTTAAGGATTCCTACCAGTGCAATGGGACCTTTCCCCCTTCTCATCCCCTGTGCCCTCCTCCCCCATATGCTCCAGAGGATTGGGAGAAATCCCAAAACAGTGCATGGTGGAAGGAGAGAGGAGACCTTAACTGCAAGAGTGAGAATATGCAGAACCTAAGGAAGGCCTTATCTTTATGTTTATCCCATCAAGAGGAATCTGGATGGCTCTCATGCTGGCTTACAGAGTATGATAGAAAAAATAAAAAATAAAATCCAACATAAAACTAAAACTCAAAAGAAATATGGTAACAGTGGCTGAAAACAGCAGCTAGAACACAATTCAGTTTAGAAGTTAAATGCCTTTCATAAAGGTCAAGAAAACTAAAAAAAGATAACAATGAATAATCTTCTTTCCTAGAACACAAAATTCCAATCTCTTACAGATCTACACATAATAAAATAATTCTTTGCACTTGCATCCTTAGATACCATCTAGCAGATGAGCAATCCTGTCCTCATGCTAAATTACTACTGGTAAGAATAAAGCAATTTCAAAACATAAAGGTCAATTTTTAAAAGTGCAATCCATGTTCCAGGATTTTCAGCTTTTATTGCTACCTTGAAAGGAGATGCAAAATAATGTGTATGATCTGTCCTAATTCTAATTACATGAGACGTATTCAGCTCGAAATATATACAGCTACTTATTTCTAAAATGACATTACATTTGCCAGAATTTTAAAGACTCTCTTCAGCTGGAATTGTTTCTCTATTAACAAAGTACTCCTCAGAGTTTTGAAGGGGGAAAAAATAAAATGTGAGCAGCAGAAGTGCAGTCTTAGTTTTATAGAGCTCAGTAACCCCATGTAATCAAATGGTAAGCATGAAAATAAAAAACCCGTGGAAGACAACAAAGTAAGAAATGTTCTTTTAATAACCAAATCCCAAATGGGACATGCAGCCCAATTTGTAATGTCTGCTATGCTCTCCAATTAAAAGGGAAGCTTTGTCCACTTTCACTTCATTGCCAAACTACGGGCAAGAACTACATGGAAGGGAGGGATGAGAGGAGATATTTTCCAGAAAAAAGGTCAAAGGTTGCTTTTAATACACACACACACACGAGTGAGGTTATAATGTTTAGTCTTATCTCAGGACAATCTAGCCAAGTAGGGTCAACCGTTAGTGATGGGCAGGTAATGATTTTCATTATCCCACTTTTAGAGATCCTTTAATAAGAAATAAGATTTCAAACCTATGCCTGAAAGACATGCCCAACATGTCTGACTATTACTCCATACCAAAACTAATATTTAAAAAACCCAATCCAGAGACATTTAGGATGCCTGTGAGACGGATCCTAAAATGAGTTTTGTCTTCACCATGCTAATTTTCTGCAGAAAAATATTAAATCTTGCAGAGGGGCCCAAAAAGCACAGCCCAAAAATAGGTTTGCCACTCCAAATGTTATCTTATGAGTAGACTTAAATCTGGGGTTTCACAAATGTAGCTGGAAAATGGCGAGTCTACTACCTTAGCATCTTAATTTATAGCACATGATCTGATGCGAACATTGCTGTCAGGACTAGCAAGTACTCCAGTACCACCTCTAGGGCCAGCAGGCTGCCATATGGCGATAGAAAAGAGAAACAAAGAGGAAAGATTTTAAAAATATCTAGTGTCAGTTTTGTTGTGGTGGTTTGAGCTCAGGAGTGATATTTAAAGTTATATATAGCTATATGCATGGATCATATTCATAAGTCATCCATATATTATATGAAAGACAGAGGCTGGATTTCCAGAAGTCTTTTTTCATAGAAGCTTTAACTTTAAGCGCATCTTCCACATAAGCCAACAGACAGGCAATATAGAGTTAAGTGTTGCTATTGTTTATTATAATTTTTTTAAGCCCTGCAACTGTATAAATGTCAATATATTAGCTTATTATTCTCCCTCATCTTTAAAACGCTAACCGAAACTAATTTGATTTTTCCAGATTTGCAAATTTTATAATGGATTGAAATCCTGAGGGATTTCACAACAGCTGGATGAATTGTGTTATTCTAATTTCAACTACCCAAGGGTTTAGAAAGCTGCTGTAGTTTAAGATAATCAATTTCTCATTTCCAGAAACATGATAACACTGAATATCAATGCATTGTCCTGAAACTACTTTCATATAACACATTGATTCTATTCATTAAAAAGCCAGGCTAAACTATTGTTATACTCCCTGTTGATCAAAGCCTAGCCAGGTGTGTGTGTGTGTGTGTGTGTGTGTGTGTGTGTGTGTGTAGAGGGGCTGCACTAAGTAGTCTGCTGGCTTATTAAAACTCAAATCCATCTGCTCCCTTTACAAATAATTTGGGATACCAAACAACCTTACATCAGATTTCTTATGCTTGATGATTCTCTGTGGTTTATTCCAGTATATGATTCAAGGGCTCAATACAGAGGAGAAGACAAACAGGGAGCCATAGTGTAACAAAAGTGTCAAAGGAATATGTTGAAAATACAAAATTAAAACATTTTAATTTCCATTGATAGGTGGAATAAAATGCACTACAGAAGCACCCAATTAAAAAAATCATGTTCCAGCTACTCTTGAACCATAATGAGATGTAAATAGCTATGTGGTATTTCAGAGGGATCCTCCTTATTTTAGTGAAATCGTGTGTGCTTTATGTCAGATTTATGCCTATTGGAAAGGTATAAGAAAACAATTTTTTTTCAAAAATGAGGTGGCAGGGTCAAAGTGACTCTGCAAAAGCCAGCTAATGTACCCCAGACACAGAGTGCAAGCGTACTGGACCAAAGATCACACACAAAGTCAATGGCTGGGGGAAATATGGCCACAATTTTTTATTGATAATGGAGATTGTTGTGGCATGGCAGCAAGGATCTTGGTATTGGGTGGCCTGACTTCTGCCTGATGTTGTCAGGAATTAGGGAATGGCCCACCTCACTGTGGGTCATCCCAGTGGTTGCTCACCCACATGGCTGCAAAGAGGCCAGCCTCAGTCCCCAGAGCTACAGCCAAGGCCTTAGGGCAGCCCCACCAAGGAACCCTTCTGTCTATGAATTCTGTCCTTTGTCCCTCTGCCACCAACTGTATGCTGTGACAAATACTCACTTTAGAATAAAATAGTAAACTCAAGATTCTACAACCTATGCATGTTGCTATGAGAAAGGTGAAAACCTCATCACTACGTCATAAAATGCCAAGATCTGCCATCCTCCTATTATAATGTATTAATTATAATTATAGACTGCTTTTCTTTTTCAGTCAAAAACTGAAGGTCAGCTGGGTCAAACCAGATCAAGAGAAAGGAGCCTGCTATTTCTACCTATTCCACTCAGGGCCACTGAGAGAGGCTCAGAAGCCAGAAGTGTGGCAGTTACCTTTCAGTTGACCATTGCAAGCCAGAAAAAACAGCATGAGAGAAGAAAATTACCTTCACATTCTCTGCTGGTGAAGTAACATTCTGATGGCGTTTCAGAAAGATGCAAGACAAACATTTCCATTAATTCTGCCAAATCTGAAATAAAACCAAAATGATTAATGCATCAATGCCACAAAATTTCCTTTAAAAAAGAAATCATGTCATGTTTTGTGATTTGCGTGTGCACAATTTTGTAACAATAAAATAAATATATATATATTTAAAAATGCCACAAAGTAAAATGCAGAACTATATCAACCAATTTCTTTCTTTCCCTTATACCCTGCCTTTCCTCCACAGAACCAAAGGTGGCATATGTAGCTTGCTCCACTCCATTTTATCCTCTCCATCACCCTGCGGGAGAGGATAGGCTGAAAGACAGTGAGTGGCTCAAGGGCACCCAGTGAGCTTTATGGCTGAGTGTGGACTGAATCTTAGTCCCTCTGATATAGGCCAATACTCTGACCACAGCACAACAGTGAGTAGAAAATGAACCAAAATGAAAGCCTACAGGCAACTAACAGTGCACTCTACTACATATGCAGTTAGAAGAAAGTCTCACTGGGTTCAAAGAGGCTTACCCCCAGGTAAGTGCGTTACAAGATTGCAGCCTAAAGCTGTCTATACGACCGCATGTTTATTCACAAAAGCATGGCAAAAATAATTCAAAACAGGCATTCTGTTTTTGTATTCATAACAACATTCCTGGTTTAAATTAAAATTTTAATGGCTTCTCTGACAATCTATTCAGTGTAAACTGAAAGGGAATCGTTTGTTATCCTTGGATCCTCTGAGGATTACTTCAGAATTTGTTAGACAGTTTCAACATAAAGAAAATTAGCTGTAATTAGATTGCACTGCCTACATTATTCTATATAGAGGTTCTGAGGAGGGAAGTTTGGCCTTAATCTTGCAGTAAAGGTCAATGCACTTTAAGAGTTTCTGTCCTCCTTTGTGCAAAAGGCGTTCCAACACAGCTACCTGCTTCCTTTTGCATCTCAGCAGGAAACTTTCCAAGCTCTCCATGGAAGTCTTTTGCACTTGTCTTACTCATTTAAATGAGTAAGAAAGCCCTAAAAGGGAGAAGAGTTCTATGTTCTATGCACACAGCATATTTGAGTACGATTGTTTTTCATTCTTTCATGGATAGCTCCCAAAGTGATCTTTGCAAACACAGGTTTGCCTAGAGCAGGCTTTCACCAACATCTGAGTTCACTGACCACTTGACGAGCTTATAAAGTTGTCATTGACCCCCCCAACCCAAATTCTTAGGGATGTAAATGAAATGACATCCAGAAATATCAATGTATAATCAACCTTTTAAAACCACCAATCACCATTACTAGGAATCATAAAATGGAAAAAAAATAAATAAGGAATACTGTCACATTGTAAAATCATCTATTAAATACAGAGGCTCCTCACTGGCAAGGGAGATGCACTCTGTACATATTAATGTTCTTTATTCCTGAGGCTCGTTGCATTTCCACACTGTCCCTTGTGGCAATCTTTTCCACCCCTAGGCCGTTTCTGACCTACTTTGGAATTCTAGATCTTTTATTCAGCCCCTGCACATTCACATCAATATCAACCACTTTGGGAAACCATTGCCTAAATAATGTATAATTCTGATGTAGTAATTCATTTGGAGAAACTCTCTCAGGATTCTTAGAGGAATGTTTAGGATATACTGCTATGGATACATGACGTCTCCAGGCACTGCAGTTGTCTGCAAGGGATTCCGGTCTGGCGGAGTTGATGTTGTCAGGCTTCATGTCACATTTGCAGACATCTTTGGAACACAGAGTTGGTCTACCAATGGGCCTGGTGCTGGAAGCCAGCTCCCCATAGAGCAGAGGAAAAATAACCGTGGGAGGAGTGCAGAGAGAAGAAACGCCATGGTGCATCTGCTGCAGCACAACTGGATGCCAGCACAACTGGATGTCTTCATCTGCCCCAGATGCAACAAAACATGTCTCTCCCACATCCGTCTCTACAGCCACAGCAAGCGCTACAACCCAGCAACAGTTTGACTTCACCTCAATTGTCGCTTGAGACAGGCATATTCCAACCAATTTGGGACATTTTGTTGTTGTTTAATCATTTAGTCGTGTCCGATTCTTCGTGACCCCATGGACCAGAGCATGCTGGTAGCTTCGAGAACACTATCCAACCATCTCGTCCTCTGTTGTCCCCTTCTCCTTGTGCCCTCCATCTTTTCCAACATCAGGGTCTTTTCTTCTCTTCACATGAGGTGGCCAAAGTATTGGAGGCTCAGCTTCATGAACTGTCCTTCCAGTGAGCACTCAGGGCTGATTTCCTTAAGAATGGATAGGTTTGATCTTCTTGCAGTCCATGGGACTCTCAAGAGTCTCCTCCAGCACCATAATTTAGGACATAGCAACATATAATACAAAGTGGTTTAAATGGCATGTCTTCCCCTTTGACAGTCCTCAATCATACCTCACTATACAGAATCATCAATATAACGTAGCAAGGATAAGCAGTTTCCCTTTAAAAATAATTATACTTACTGGTTCCACTCATAACAGTAGGTTTGTTTTCCATGATTTCACAAAACTGTCTTTGAATATTTTCAATCAATTCCAGCGGTTTCTCTGGATTATTTAAAGCACATGCAAGCTTGCTAGCATCGCCATCTAAAACGAAGATGAAAATATTGCTATGAAAGCTATGGTTTTACTTTTGCCTAAATGACCACAGCAATCAGTGAAGAACTTAGTAAGTCTGCCTCAAACCAATAAAGCTCCTATACAAGGAAATACAAAAAGATGTTCACAGGTCATAAGAGGACTGGACTGTGAAGGTGAGTTGCTTGGCTCAAACAGCAGATGGGGGCTGGGAGGCACTCCCCTCCCACCTGGCTGCTCTGCCTATTTAAACTTCATGCAGTATTAGAATTACTAAATATTACCATAGTAACAGCATTTTCCTGAAATTAAAAGTCCTGCTTTTTACAAACAGGTGCTTAGAAATGGCTCTTTATGAGCCTCCAAGAAGCTTTCAGTGAATTTCTTAATTGTAAATATCAAAGTGATCAAGATAATTTCTCCCTGCTATCATCCTCTACCAAGTTCTTGTTTGTGCAATATCGTACCTGTTTCTAGGCTTTAAAATTGCCTAAATTCATTTTAAGTATACACAATAAAACATTTCTATAGTCAGACTTTAGAAACTTTGGCTCTTTAAGATACTTATTATTCCTGCTTCATTTCAGCATTTTAGTATCCTAGTTAATATTCAACTTCCTAAATGAAATCATCACTTGCAAATGCTGTTAGCCTTTTTTTATTAAATAGAAAATATTTGCTTTCTGTTTCTTTCACCGCATAAAATGCATTTTAAAATAGTGTTTGGACTTTAATAATTTATACTTAAATTGTTTTCCCGTCACTGGAATTCATTTGACCAACCCAGAGTATTTCACGAAGCTGTTCGACTAGTACAATTCTTCCAATCTATTCCATATGCACATTCAAATACCAAGTAATTACACCAAAAGGCTTCATTTCTCAAAGGCCCTCACTGGCACAAGCCTAATTTAGTTCTTCATCTAATGTTCACTTCATGTAGCCAGGCACAGGGAAAAAGAAGCTTCTTACGCAGATTAGATTGTTGGTGATGATGAAACTCCTCTGGCCCTTTCTCCCTGTATGATCATAACTTGTTCCCACTGCCAAGGAGGAATAGGTATTCATTTCCTACTTTCAACACCTTTTGTTTATATCTATTTGTAAGTGTAAGGTATTCTATATGTCTTATCATGCTTCTCAGGATCCCACTTTTTGACTCTACATGATTGCCCTTTCCTTTTATGAGAATGAAAGGTGGCAATAATGTAGAAGACTGGAAAGTACTTAACAAGAATAACTTAACAGACTGTGTCTGTTAGGAGAAAGATTCAATTCAGGGCCACACCAAGAAACGTGGCTGTTTAAGCAAAGTATAGGATTATAATCTACTGTCACCTGAGGCAGTTGCCTCACTTTGACAGCCCTGATTCAACCCCAGGCAGAAAGTACTAGAGTAGGGAAAGGTTTTCTAGAACAAAACTGAGTTTCCTTTATAGGTATCGGGTGGGAGGGGAAAACTAATTTGTTCCCATATTCTGTTTTCCCTCAGTTTGATTTTCATACATAAAGGAATTGAGTCCCAGTATCTGATTGCTTTTATTATAAAAACCCTGCTGTGTCTGTATTAAATTCAAGGAACAAGTGTAAAGTCATCCTGTGTTCAGTTTAACACTTGGTAATATACATGTATATTAACAAAAACGTTAAGCCTAATGGATAATGTGTGCATCTTAGAATTGAAAGGGAAAAGCACAGTAGACACAGATAAACCATGCAATCCCGGCAGGTTTTGAATGCGTAAGACTTTTCTTTGGGGAATAAATGCTGCCTATGGGACATGGGGTACATTCAGTAAAATTCCTTGATTTGTAGAGTTAAGCTCCACGAAGATTTTTATTTTAGCCTCTAAAGAGCCTTAAGTGTTTGAAATGCATGCCGTTATTGTACTGTTTGCCTGGACATAAATATCTGCACCTACTGTGTTCTCTCTTTCACAAGGGATTTTGCTTGGAGCTACCCTCTCTGTGACAACACCTTATGATTCAAATGTGAATAAATACAGATCCATATTGCATCTCAATGATAAAATACAAACCAAGCAATGCAAACAGAAAATCAAGAGATACAAATAAGAAAAAACTATCACAAAGGAATATGGTAAACTCCAGCTGCCATACAGATATGTTCAGCTCATATTCTTTACCCTCGTGAGCCTTTCAAAAACGTTCCTCAAAACAAAACAAAACAAGATTTATGCACAGACTAACACATAACCATAAATTAATCTAAAATACATATTTGTGCTTTTTACATACATCACTCCAGTAAACTAACATATTATACCTTGCCTTGTGTCAGTTTTTCTTGGAAATTCAGCAAGATAGCATGTTGGTAAAGGATATGACGAAAACATGGGCCAAGGATATGGATCATCACCCTAAGGGAGAACCACCAATAGTAAAGTGATGTTATAACTTACTGATGGTTTGTCTATTTCATTCTGTCGTTTGAAGACTTTGCACTCTGTACTTACAGGTAATCTTCAGATATTTAATGCATTACCTACATATAAAACATAGTGCACTTGACACTGTACTTTAATGCTATCAGTGTAATGAGTCAGGATGATTACACAGAACAACTCTTTTAAGCCCACTCAAAGGGCAGTAGCCGCAGTTAGTCAGCAGAGGTTCAATGGAATAATCAGCTCTAAATAAATGGTAGAAATAATAAATAAATCTCAGTCTGCAGCACTTATCTCCAGAGAGGCTAAATGTGAAGAAAACTGAAAAGCACGTTTACAACCTTATGCAATATTCTTGGAGGCAAGATCCGTTCCGTTGGTCCACCAACATGATTTATTCTAACAAGAATATGGTTTCTCTCTACTGATAGGCCATCAATTATAAAGTCTCTGCAACAAAACAAAATTGAATTGCATGTGGAAATTGCCATGAGTCTCATGATTCTCAAGAGCTAGATTACTGAGAAAGTATTTCAAGCCCGGTTGTTAGCATGGACACTGAATTGCAGTTTTGAACAAGGTAACAAAATCCTGGCACTGGATTCAGGGGAATTCAGAGGTAGAAGGGAATGCACTATGTGTGCTTTGCTTAGTCTTTTCTGACCAGAATATAATACAAACTACTCTTTTTATGGCATTCAGTATTTATTTATGGTGCACTGACCAGCCCTAATGGTTTTTGAGATAATATATCAGCACTTCCCAAGATCAAATTACAACACAGAAGTCAAAAATGGGTTGTGGTTAACGAATAGTTACTTCAAAGGAGTAGCAAGCTTACAAATTATTCCCATCTTTGCAAGGTCAATAAAGGTTGTGAATACATCAGGGATGTTCATTCTGCCTCATGTTGGTTGTACCCCTTCATGCATGCTTCCTAGTGGCTGTATGCAGCCAAGTAGTAAAGAACAATATGCAGTCATCAGACAAAACTTCCAAGAACAGTTCAAGTGGCACAACAATGAGGACAATAAACACAACCCATTTTCATGCTTTCAATACCATAATTTTTGTACCCCCAACAAATGAAAAAAGAGAGTCTCATGCCAAATTCCTTAACTCAATGAAGCCATACATTAATTTATTATTATTATTATTATTATTATTATTATTATTATCTGGTGGAACACTCTGTCACAAGAGACTAGGGCCCTGCGGGACTTGACATCTTTCCGCAGGGCCTGCAAGACAGAGCTGTTCCACCAGGCCTTTGGCCAGGGCACAGCCTGACTCCCTCCCTCGGCGATCTTCGCGGAGCTCTGGCCCAATGGTGGCCAGTGGCTTGAATTTAATTAATTTTATAATGAATGATTTTAGAGTGCTGTTTGTGCTGTACTTTTGTACTGTTTTATTGTTGTTAGCCGCCCTGAGCCCGGCTGGGGAGGGCGGGATATAAATAAATTTATTTATTTATTTATTTATTTATTTATTTATTTTATTATTATTATTATTATTATTATTATTATTAGCAGAGCTACTTTCTCCACTGATATTTTTCTTTTGGAGGGTAAGGCTATGGGTTTATGTGAAAAGCTCCAAGTAAAGATTACACAGAACTATAGAGTGGGGTGATACATTTTTTAAATGAATATTCCTTACCGAGAAGTTTCAGAAATGTAGATGGTATTTTCTCTTTGGGCATCTAAGAGCACTTCTGATACCTTATACTGAGATTCTAAAAGTAGAAGTGTATCTAGATCACAGCAGAGCACATTTAATAACCTGCAGGATGTAATATTTTGAAATATCAGAACATTACAAGTTATGGGAAATGCAGAGCAGCACTACACAAGTTTAAATATTTTGGAGTTGAGTTCTTTTTTTAAAAAAAGAAAAGCTGCTGTAATACAAAGCAGAATTAGGAACCTGGGACACAGCATATGGTTTGCATGTAGAATACCACTGACCTATCCTAGAACACCATTTGAAACAACACTGTTATCTACAGTCAAGGTATTTCTATTATATTCTTGCATGTGCACACTGCCTTTTTATTGCTTCTTGTTGAATACTGCTAAACTGACTGTCAATTTCTTATTGTCAGTTTTGTTCCAGGGAGAAGGGGCTTTAATTACCAGTGCTTCCTTTTATTTTTTTCTTCTATTTTTTTATACAACAACGTTTTACTATACAAAGCTCCTTTCTGCAATAGGAACAGAAACTGATAGGGAACAATGTAGAAAGGCTTTCTAGAAACAATTTACAGTCATACCTCAGCTTACATGTCCCTCTGGTTACGTAAACTTTGGGATACGTAAGCAGCAAACCCGGAGGTATATTTCTGGGTTTTTGCCAGGCGCACATGTGCAGAAGCGGTCCCTCCGGTTGCAGAAACCTCGGGATCCAACCGGAGCTCCGGAACGGATCCTGTCTGCAACCGGAGGTACCACTGTACAGGCTATTCACCAGTGAGCCCACTGCTACACAAAACAGAAAGAAGCAAAACAAAAACCTCAAACTAGGAAGCTTGTATCTAAAAGCACAGGAGTGCTGGATACCCTTTGGGATGTCCACACCAGACAGGCTGTGTCCTCCAGTTGTGTTTTAATTTATATACCAAAAAAATCAGCAGAAATTTTGCCAGAAAAGGGAGCGCACAATGTAAGGAAGTAACAACATCTCAACAATGCCAACCATTTTCTCTGAAAAAAAGTGAATGAAGCAAGGATGGCAACAATGCAAGCAAGCTAGCATGGAAACAACCTTTGGTCCCTTTATGAAAGAAAATTGCCTTCCCAGTGTTGTGATCCTATACCCATTTACATGGGAGTAGGTGATATGATTTAGTCCTAAGTAGACATGTACAGAATTGCACTGAATGTACAGAATTGCACTGAAATTTGGCTGGTTTGTCCAAATTTATCTCATCCATGCCGTGTAACCCAGATGCTTCATTTCATGAACAGGTGGAAGAAGAGCCCAAGATAATATTGCAGTGGACCCAGCCTTCTTTCTCATTCGGCTGCTGAAAAACAAAGCTACTAGAGGCAATGTAGTAATAACTATTTTTAGTTTCAAAAGCCTATTCATTTGCTTGAATGTTTTATTCATAAAATTATTCTTCATAATCTTCAGGACAAGCATTCATTCGTTAGTATATTTCAAGAAGTGATACAGAGAGATTAATAAAATCAATACTGAGACATTTAATGCTTTCATAAAGATTTATAGGACAAAAGAGAAGCATTCATATTTTCATTACTGATGATCATGTCATTCTAAAACATTTTTAGTATGAAAAGATTATTATGAATTACTTATGAGTAATCAGTGTGGGGAGAAACATTATGATGCATTCAGAAAATCAGTGTGATATCAAAATAATTTTTCATACACAAATGCCCTTTTCTGCATGGCATGTCTTTGACAGTTTAATTTGAATATTACTAGCAAACAAAGGAAACAAAAGCACCCATTGATATTAAAACTAGAATATTTTAACCCACTAATCCAGACCATTTTCTATCCAAGTTACCCACACTAAATGCCTTTGCATGAATTATACTGCACTTCCATGAGGTCGTAACAGATGCACATCTTTTATATAACTTGTGAAACTGGTCACCACTTTATCCCTTGGTCTAGGACTAAAAGCCCTGATTGCTCTTTTGTGCTCATAGCCAATGTTCCCTAGTTGTTTCAAAAGGTATGGAAAATGTGACACTATTCTTTAGCCCTCTGTTCTGCATCTGATATCAGTAATGGCGGTTTCATATTGCAAATCTAATGCAGTTCAAAGGAACTATTTCCATTTACTGTACTTGTTCTGCTAGCCATGCTATTTTAGGTCTTTCCATTTTTTTCCTGTTAACTTCTGTTAATCTTGCTTTTCAAGATTTCAAGTGTTGCTTGAAATTTAAAAACAAATGCAAATTGATGTGCGTATGTACAGATTGTGACATGAATGTTTTATTTAATTATTTGTTTCCTGTACCTGCAGTCAGGTTTTAATACCACTGGAAACAAACCAGATGTAAATATATAACAAAACAGGGATTCCCACCCCCTCATTAATATATGACATGTTAATTTATCCTCCTCCATTGACAATACTCAGATTCTGTAGAACACGGTACATTCGTTTAAAAGATACAGTTCCCTAAAACTATTGCTAAAGATTTTACACAACATAATTACAATTCCAGTAGAGAAACTGGAGGAAAATACAATCTGTTTTGCTTTCCAAAACAAAAATTAGAATGACTGCAATATCCTGTATAATTTGCAGTAAATGTTTTTTAAAAAAAACCTATAGGTAATACACTGATTGCAAATTAACTAAGTTTTGGCTGACAGAAGCATATTCCCAAGCAAAGTTTGTGTGCAAACTAGACAGGGACTACAGCAGCAGGCTCACCTTCCTATCAAACCAGCTTCCCAATTTGGATCAGGGACTCTGTGAGAAAGAACTGGTCTACAAAGACAAAGTATATGATAATGCTATAAGTAGTTTGGACCTCAGTCTTCTCAAAATCTAAGAGGAACTGGTTGTGGTTTGTGAGCCTGATTCTACCCACCCCCCCTGTTCTGGATCTGCAAAGAAAGGCGAGTACAGAGCTGCTTCCCTGTGCTTCTCCTGAGAGCATGAGCAACTATGAAACATCTAATACAGGAAATGAACCAAAATAACGTTATTAAAAACTAGAGTTGACAGGTACTAAGATTACTTGAAGAGAATAAAGGTTTTAATCCAGATAATGTATCTTCAAAGTAGAGAATCCAATTTAAACTCTTGATGCACTAATGGAAAATCTTGTGGCACTTCAGGTACAAATAAAAAGCTAAAATTAACCTGAGGCTTCTCATTATATGTTCAGAAAGAAGGACAGGCACATAACCTAATGACAACTACTTGCACATATTTTCTTGAGAACACGATGAGCTAGTTTCTTTAGGGGAAAGCTACACATTCTCCTGAGTGTTAATTAACTGCAGCTAGGGAGCTTGGGAAACTGCTGCCTTTTGAGCCAAGATCCATTGGGAACTTCATTTCTCAGATTCCCTAGCATACAGGCCTCCCCAACAGACAATGATAAGTTTAGGAGAAAGGGAAGCAAGCAGTGAAGGCTTTCCCCTGGGAAAATTGTTTTTGAGAATTGTTTAAGAAAACTCAAAAGGGCGCCTGCCTTTCACCAGACTTGAGGGATATCAATGTTTTGCAATATCCATCTGATGACTTGGTTGTGGACCACTGAGATTAAGACCATAAGGAATACAATTCTTTCACTTGTATTAATGTGAAACCTATTAAAAAATCCTACTGCAAAAAAAGGAAAAACCAACCACAGGACTGTAAATACTCTCTAAGAAGATATAGCAACATTCACTTCCTATTTGAGACAGTTTTATTGTGATAAATGGAGCAGCTAGACTAGGGACAGGGAACCTTTAGCCCTCCAGAAGCTGCTGGACTCCAAATCCCAGCAACCCCAGTCAACATAGCCAGTAGTCAGGGATGATAGGACCAGAAGTCCAACAACAGCTGACCATCATTGCAGTGGCCTACTGTCTCAGTTTTTATGGTGGTTTTACTGCAATTTCGTTATGCTTTAAATTGTTTTAAACCCTTTTTGTAAGCTATGATGTTGACAGATGAGGTATAAATTTTAGAACACAAATTACAATAATCTCTGATAAATGCTTCAGCATATAGTATTGTTTCACTGCTTTAGCATAGTAAATTTCATTGCTATAATGTAGAGAGATGTTAGAACTGACACTGGATTTGGCAGTCTCTTTCCTATAATTATTTTGCATAAAATAATTGTGTTAGCATTGTTTTAGACATGGGTTGAGATATGGTGGGAAACAGCTCTAATATGTGGATCTGGCCCTCCAATGAGTCCTCCTCCCTCTGACACATTGCTGCGTTAGATGTAAACTCACAACTGTCAAACAAGCTCTACTGAAGCTGATCTACTTCAGCAAAGGAAATTTGTCAGGAACAGGGAACAGGGTCTGCCACATACTAACAACACCTTCCAATCTGAGGCAGAAGAAATAGAGAGATATTGGGGACAGACGGAGGACCAGAATAGCACAGCACATGGCACAGTCTAAAATTACAGCAGCTAGGAATCACACTTTCACTTCACACAGAAGTGAAAGAAATTGACCTACAGAAAGTGGTAAAAGCGAGTGAACTGAGCAGGAAGAAACTTCTTCATTCTGTGCTAGCAAAAGATACTAACTCCTGAAGCATCCTTAATCAGTATCCTGCTGATTAACTTGTTAACATATATAAAGCCCTGAACAACTTGGGACCAGGTTATCTGAAAGATTGCCTGGTCCAATATATTATTATTATCATCATCATCATCATCATCATCATCGCTATTGTTGTTGTCATTTATTACCCAGCTGGTGTCTGTGAGCTCCCAAAAGGCCCTTTGGTCCACTGGAAGCCCCCACTAACTGAAAAGGAGGAGGAACCCATTTTTGCCTATTCTCTCTTCTCCATGCCACATTTCACATTGCTCTGGAGGGGCCCCCAACTCTTTGAAGCCAATTTTCAGGGTGTGTGCTGGGAGCTGCAACAGAAGGGAGAATAGGGTTGCCATATGTCTGGGAATTCCTGGACATGTCCTCTTTTCACGGTCCTACTTGCCCTTCCCTTTGCCATACACGAAGCACGCAATCATCAGTTGCTTCAAATGTGAAAACTTCTCTTCCACTAACCCATAAGACTGGACCCTGTTTTACATGTTTGAATCTTCAAGAGTTTTTTCTCTCACTGTTATACTTTTTTATTTTGCTGTTTTACTGGTTTAGGATGTGCTTTTTTGGTTTAATAATTTACTCTTTCTTTGTTACACTATACACAGCTTAGAGATTTTTGTAACGTTAAATAGTATATAAATGCTTAAAAAAAATAACAAAAAGATTGTGCTCATCAAACCAGGCACAGGAAATCCGACATTCAAAGAGCCAAGACTGTAAACAGCCAATAAGCTACAAAACATCATTCAAAACCACTGCAGCTCTTGATAAAAATTTCAGCATCCTATTTCTTTCCTCATCCAACAGGAGACAGCAAGGAGTAACAGTTTAAGTGCCTAAGTTCTTTCTATTGTGTCAGCACAGCAAAAATTGTAGACTGCATCCCAACCCAAGCAGCTAAGAGTTCCAACACCCAAAAGCAACCTATGATAAACAATATAATGGGGGGTGGGGACACAAAAGATTTGCATTGAGAGGATTTTCTCTAAGCCTCATATGAACTTGGGTACAATACAAGTTGTCTAGGGGAAATACTTCCTTTGTGCATAGTCTAATTTCCCTGACTGTATATTGGCCTTCATTGCCATACAGCACTCATCCTGTATGTTTCACTCACAGATACCTCTACCCTCATATAGGCCAGATTCATAAGCATTTTACCAAGTCAGCATTGCAGAACAGAAGAAACTAGCTGATTATTTTACCTTAAGTGAATCAGAAAATTTAGTATCTTACCTCAGACCAAAGATATGAGACTGCTCATAATTGAACAATGAATGAATTTTAGCTTCTGTGTTCACAATTATAACCCTGTCAATGATATCCTGAAATATAAGCACCAATTTTATTAATATGTGACCAGCACTTTGAGTAGACAACATTATTACTCAACCATTTTCATTAAGCCACATTTTTAAAGTATATGGACAAGTATATGATTTGGTTGTTACATTTCCTCACAAATAGCTCTTAAACTGGCAAGAAGCAATTCAGCAAACTGTTCTTGTGTTTAAAAAGTAAGTATTTTCCCCATTTCATTCCAGTCAGTTTCTCTGACTCAAGTGAAAACAGAATCATAAAAATAGTCATTATCAGATACTTTACATGCATTTAATACCCAGTGCATTTATTTTTAAATCTATGTGTACATCTGGGGAAAACACAGTGAGTAAGTATAGAATAGCATTCCTATAAAGGAAAACTGTTCCTAATTGGAAGTTTACTTCCTTAAACAAGTAAATTAATACAACCTTGCTAATGTGAGATTGTAAGTAATCCGCCAAGAATAGAGATTTGGCAACATCTTTTGATTTGATCTTACATCCAAAGTACTTTGACACCTCGAACAGCTAACCAACTCCGTCTACACTGAGCAAAAACACTTTTGCCCAGCTGTAGCAGCCAAGAGTAAGATTTCCAGTTTCTTTCCCAAAACCTCAGAATAAATGTGAATAGCCAAAGGGGATTTGACACTATACTCATTATTTCAAGTCAGATCATTTGTCCATATAGCTCAGTACTGTCTGCACTGACTGGCAGCAGCTCTCCCGGTTTCAAGCAGGAGTCCTTCCCAGTCCCATATGGAGATACCAGGAATTGAACATGGAACCTTCCATATGGAAAGCAGATGCAACTGAGCAACAACCCTTCCTTAAATGAGAGGCATAGTGTGCTTGCCATGGTAGCAGGGGAGATAGACATTGTGCATAGACAAAAGACAAGATAGCATATTGCATGGTCAGACTGGCAGTAGAATTTTATTTCAACATGATGACACAGTAATGCCCTTCACTTCACCAGAGAGTAGCAGGCTAGGTTCTGGGCACAGAGTAGGGTTACAAAGCACACACAGCTGTATCTACTTCCTCCCTTACCATCTTTGGAGAGCAGGGCAGGTGATTGGCTTTTCACCAGTTAAGATTTGTACAGTACATGATTTTTGGTTGTTAAATGTTTATAGTGTTCAGCTGAAGTAAGAATTGAGTGGATGAAGTGGTATAATGTATGCAAAGAAAGTGTGATGGCTGGATGAGCAGTAACCAAGTATGGTTCTTGAATTCCTGATTTGTATTATTCATTACAAGGATACTTTTCTGCAATATTGGTGTTTGTGTGTGTTTTAAAGATAATATTGCAATTATGTTGCATTCTGTTGCTGTATTTTGCTGTTGTATTATATTGATGTATTTTGATGGATTCTTGTTTTGTGTAAGATTTGCTTTTGTTTTTTATTTTACATTGTTTAGATATTTGTTATGTTACTTAAAACAAACCAGCTATAGTCACATAGAACTGATCTAAGTCCTACTACAGAGGAATAGAAGGATAAAACTGTCATGAAACAACCCAATGCAACTTGATCAACATTACACCAAGATAAGTGTTCCGGTCAAAAGGAAGAGCAACAGAATGAAAAAATCCAAAAAGAACCATTTACACCAAGGTCATCTACAGTGATGGCAACACAAGCAGACATCTGGTTGACCACACAGCCCACAGATGCATCACTGGAAGTGGGAACAGCCATCCCCAAGATTCAGGAACTGCCCTCAAAAAAGAAAGGTCACAGATACCTTTATGGTTAAAATTACCTTCAGGGATGGCATAAAGCACAGCAACACCAAACACAGTAATGTCTCTACCCTGGATCTCCCAAGTGGGCCATAGGTAAAAGACCAAGAAAAGGAAAATCACATTCCAGTTCAGGGAACGTCAACCTTTTTGAGCCAGTTGGTGCATATGCAGTTTTGAGGGAGTGCTTGAATGCCAGTCACTAAATGGCTGCCACGAGGGCATGGCATAACACAAAAATGGCTGCCATGTCTAAAAGAGCAGGAATACAAAAAGTATTCCCTATCAATGAAGAAAAGGCATGTGCATCAGTCACCGCCACGCTCACTCACAGAGGAAAGCTCTTCGCACCTCTCCTCTGCTCAGAGTAGGAGGATGGGTGTCCAATCCTGGCATCCAATGAAATGTGGGCATGTCTGAGGGGGCATGAGGAAAGGCCGAACCAATGCAAACACAACCTGAACAAGATGAGCAAAGCATGTCTCATGAATCATGGATTTTTGAAGGAATCTTATTGAACCCTTTCTCAAGAACCATAAGAGGTGCAGCTAGGCAGGCTGGCACACACAGGTGCCAAAATTGTGGCTCTTGTTCTACTTTGACATTGGTTATAACTAAATATATCTATATTTCTTTAGATATGCAAAAGATTTTTATACATATACAGATTTTATATGATATAAAGAATAATTTTATTATAATCAAATCCATTGCTTACACTTGAAAGAAGAGATTTGTCTTTAGACAAGAGAAAACAGCATCTGCAGATTATTATTTAAGTATCACATTTTCCTGTGACTGTAGGAAAAATAGATTCACACTGAGGACACTGTGCATATACTGCCCTCATGCTGCATGCAAGAAAGAAATGCTGAAAATGTACTCAGAACCTAAGCAGCAATAGAACACCAAACCCATATGACGCTTCTTATTTTTACTGAACAGATTTGTAAACCACTCATCATGATTGTCAAAAGGAGATACAAAATTATAAAGTTAAAGCAATAAGAAAACATTAAATCCATTTGCAAAAAGAGCTTGTTTCAATCAGAGCAATATAACCATTCAAAAGAGCTTTTCAAAAAGGATTGAAAGCCAAGCTACTTACTATAATATCTGTAGGAACTTCACGGAGAGAGTATTCTGGTTTATTAGGTATCGCTTGATCACCTATCAGTTCGTAAACAGCAGGGTAGGATAACAAGTTTATCAGAGCTAGAAAAGACTAAAGCAGGAAATGGTGACACAGTAAACAAAATGATTACTGGCATTTCGTTCCAGCAGACGTTCTAAATGAATTGTGATTTTATAGTTTTAACACATTTTTAGTCTTATTGTATCAAGTCCTCTGTACACTGCTTAGAGGCTACTGTCATTGAGTTATACAAATTGTCAAAATAAATAAATAAATCTAAAGCCTGTTACAAAAGCCGTTAGTATTACTTTGGTTTTCACAAATAAGATATATAAAGAGTGACCTTTTATTGGACCAACTCCTATCAGTGTGGGTGTTTTCAAGCTGTAGCGATGCACAGAATAGAAAGGTAAGTTTGCATCCCAGGCAGAGCAGGGCTATTTAAAGGTAATTAAAGACATTTGCAGAGCGCCTACTGTGGAAAAGAAGGCGGAAAGGAAATCTAATGCAAACAGCTGGAATGAACGCCCACTGCAAATCACAGACATTAAAGCAATACCAGTTGGCTTAGCCTTTATAGGAGCAGGGGTGGGAAAATGGCAGATCAAGCAAGGTTGAATCCAGGTATAAGGAAACAAATAGCACTGAGGGCTGCCACAAATCCAAACGCTGCTGCCTTTAGCTAAAATCTCCTTCAGTGAAGCCCAGACTACATTTGCACTTTAAACCTGGAGGGCAGACCGAGGTAATACAAGTCTAACTACAGGGACACTACCTTCCAGTACAGTATCTCTGCACCATGGCATTGTACGGACAAGAGTTAGCATAGCACAGCCATTATTTTCCAATTAGACCATTGTAGCAGGCTGGATAATCCCCCGCTTTAGGACAGGCATGGCCATTCATAGACTAGGCTGCTGAGAGCAAATAGGATGAGCTCTATGTATAGTAGTTTCTCCCTCAGCCTGAATAATGTATATTTAAAATATACATGGCTATGCTCAACCGGTAAGATCACTGAAGAGTGATATTGCTGCATCACACAGAGATAGAAAAAAAGATTGTACAATAATATGCAGGCAGTCTAGGGTGCTTCCCAAAGGAACTGCAACTACATTATGAAGTAACAACAGTCACTTAGTTTTTATTTCTCAAGATACGCTTGTTTAAATTCTACCAAAGAATTATGTTGAGGTGGTGATTATTTGCAAGAAGTGTGGATTGTGACTTTTATATGGGTACTGTTTTATTCTGGATAATTGTCTTTATTTGTAGTTGTTAGTAATTATGTTCTGTATTATGGCCTCTGGCCGAGATAATAAAACTGATTGATTGAAACGTATTCACTGAATCCTGATGCGATTATACGTAACTCTTCTCAAACTGATTTTGCTCCTCTTCTTTAAGCTGCTAAACTTCCAAAATATTAACACTAAACAAAGTTAGCACTTCTTTTTCTTTTTGAATTCTGGAGTCAGTCTCTATCCTTATTAGCAAGTTTATCAAGAACACATCCTCAATAAAAAGCATATCAGAGCATGGTACGGCAATCCCATGCTATTCTTTTATTGTTTCCCCAATACTCTACCTTAGAATAATACATAATTTACAACCTGCAAGCTACAAGCAACTTAAGGAATATCCCAAGGAAAACATTCTGCTTCAGATAAAAACTATATTCACATATTAATGGGCAAAAGAAAATTCAAACCACCTTCTGACAGCTCCGATCAATGGGATCAACTGGTGTTGATCTGGGATGAGTTACTCGGACATCATCTCTTCCACATTCTAGAACACCCCACAATTCGGTAACAAGTGCTTTTATAAATCCTAGGAAGAGAGTATTTTATTCACAAGGACTCTTGTCATATTTTATAGCAGAGGTCCTAGCAAACGTTATTAGACAGGAACCACACTGAGAACACTTTCCATAAGGGTTAAGCTGATAATGCTACCACAGCTCTTCACTAATGAAACTATCCTCTTTCATAACATGCACAATTTCTAATACGATCTCTTAATCTGTACTGTTTCACCATAATAGGAACAGTTGGTGCAGCCACCTCCACATTTCAGGTGGGGGCTCTGTTTGGTTCCACGTGGACTTTGCTCTGGAACACTCAGGGCCTCAGTGGGTGGAATTCCATGTAGCACTGGGGTGTGCACATGGGAAACAAGGCCTGCTCATGCAATGGGACTTTCCCACCTCTCCAACCCCAAAGCCCTCTAAACCTGTTCTGAGGGTTTCCCCAATCCTCCAGGGCAGGTTTAGGAAGCCCCGTTGAAGCCTTAATCCCACGCACACAGCAATTTAGTTGAATCCCACGTCATGATCTGACATTATATGACCAAGCATGGCAGCATCTTTGGGCTTGCATGCTCCTCTCCCTCCTTCCCTTGTGAAAAATTTATCCCTCATTTCCTTGTTTGATGCAAATCATGGCTTCTGGAAAACCATGGCTTGCCTTTTATCCAGACTAGCAAAGGAGGGAGGCATCTGCAAATTGGAGGATGGAGAAGAAACAGATTTTCAAATATATAATGCAAAACCATGGTTTGGCATTCTGTCTGAACTGTCCCATACAGAAACACAAAGACAGGATGATAGAATAAAATAACTTATTTGCTCTGATGCTTGCTGACAAAAGTCAAAGCTACAGACACAATTCTAACCATGTCAATAGGAGTTAAGTCCTACTGAATTCAATGGTGCTTGCTCTCCGGGAATTGGGATTAGGATTGCAGCCTTAATTACCAAGATTTATTCATGATAATCTATACAAAAAGTTACCTGAACTCTGTAGAGCTACAGCACCTGCAGCTGTTGCAGCTACTTGCGATACAATTGCTCCATAGCCAAACTTTTCAAATCCACAGACCTAGCACAAACAAATTATAACAAACCATAAATTTCAAGGGCTCAAACACTTTAGATATACAGGAGGATCATGGCTTATACAAGATAAGAATAATGGTGCTTTTTATATATTGTTTGTTTTGGAACAAACAATTAATTCCATAATCAAATGTATCATTAACTAGCATTACCTAATTAACATTCTGATGCTATTATACCGCTTTAACAGAGAAAGGTTATGGCATAGGCAATAAAGACTGCTCAGGCAAACTAAGTGATGAAAATATTGTTTCATGTATGTGTGTGTGTGTCTGTGTGTGTGTGTGTGTGTGATTATACCTACTTGGAGGTTTTTTGTGAACCTGTTGAACATGAAAGTCACACACTCGTTTACTGTTCCTGTATTCTGCAGCAGCAAAAGCCCTTTAGGTGTAGCTGCAAAATTCAGCAAGTCATCCAACAGCGTCTCTTCCAGTACAATACTGGAAAAAAGCAAATAGATAAAAACTAAATTAAAGTACCCACAAACAAACAGCAACAACAACCAAGTAACCTCTCCCTCAATGAGGTAATGATTTGCATAAAAGGCTCATTTGTTATAGCAAAGACATAGACTGGTCTACCAGTATATAATTTCTGTTAGAAAAAAATGTTTCCATTCAATATTGCTTACACTACTCAATTTACCATCTGGGTGCAATTAATTCATTTAGGAAAGCAGCTGTATATCTGTGCTTGTTCTACCTACGCGACAGCTGTCTCCCCCTGAAGGTCTAAAGCCCTTCTCTTGGATCTAATAGGTTTGTCTGCTAACTCTTCTGACACATTTCCCTCCAACAATGCTACCCTTTCACGATATACAAAAGAGGCTGAGAGTAAAGCAAGAGTTTAACTCTATTACTCTTTTGATTATTTGCTTAAGTTTCTGCTACCTGACAAAGAGAGAAACAAAATAGGTAGTAAGGCAGCAAGCCATAATGGTGATAATGCCAACTCAGTGAATTGCACATACAAGCAAACTCTTCCCTCAGCAGGCAAGGATCCACAAGTTGCACCTATTGTTACTGACCATAGGATGGTGCTAGCTGTGCTCACGGTACCCAATCCCTAGTTCTTAAGTTGCTTTCCGGATCATATATATGCATGCTTACCTACTGACAGTTCAACAGAATTTACTCCTAAGCATGCATATAATTGTATTCTAAGGTCCAGTGCCAATGTAATGTGAACCTGCTACAAACTCAGGTCTGCAAATTTGGCAGCCTGAAGAATACCAACTCCCTTTCCACCCCCTTGCTTTCCTTTGTTGCCTTAATTACATTTTAATATCATTTATTGCTGCATTCAGATTATCGAATCTTGAGTAACCAGCAGGCAGACCCTTAGCTCCCCCTTCATGTGAACATAGAAGCAAGCCAGGAAGCAATAGTTAACAATAACTTCTATTACTTTCCCATTACTTTCAGTAATTAATGGATTCCAAATGAGCCAAAACCTAAAGCTTACTTACACTTGCTTTTCAGAACCTGGCTTCCTTAAAAGCCATTAACCAAACTTCCTGATTCTGATGTAACATGAAGCTCTGTTTAACTACAGCTTCTCAGCTTGTTCGTTTACTTCTGCAAAGGAGCAACATGTGGATACATGAAGCTTGTGAATATCTTCACTCATTAAGCTGTGGTTCGATTATCTGAACGTGGCCAGTTACATAAAATGCATACCTCGTCCTTCAGTATTACAAATCATGTAAAACAATTAAACACAAAAATCACGCACAATGCAACAGAAACAATAGAACAGTAAAATCATAGAAGTCATATGCCTAACCTGAAATTGTGGGGGTACATTGAGAAGGGCACCTGAAGATGATCTTGGCGTACAAAAAATCTGTGGGAGAAGGCAGTCCTAATATTACACCTGCTCCAACACTAACCCTAGTTAATGCTAACCAGGTTCCTTCTTAATACGGTTTTTAGCAAATCTATGTGATATTCTGGTAAGTCTAGCTAACACTACCCATGATTAGCATTTGTACAGATGTAACAGAAAAGTGTTATTAAGGGTGACAAGGAGAGAAAAACAGGTGATATCTGTGTTGGAGTGGGATGCGGCATTGGAATGCCTGTTCCCAAGGCTGGTTTTTAGTAGGCAAACCATAGTTTGCAGCAAACAAGCATTGCACCAGCAAGGGATCTACTATTAACCCAAACTTTGTTCACCACTCTGAAAGGACTGGAAAGAAGAAAACACTAGAGCAACATAATCATCCAATGAGAAGAGAACATACAGAGACCCCCCTAGAATACTCATCTCTAAAACTGAATTCTTCACTGTGGAAAAACTCTTATAGAAAGTGAAATCTGAAATATAGAGTATCTCTAATATTGATACAGGTATCCAAAAGCTACCTATATTCAGTGACACACACACACATTTTGAGGCTACTAATGTACAAATTTCTTATATATCAGTACAGTCATGGGAAAAAGAATGTGCGGTTTTACATATGGAATTCTGTGGTTTTACATATGGAGACATAACAACAATAATCTGTTCCTTAGCAGGTCTTAAAATTAGGTAAATACAACCTCAGATGAACAATAACAAATGACATATTACACCATGTCAAGTTTTATTTAACAGAAATAAAGCCAAAATGGAGAAAACATGCATGAAAGACTAAGTACACCATTACTGCATCCATAGGAATTAAGAGGCCAAGTAGCAGACAGATGCTGCTAATCAAATGTGCTTGCTTAAGGGCTGCCTGGGAGTGGGTCCCAGCAAACAAAATGGCTGGGGCAGGTTCCACAGGGGGGGATGCACTCGGACAACCGATCTCAGTGATCACGGGTAGGAGGAGGAGTTACGCTAAGACCAGACCATGTCATTACCGAGGAAGCAGGCTTAGTCGTTGTTTGAGGACTATCCCTGCCTCCAGGTCTGGTCCTGACCGGAAGGATACTGGAATCAACAAGGGAAACCCACATGACCTGAAAGTGTTGCTGTGCAATGCCAGGTCAATGATGAATAAAACCTCTGCCATCCACGACCTGATTGTGGATGGAGGATTTGACCTGGCATGTGTGACAGAGACCTGGTTGGATGAAGCAGATGGGCCCGTCCTTGCCGCTGCTTGTCCACCAGGTTTCTCTTACGCACAGCAACCCAGGCCTTGTGGGCGGGGAGGGGGGGTTGCAGTGATTTTTAGGAAGTCATTAGTTTGCACCGGGCGTCCTATTGGAAAGACCCAGTTCTCTGAGTGCATGTTCTGGAAGTTGGGCAATAGGAGCAGTACAGGATTCCTATTGGTGTACCGACCTCCCCGCTGCACCAAGGATTCCCTGCCCGAGCTGCTTCAGGTCGTGGCGGATGTCCTCCTGGAGACACCTAGTTTGGTTGTCCTAGGGGACTTTAACATCCATGCCGACACGACCTTACAAGGGGCCGCTCGGGACTTCGTGGAAAGCATGGCCTCCATGGGGCTGTCCCTGAATAAGTCTGGCCCAACTCATAGCCACGGGCATGCCTTAGACCTGGTGTTCACCTCTATGGATGTTGGTGATCTGACATTAAGTAAAAGCGAAACCAAAGAAGTGCCATGGTCAGATCACTTCCTGGTGCAACTGGACTTCTCCGTGACCCTTCCCCTCTGCAGGGAGGCGGGACCGATTCAGATGGTCCGCCCCCGCCACTTAATGGATCCAAATGGTTTCCAGAGAGTGGTAGGGGATGTTTTATCCCATGTTGATGGCCTTTCAGCTGATTCCCTGGTGGCCCGCTGGAATGTGGAGTTAACCAGGGCTATTGACTGTTTGGCTCCAAAGCGCCCTCTCCGATTGCATGGAGTCCGGACAGCCCCGTGGTTTTCCACGGATCTGAGGGCAATGAAACAATCGTTGAGACGGCTAGAGCGCCGGTGGCGGATAACCCATTCTGAATCTGACCGGACACGGGTTAGAGCTCAATGTCGAGCCTACCAAGTGGCGATAGCGACGGCGAAGAAGACTTTCTTCACCGCCTCTATTGCATCTGCGGAAAACAGCAGCAGGAGACTCTTTCAGGTGGTTCGCAATTTAGCGGAACCACCTGCTCCATCAGGGCCCAGTAGCGGCCACATGATCTCCTGCAATGACTTTGCAAAGTTTTTGCAGATAAAGTCGCTCAGATTCGAGAAGAGGTAGACTCCACCGTGGGAGCAGGGCCGGGGCGGGAGAGTGCTAGAGTCCTGTCTAGTCAAGTTGTGTGGGATCAATTCCAATCTGTTACCCCCGAGGATGTGGACAGGCTGCTTGGACGAGTGAAACCAACCACTTGCCTCCTTGATCCTTGCCCATCCTGGCTTATAAAAGCTAGCCGGGAAGGACTGGGCGATGGGCTTCGTGGGGTGGTGAATGCTTCCCTCCGTGAGGGAGCCTTCCCAGACCCGCTGAAAGAGGCGGTTATTAAACCGCTTCTTAAAAACCATCTTTAGATGCGGCCACGATAGCCAACTATCGCCCAGTCTCAAATCTTCCATTCTTGGGCAAGGTGATTGAGCGAGTGGTTGCTGAACAACTCCAGGCACGCCTGGAAGAAGCGGACCATTTGGATCCCTTCCAGTCGGGATTCAGGCCTCATCATGGGACTGAAACTGCCTTGGTCGCACTGGTTGATGATCTCCGGCGGGCTAGGGACAAAGGTGAGAGCTGTTTCCTAGTTCTGCTGGATCTCTCAGCGGCGTTTGATACCATCGACCATAACATCCTTCTGGACCGTCTTGAGGGGCTGGGAGCTGGGGGCACTGTTATACAGTGGTTCCGCTCCTTCCTCCTGGGCCGTGTTCAGAAAGTGGTGGTGGGGGATGAGTGTTCAGACCCCTGGGCCCTCACTTGTGGGGTGCCTCAGGGTTCTGTCCTCTCCCAAAGCATTACAACATCTACATGAAGAAGCTGGGAGAGATCATCAGGGATTTGGGCTGGGTGTTCATCAGTATGCAGATGATACCCAGCTCTACCTCTCTTTCAAATCAGAACCAGTGAAGGCAGTGAAGGTCCTGTGTGAGTGCCTGGAGGCGGTTGGAGGTTGGATGGCGGCTAACAGATTGAGGTTGAATCCTGACAAGACAGAAGTACTGTTTTTGGGGGACAGGAGGCGGGCAGGTGTGGAGGATTCCCTGGTCCTGAATGGGGTAACTGTGCCCCTGAAGGACCAGGTGCGCAGCCTGGGAGTCATTTTGGACTCACAGCTGTCCATGGAGGCACAGGTCAAATCTGTGTCCAGGGCAGCTGTTTACCAGCTCCATCTGGTACGCAGGCTGAGACCCTATCTGCCTGCGGACTGCCTCGCCAGAGTGGTGCATGCTCTGGTTATCTCCCGCTTGGATTACTGCAATGCGCTCTACGTGGGGCTACCTTTGAAGGTGACCCGGAAACTACAACTAATCCAGAACGCGGCAGCTAGACTGGTGACTGGGAGCGGCCGCAGAGACCACATAACACCGGTCTTGAAAGACCTACATTGGCTCCCAGTACGTTTCCGAGCACAATTCAAAGTGTTGGTGCTGACCTTTAAAGCCCTAAACGGCCTTGGTCCAGTATATCTGAAGGAGCGTCTCCACCCCCATCGTTCTACCCGGACACTGAGGTCCAGCACTGAGGGCCTTCTGGCGGTTCCCTCACTGCGAGAAGCCAAGTTACAGGGAACCAGGCAGAGGGCCTTCTCGGTAGTGGCGCCTTCCCTGTGGAACACCCTCCCACCAGATGTCAAAGAGAACAACAACTACCAGGCTTTTAGAAGACATCTGAAGGCAGCCCTGTTTCGGGAAGCTTTTAATGTTTGATGTATTATAGTATTTTAATATTCTTTTGGAAGCCGCCCAGAGTGGCCGGGGAAGCCCAGCCAGATGGGCGGGGTATAAATAATAAATTATTATTATTATTATTATTATTATTATCATCAGTAAGTGTGCCCACCTCTATAAAAGCCAAAGTTTTAGCAGTTTTCTGGTCTGGAGCATTCAGGTGTGTTTTAACAAAATGCCAAGGAGGAAATACGGCACAGTGCTCTTAGAGAAGCAAGTGCTGCTGCCCATGAAACTGGGAAGGGTTCTAAGGCCATCTCCAACCAATTTTAAGTCCATCATTCCACAGTGAAAAAGATTATTCAAAAGTGGAAAACATAACACTCAAGACAGGTGCAATCTTCCCAGGAGTGGATGTCTTAGCAAATTCATCCCAAGAGCAGACCGTGCAGTGCTCAAATTGCAAAACCCCCAAGAATTACATCTCAGGCCCTACGGGCCTCAGCTAGCACATTAAATGTTAAAGTTCATATACAATTAGAAAAAGACGGAACAAGTATGGTTTGCTGGGAAGGGTTGCCAGGAAAAAGTCTCTTCCCTCTAAAAAGAACATGGCAGAACAGATTAGTTCAGTTGCATCTTAACAAACCACAAGATTTCTGGAACAATGTCCTTTGGACAGACAAGACCAAAGTGGAGATGTTTTGCCATAATGCACAGTGCCACGTTTAGCAAAAACCAAACACAGCATATCAGCACAAACACCTCACACCGTCAAGCATGGTGATGGAAGGGTGATGATTTGGGCTTATTTTGCAGCTACAAGACTTGGGGAACTTGTGGTCATTGAGTCAACCATGAACTCCTCTGTATACTAAAGTATTCTACAGTCAAATGTGAGGCCATCTGCCTGACAGCTGAAGCTTGGTTGAAATTGGGTCATGCAACAGGACAAGGATCCCAAGCACACCAGCAAATCTACAACAGAATGGCTGAAAAAGAATAGAATGAATGGCCCAGTCAAAGTCCAGACCTCAATACAATTGAAATGCGCTGCGGGACCTTAAGAGCGCTGTGCATCAACAAATGCCAGCAAACCTCAATGAACTGAAGCAACGTTGTAGAGAAGAGCAGGCCAAAATTCCTCCACAATGATGTGAGAGACTGATAAAGTCCTACAGAAAATGATTCATTCATGTTATTGCTGCTAAAGGTGGTTCTACAAGCAACTGAATCATAAGGTGTACTTAGTTTTTCACACATAGCTTTTCCATTTTCATTTTATTTCTGTTAAATAAATCATGACACAGTGTCATATGCCATTTGCTATTGTTCATCTGAGGTTGCATTTACATAATTTTAAGTCCTGCTAAGGAACAGATGATTGCTATTAAGTCTTCATATGTAAAGCCACAGAATTCAAAGAGGGTGCACTTTCTTTTTTCCCATGACTGTATGTTTTAGGTATGTTAGGTATTGTCACATGAAAGCTGATATATCAATTATGTTTTAATCAAAACTTTAAAAATGTCACTTCAAAAGCTATTAAACATGATTTTATATTATACAGTGCTTACTTTTTAAAAATGCATTTATATGCTGCTAGATTTTTTTTCTATCGAATTATCATTGTAAGCAACATATTTTTAAAAATAAAGTGATTGCTGTCTTATAGTCTGACAGTAAAATGACTCACTTCATTTTATAAATAGTCAGTGGATGCTGACATTACAAAAAAGAAAAATGCCTGTTGAAAATGATTTAAACCAATTGTAATTAATATATACCCATAAACTGTGATGTCTTCATTGCCTTGGCCAATACATCTTGCATGGAAAAATGACAGCTTATAAAAGCGAAACAGAATTTATAGCCTGTTTCAATTTGCATGTTACATGTCATCATTATGAAAAAATAATATGCCAGATTCCCATTTCTAGGAATATAGGCTTAGGGAACAAGTGATTGAAAATAAAAAGTATGAAGCACTGTATCGACATCTGGAATTCAGAAGTTCTTAAAATGCAGAAATCACATAAATAATAATTATCTCTACAATAGTAACATTCAGCGGTGAAAGCTGATAGCTACACACACCCAAAGAAGAGGAAAGATGTTCATATTCAGGAGAACTATATGCTATGCAGAAGTAGAAAAAATGGGGGGGGGCCTAAAAGTGGACACATTTGCACCCCAACCACTAAAACTGCATCTCATGTACCATATGCCTCCCTCACCCAGGTCCTTTCCCATGTGAGGCTTGCATGACAGATGTCAAAAAGCCACTGTGAAGATTCCTTTCTGAATGTGTTAAGAATCGAAAACAAAGGAGCAAGAAAAGCAACAATAATATTAGTAAACAAAACAGGGATGGGGGCAGATGAAAAAGAGGAAGCAGATGTAGCTGACAGGAACAGTAAGACTGAAAATATGGAGGGCTGATGAAGGCAGAAATGACAACATACTGGACAGCTGAAAAGCAAATGAGAGGGGAGGGGTGGAAATCATAGCAGAAAAAAGGGGAAACTGCAGGACAAGTGAAAGAGGAAACAGAAATCAAAGAGAAGAAATGGGAGAAACAATAGGGAGTGAGGAAGACAGAGCAAGCAAAGGGAAAGGGAAGCAAGAGGCTGTGCGAGCCACTAAACTGTATTTTATTTTCCCATGCAGAACTTTGCTGTTGACTCTGCCTGGTAACAGCAATACAGCTTTATCAGAAAGATTTCCCATTTTTAAATGTTACCTAACCCCCATGTTGCAGCTTTGAGGACTTTTCTGAGCAGGTAACCCAAACTAGTACTTACAAGCTCTGTGATTCTTGACTTGCTGATGATACACAATCTGCCCCCGCAACAGGCGTTGGAATTCTCTCCGAAAGCAAACTAGTCTATCAGAAATGAAAAGCAAATTACATAAATTTACTGTTAGCAACAGTAGCAAATCTAAATTATGATAGCTAACAACATAGTATGATAAGGCTATTTGATTAAGCATCAGAAATATCTTAAGGGCAGACATATCTGCAGATTGTTGGAGGGCCTTTCTCTGAGTGCCTACCATCATTTTGGACCCCAGCAGTGACATTACTGCAGTTATCAGTCAACACTGCTTGGCCATTGTTGGTGGGGGTGCTGCAATGGGTGTGGTAATGACAATGCTGTTTCTGCTGTCTGATAAACCCACTTGTGTGCAGGGGTGATGGTGGGTGCCTAGTTTCCCAGACCATTATAGCACCACTGCCAGATATGCCTGTTAAAGAAACCTGCCAGCTACCTGCTTCCAAGGGTGCTTTACCCAATTGCAGCAACACTGCAATGCACCAGAGAGCCAAATGGATGCTTGGATCCTTCACCACTTACATTAATAACCTAATAATACATCCTGATACCACCAGATAAACTAGCTTGCAAATGTGCAAGGTGAGAAGCAACAGCTGCTGCAGCAGCAACCCCCCGTGTGATAGTGGGGCGCTGGGCACTGACCAGCTTATGGGCATCATGAAGTTACTTGGTGAATGTTTCTAATGTAACTCTTGGAACCAAAAGCAATGCATGCAAGAAATGCAGCACTGGACTTTTCATGACTAATGAAGATTAACAAACAGATCTACTTGCCAACTTTAAAAAACATTTCAAGCTCCCAACATCTATTCAAGCCTATTTCACATATAATATAAATTAGAATGTACACATCTGTATACTATACTGGCAATATTTTCCACAGCCTGAGAGGACAAGATTTGCTTATTTTTTAACTACAGCAGTACCTCGGGTTAAGAACTTAATTCGTTCTGGAGGTCCGTTCTTAACTTGAGACTGTTCTTAACCTGAGGTACAACTTTAGCTAATGGGGCCTCCCGCTGCCACTGCACGATTTCTGTCCTCATCCTGAAGCCAAGTTCTTAACCCGAGGTACTATTTCTGGGTTAGCGGAGTCTGTAACCTGAAGCGTCTATAGCCTGAAGTGTCTGTAACACGAGGTACCACTGTACACGTGCACAGTGTTGGGATCCAAGAGAAATTGCTGCTCCCCCTCCCTCTTTGCTATGCTTGTTACAAAGAGGGGAAAACTAATAATCATCTTTGGGATATTATAATGTTAAGGTGCCACTTCCATGATAAAATCTGTACTACATTACATTTTCAGCATAAAAAGTACCCTTTGGGAACAGATGCACACACAAGCAAACATAAACATCCTTTGCATAACTTCTATATATATATGCTTTGTATAAACAAGGATAGGACTACCTTTTTCCAAGCCTCAGAAATAGATCCATGTAAATGGTAAGGTAGCAACACCTCTAAGCCTTCGCAAGTACTATACATCTGGTGGCATACAAAGATGAAAGCACCTTTGAGCACTGGCAACATCTCAGACCCAGAAAGAACAGAAATGTCTTCATCAAGAAGCTTCTTTGTAAACTGAACAATAGTATGTGCACCCCTAAGGCTACAAAGAATGAAACATTTCAAAAAACAATGTTTTATTGATTCGGCAGAATTATGATGAAATAAAGCTTTTCAGTTAGTAATTGAAATGTTAATCCTTCTTCTGCTTATACAATATGCTGAGACTTGGCCTAAAGAAAGACTTACTGCCTATCATCTTCCCACGTAAGATGGGAACAAACATGAGCAAAACAAAGTAGGAAGGCTTCTCTCCCCCTTCCACAGAGATCACCTATAAAACTGCTTTATTCTTAGTGAAGCTACACATCCACCATGTGTTTGAGCAGCATGACTTGGCATGTCAGTTTCTTAACAAATAAGCAACAGCAAGACCCAATCCATATTGAAACCATATTGTTGTATAACTCTCTGTATAACATCTATATAACTCTCTACACCACCACCTTCCCACCCAATTCATTTGGATCGTGGTCATAATGCAGATCGGTCCCTTTGCCATAGCTGCTCTTTGTTAAGAAAGTGATATTGCATTTGCAAGTTTTTCCTTTTTACATTCTTTTTTTTTTTTTTAAGAACTCCATTAGTTTTACATATGATTTATATCAACCCACAGGACATAATCAATGATACCAGGTGCTAAATAGGTATGATCTCAACTATTTAGAAATGTCTGTGTTCATTTTTAAGACAGAGCAACCTGGCTCAGGGAAGGTGTATGAAGGCATTTATACTGCTGTGAAAGTGGTGATGTATTCTGAGAAGCACACAATTTTCATATCTCCACATTTCCCAGGATAGCAGAAACACATCTTCAATTTAATTGGGAATATGTTCCTTTAACTATTTCATCTTACATGCCACCTTCCCCAGAATGCTCTGGAGACTGAAGCATTCCACTTTGATTGTTGATTAACCACAGTTTATGATACATCCAAATCATAAACTGTAGTTAAGTCTTAGCTACTACTGCAGCAAGCCAACCTCATTAATCCAAGGTTTGCCACTGAATTCAATAAACAGTAAACATTAGTTAATTCTACATTTGTCTGGGTTCAGACACAATGTTTAATTGCGGTTAGTTTAAAACAGAAATGAAACCTTCTGCTATACTCTTATGGAGAGCAGGTAGGTGAGAGTACACAAGCCTAAGGTTTGTTGACGTAACAAGAAATCATAGTTTATCATTACAACCAAATGCAGTAATACTTTAAGCCAAGAAACAAAAGCATGACTAATGAGAAATAACATGAAAATTACAGTGTACGGACCATTCAGGTATTGAATGCAGACTGTTTTCTACAGGTGTGGGAGCTATCTCCTTAGGTACATTTGCATAAACAACAAAACATGCAAGCTGTTTATTTTATAATTCAAATCATGGAAGCTTCTCTCAAGACTTATATACAACTAATTAGATATGAGAGACAAGAACTTATTTCATAACACTGTTTTTGTTCTTTTAAAACACATTCTCTTACCTACCACCCTCCATGGCAGAGGGCTTCTCTCCTCCATAGAGAAGGAGTGAAAGACCATCGTCTGCAGCAGCAATCCTTGCCAAAATATCGGCTATATGTATTAGAGTTGTTTCAGGAGAATTGAGATGCACCTGCACATACATTTAAAAAATTCTGAAGATTAATGTTTTATAGAGACTTTTGTCTACAAACCTTGTGTAACTAAAGGCAAATTAATGTAACAAGACTGAGGAATTCTTACATTATAATCCAGCTTATGTCAATGGAGCTTTGATTTTTTGATTTTTTTTAAACAATACAGTTGTAAATGATACTGCTGATTTGTATTTAGCTAAAAGTAGCTGTGAGAATAAATCTAAATGTTAACTGACAAACAAGAACAGAAGAATCCAAAGTCCCTTCAAAACGAATTAACATTTATTTCAAATATAAAATAGAAACAGATGGGGCTAACTTCCAAAATAGACTAGCATGCCAATTCCACATTCCTTCTCTTACTGAAACAAGGATGGAAACCTATGACTCTCCAGATGTCAATAGACTATAATTCTCAATATTCCTTATGATAGAAGTTGGAATCCAACAATGGAGGGTTATAGGTTAGCTGCCCTTGACTTACATGAAATGCAGCTTTCTTCATAATCTTCCCTGTCTCCTTTCCCCACAAATCCCAAGCTCCATTTTTAACTTTGTCTCTTGTAATTCATTACAGCTTAGCCCAGGCAACAATATGTTTTATTTCACTGTGGTGTGCACAGCTGTATTGAAACAGATACAGACACAATGTCCCCAATGCAATTCTCACTATTTTGCAATGCACATCTCCATTCACTAGTTATATGCAAAACCACATTGTGACTGACAATTAAATGGATCACAGCCATTACTTTTTTCTACATTAAGTTTTATTCATGTTTATTTAAAGGAAATACAACCAACCTCTGTTCCATTCAGTAAATAATGTATTGGCTGAAGAAGTGCTTCTATCACTGTATTAGTATATAGACATTCAGTTGCACATTCTTTTCTCTCACAAAGAATTCCGAGCACATCAGTAATAAGGCCTGCTGGAGAATAATTGCCTGACAAATAAAAAGAGACTTGTTTCAAAATAGTAAAGAACAACAGAGTGAGCAACACAATCAGATAAAGGAAAAGAAGCAAGTGATATTTCTTCCCTCTTGCCAAGCCCACCACTTCAAATACCCATCAGATGTGAAGAGTCATTCAGTTTTCACTTTAAATATGATGTCATGGTGTCTACAGACACAGAAATGATTAAGAAATATGGAAGTGAACAAACCTTTATTCACAAAGAAGAAAATTAAAGAATAACAGAGCAAATACAAAGGGCAATGTTACCTGAATGCACTGTAAGAGTCTTTGGGCAATTTGGGGCGCAATAGATAAGACGAGTAAACATTACGACAAGGTCTGTCAAGGACATCAAATCTACAAAAATGAGAATGGGGGAAATAACTTCATGTTACTTATAATTTAATTAGGAACAACAAACGAATACCTGAATAAGAATTTAAGTTAAATTGCTGTAGCTTTTCTTCCATTTCCAACTGCTTCACAGACAGAAACCATTTAATTTAATTTATTACTGGTAGAGCTATTCCAGCAATGTCAAATAAACGGTTGGGTTCATGTTTTCCTTCCTGGAAAATAATGTAATCAAACTTTTTTTGTAACAGCCACAGGCCAAGGAGGACAGATGGAAGAATATTTAGATAATTGTGCAAGATGATAATGTGTACTTCTTCATAGCCATAAACCAACCTGCCTTGGAAAAACCATAAGTCAGCGCTGCATGAATAAGTACAAGTGAGCCCCAGGCACTTGTCCTCACCCTCCTCTTCCAGTACAACAGCAGGAGGTGGAAAATACGACAATTGCGGGTTAAACGACCTAGTTTTGTTACATCCCACCTAGGGAAACTGGTTAATTTAAACTATGCCATGTTTGGAGAATCATAAACTGTCATTCGATGTTGTCTTATTACAACTAACTATAGTTTAAACTAACCAGAATTCCAGTTCCATTGATGTCAGTTCTCTTACTGAGCCATGATAACTTCCCCAAAGGAAGAAAGGTATTCCAATGAAATGCAATTCTGTCTCGCGTGCCTGTCATTGTCTCCAGCAAAGAACTCAAAAGCTGTATTCTAATTTCCCCATTTTTCCACAATAGATGTGTCCATGCAAATTTGTGAACTGGCACACTAGCAGATCTGGTAACTTCCCTTCACTCCCAAGGTTTGGACATAACAATAAACACCAGTTAGTTGAAAACAGAAAACACATGCTTCCTTGAATCCACCTCAGGAAAGATGGGTTGAAGAGAATAAAAGTGCAGGAACCGAAGGTTGTTTACACTGCACTAAGCTATGGTTTAGCATTATGTCCAAATCGAGTCACTATGTTAGTTTTGATAAACATCTCAGCTTCGCCACTGTTGCAGAAAACAACAAAGTTTTGTTATAAATAGGTTTTAAAAAATCCAGATAAAAATAGTGAGACAGGAATTTATGTGTGATACTTCTATATAGAACAGCATGGGATAATGCACCAGGCACTCCAATAACTGTCCTGCTTACATAATTTACGCCACATAATTTACACCCTGTTGTACAATCTCTTTTGGATACCTATAAGCCCTCTCCCACAAACAACAAACCAAAGCTGAAAAAGCATTAGAAAAATGGCCCTAATAGAACACACTGTCATGTTTCTATGCTTCTGTGTTCTTTAACACGCACTTACCTTTTCTGTTTTTCAGCTGAATAGGAAACAGTCTTCTGCCTTGTTTATATATCAACAATCTTCCTAAGAGGCTCAGGGAATGAACAAAATATATATACTGCAATTCTTTTCCAGTGTAAAAATTCTTCTGTTTATTACCTTGAAAGACAAGGCAGTTCATGTCAATAAACCTGTGCTGTCTCTTGCTTCGTTCTTGTATACTAGAGTCCAAGCAATCACTTCTATCATGGACAATAATGTATTTATAAAGAAAACTGCCAAGATCACAAAAAATGCAACCACCAATAAAAATTGGATTTGCCATTTCTAGGTGGGAGGGAAGCCTCACACAGTTGAAATGTTATTTAGAAATTCTGAGATAGAACATATTCTGAACATTTGTCATAAAAAGCACTACTGGAACACTGCTACATATTTTATTAAAATGTAAGCAAAAAAGAAGACGTCAAATAAATATATATTATTCAGCATATGGAAAAATTACTTACCATTATGCAGTGTGGAGAAAGAATTAAACCTGCCTGTTTTATCAACCACTGATTCACAAGTTTCAAGATAGGAAACACACTGCTCAACAGATGCAATAATCTGACAAATAAAACAACAAGGTATAACAAAATTCACAGGAAATGCCTATTGCACAATTCCCTTTATTAATGAAGATTCACTTCACTCACATCATTAGCAAATTTGCATTTGACCCTTTTCACATGAATTTTGAGTTGGTAGAAGTATATACAGGCAGTAGTGTAAATTATAAAGTCTCTGCAGAACATCATATTTAGAATGTGAAACTGAACTTCCTAAATGGCCATATTGATAAACAAAAATCAATTAAGGAGTATGTAATATCTTAAGATATGTCTTGGTTCAGTTGTAATTGATATGTACTTTGTTCCTTGTATTGATAAGAAAGGATATTGACTGATGAAAAAACAGACTTACCAAAGATTTGTATTTTTTTTCAAGTAGCCTTAGCACCACTGTTCTGCTATAATATGCATGCTAAAATGACAAAACATACATACATTACACTTAAAGCACTGAGTAAAAAATCAAAATGATTCAATTATTTTTCAACTAATTACAAGATCAAAATTGCACAATAAGTTCTGAAGTTAAAAGTAAAGGGACCCCTGACCATTAGGTCCAGTCATGACTGACTCTGGGGTTGCGGTGCTCATCTCACTTTATTGGCCAAGGGAGCCGGCGTACAGCTTCCGGGTCATGTGGCCAGCACGACTAAGCCGCTCCTGGCGAAGCAGAGCAGCGCACGGAAACGCCGTTTACCTTCCCACCAGAGTGGTACCTATTTATCTACTTGCACTTTGACCTGCTTTCGAACTGCTAGGTTGGCAAGAGCAGGGACTAAGCAACGGGAGCTCACCCCGTCGCAGGGATTCGAACCACTGACCTTCTGATCTGCAAGTCCTAGGCTCTGTGGTTTAACCCACAGTGCCTAGTCCATGTTAGTATATATTGGGTTGTAGATAGGTGTGTAGAGAAGCAAATAAGTGCTTTGTATTTACTGGAAAACATAGTTCGAATTGTCTGTAAACCTACAGCACTATTTTAATTTCATTTTGACTACTGCCTGTTGACACCAAGGACAATTCTACCCATACTCTACAGCAGGGGTGGATGTTGCTGGATTTCAGTTCTCATTAGCCCCAGCCAGCATGGCCAATGGTCAGGGGTAGTGGAAGTTTCAGTCCAACATATGGAGAGCCCCCAGTTCACCATCCACGCTCTACAGCATGGGTAGGCAAACTAAGGCCCGGGGGCCGGATCCGGCCCAAGCACTTTCTAAATCCAGCCTACAGATGGTCTGGGAATCAGCGTGTTTTTACATGAGTAGAATGTGTCCTTTTATTTAAAATGCACCTCTGGGTTATTTGTGGGGCCTGCCTGGTGTTTTTACATGAGCAGAATGTGTGCTTTTATTTAAAATGCATTTCTGTGTTATTTGTGGGGAATAGGAATTTTTTGTTGTTTTTCCCCCAAAATATAGTCTGGCCCCCCACAAGGTCTGAGGGACAGTGGACCTGGCCCTTGCTGAAAAAGTTTGCTGACCCCTGCTCTACAGCCTTCTAAAACAAGGGCACGTTCCACATGTGTAATAGATTAAGTCATCTATTTCTTAAGCACAGTCCAGACACCATGCCTCCAAGATGCATTTCCACTGTAGGGATCATGCAATTAATTTGCTTATGGTGGGATTTAGTGTTACATCCATCATGTGCTAGCAGAGTGCTATAGTATTCCTGCAGTGCGAGTTTTTTTGGGTTTTTAAAATACAAGTAGTCCTCCTCCTGCCATGTTCTTAACTTGGTTTGGTTTAGTTTGAAATGTTACTGTGGGTTGCATTCTATCCTGGTGAGCCCATATCATTCCCAATAAGCCAGATGAAGGAGAAACCTGCAACCTTCCGTGCAATTCCTCAGAAATTGCAACTTATCTCATCTATTGCATTACACTGACACATTCAATATCAACCTCTTGAAGAAAAGGACTAAGAGGATTATTAGCTCAAGGCATTATCAACAAAGCAATAACCTTGAAGGACTAACAGAAGAAGCTGCAATCAGCAAAATAAATACGTTTGCTTACCATCCATTTTTTAAACCAAACAGCCTTGAGATCGACTAGAGCCAAGAAGTACACGGGATCCAAAGAAACAGGGTGGCTTGACTCACGCTTTGCTGACAAAAGTGACAGGGTACTCTCCATTATTTCTTCCATGTACCTAAATATGTTATAAAGAACGAGCTGTTAAATAAAATCCCAATGTTCATACTGATGCCCTTTGTATTTAGACTCTCCATCATTCAAAAAAGGAATTTGAAAAGGGAAAGAAATCAGATGCATTTTAATATTTTCTACTTTACTGTGAATATGATTTTTTAAAGTCAAGAAATTGTATGTACTATTTTTTTTTTTTTTTTACACCAAAAGAAAGTCACCTTCAAAAGGAGATTAAGAAAGTTACAATGAGCAATATTGTGAGTATGTTTACTGGGGTACTGTGAATACATTTTTGAGTTAAACTGCAATAATAATTTAGAGTATGCAGAACACCATTCTCCATGCTTAAATATTGTGAAGACCAGCTGAAAGGGGAAAGTGATTGTGATCCTAAATCACCAAACAGGAAACAGAAGTGTCACCTGTAGAATCCAAATCAGGAAACCAGTAACTGGCATAGATTAAATAGCACAAAGAGAATAGTTGGTTTGAGGAGTTTTAAGTCAAGGAACTTTGTCCTCATAGACACAGATTGACTTATGACAGCAAGCAATGGAACCAAGAAACTTCACTATCAAAAGACAGATGAGTAGCAGTAGTAATTTCATGTTTCATAAATCACTGATTTTAGAAATTTAGCACAAAGAAATTGCAACAGGCAAATGAAAACTAAGGAAACAATTTGATAATTGTGACATACTTTTCTGGATGACGAATCCAAAAAGATGGTACTTCCCTCTGGTACTCATTTAGCAGACGTATCTATGAATAAAAGAAAAACAGCTTGTTTGCTTTTTTTAAAGACTGGATGGGGAAAATAACTAAATTTGAAAAAGAAATATGGGAAAACTGATTTGTACCTTTTTAAGTAAACGGATTATATCTGGGTTGCTTATATCAATACCTATTGATATGGTAGGAACATAACTATCTTCAGAAAGGAAGTACATCTCTAAATACTTTGCTGTAAAGAGATAAATAATTGCCAAATAATTTAAGAGGCAAATTTTTAAAATGGTTGCTGGCTACAGAAAGCAAGTAACATTTCTCCATTTGACTTAATGAACTTACCCAAACTTGTATACAGTTCCCTTGTCATATTTAGTGGAGAGGAAGAAAATGTCTTGGCATAGAATTTCAAAACTTTGTCCTGAAACAGTAAAAATGAAAGCTAGTTCATAAAATCTAAACAGAATTTCAATGTTCTGCATCAGCAGCAATGTTATAAAGAACATCTGACTTGTTAATTTATTTCATTTCATTTTTTACCCAGCATTCTTCGAAGGCGTTTCGAACTGTTGTCTTTCTGCCTCACAACACCCCTGTGAGGTAGTTTATGCTGAGAGACGATCAGTAGCCCAAAATTACCTAGTGAACTTCATGAGTGAATGGTGGTTTAAATCTGGGTCTCTATAGTCCTAACCTGATACTAACCACTATACCACACTGGCTTCTGTAGCTCTAACATACACCAGATGCACCTGTAGACTTTTCATTCTAAATAGAGTATTGTGCAAAAGCTGAAAATTGTTATAATAACATAACTCCCTATATTGACAGCTGAAGCACTTGGGCCTATATATAAACACACAGACAACAGGCTATACAGTGGTACCTCTGGATACGAACGGGATCCGTTCCGGAGCCCCATTCGCATCCTGAAGCAAATGCAACCTGCGTCTGCACATCTGCGGGTCACAATTTGCCGCTTCCACGCATGCGTGTGACGTCATTATGACTGTCTGTGCAGGCGCGAGCAGCGAAACCCGGAAGTAACGCATTCCGTTACTTCCGGGTCGCTGCGGAGCACAACCCAAAAGCACTCAACCTGGAGCAACTTCAACTCAAGGTATGACTGTATACACAAAACACGTTGTATAGCGGCCATGCCAAAATGTACCTACGGGACCTCTCCCCCAATATCTGGAGTTACCTTGATGGGAGAACACACCACCACTGTATCAAACAATAAGATAGCTTATAGATATATTACTATATTGGAAGGCAGGTTTGCTATAGTCCTGCAGGCTTTCTATTTCCGTGTTTACCTGAAGGAGCATCTCCACCCCCATCGTTCTGCCTGGACACTGAGGTCCAGCGCCGAGGGCCTTCTGGTGGTTCCCTCACTGCAAGAAGCAAAATTACAGGGAACCAGGCAGAGGGCCTTCTCGGTAGTGGCACCTGCCCTGTGGAACGCCCTCCCATCAGATGTCAAAGAAATAAACAACTATCTAACGTTTAGAAGACATCTTAAGGCAGCCCTGTTTAGGGAAGTTTTTAATGACTGATGTCTTAATGTATTTTTAATCTCCTGTTGGAAGCTGCCCAGAGTGGCTGAGGAAACCCATCCAGATGGGCGGGGTATAATAAATAAATAAATAATTATTGTTATTTTACATTCATTCAAAAAATGTGTAACACCACATAGCCCAAAGGCCAAATGAGACCCAGCAGTGCTCTCAATGTGGCCCGTAAGGCTGTTTTCCCCAAACCATGTCATATGTGGCAACAAGTGTGGGGTAGGTAAGGAACTATCACTGACAGTGAGCATGCCTGAAGTTGCCACCTGATGTTGTAATGGTATGAAGTGACTGACAGGTTGACAGCTCTGTTCACCTGTCAAAATGGCTTGTGGGGAAGCTCAGGATTCAGCCTACCAAATAGAAAAGCTTCCTGATCCCTGCATCACAACAGGGACAATTAAAACGCTGCATACATAATTTTATGCATGCTATTCAAGGAAGAAGTAGTAGTTATAAAGAAAGACGTACTTGGCCTGCTTCATTTAAAATCCCAATAGTCACTTTTCTACATGGAATTTCTGAAAGGTATGTAAAATCTTTGCATGTGCTTTGATTTTGAACACTATATAAATTATGATCACGCGATACATTAGGAATGGTAAAAAATAATTTCCTTACACTGAAACTGGAATCCGGATCTGAAAGTGCTGTTGCAAGATGTTTACGTAAATTAGCCCAACTCTCACAGTTTAATATATCAGACGGAGGAGCAGAACACAATGTCTGCATAGCTTCCTGACGCACCTGCAACATCAAGGTAAGATATGGGTTTAAAAAATCACAGAGTATTATCATATCAAAACAGAAATCTTCAACCAATGTGATGACCCGCGCGTGCACACACACACACACACACACACGGTAAGGTAAAGGACCCCTGGATGGTTAAGCCCAGTCAAAAGCGACTATGGGGTGCGGCGTTCATCTCGCTTTCTGGCCGAGGGAGCTGGCGTTTGTCCACAGACAGCTTTCTGGGTCATGTGGCCAGGATGACTAAACCACTTCTGGTGCAATGGGGGGGGGGGGACAACCAGTGGACCATAGAATAGTCTACCCTCATCTATATGTTGTCCACCTTTAGCTCTCCTGCACAATGCCTCCATACTTCTGCCTTCCTTAGAGTCTAGATCTCACCTTCCTCCTCTTCCTAAGTCTCAAGCCCACACGCGTATAAAGAACTAATAACAAATCATGCCCCCTCCAAATGAGACTATCCAAGTTCAATCAAGCAATGTGAGCTTAGGATGTGCTAAAATAAAAAGTATTGTCTAAGTGGGTGTGTCCATTTGCCTTTTAGACTCACCTCCTTAGGTTGTACCGGATCAAGCCTTTCTACCAGTAGTTGCAATTGTTCTTGATTCATGAATGTATAACTCTGTAACACATTGCAAAATGATCATTAAGTAACTCATTAAATTAAAAAGATTAATAACTATAATAATTAGCTATTATAAGTGAAATAAAAATTATCTTTATGGGATTCACATTATCTTAATGAAATATTAAGGGGGGGTATTGTTAATTATCAAATATAAGGAAAAAATGTTACCTTTCTATTTTTAATATCCTTTCTATTTTTAATTATACAACATGTGATACATGGTTTACCAACCATAACATTTTGTAGAAATAAAGGTAAGGCATTTTGGAAAGACCTAAACTTTATGGTGCTGCTCCCAGTAAAAAAAATCACAGAATCATAGAACTGTAGAGTTAGAAGGGAACCTAGGATCATCTAGTCTAACCCCTACAATGGAGGAATCATTGAGAAGGTTTAAGTACATAGTAAACATTTTGAATATTAATTAACTTTTCTCTGGGAAGTAAACTACTGTAATTAGACTTAGTACTTAAATTGTATGGGGTGCATGTACACCTTTGGTTCCCACCCTGCACTCAGCTCTAACTTGTGGCTCCTAGAAGCTGTCAGAATGTGACAGCTGGCCAGCTAAACCAAGTGAAGATAGCCGATGGAATTAGTGAATTAGGCACTTCCGCCTGCATGCGAAGACAGGCTCCGGCGTATTGAGCCCTAAGGCGGTTGTATGCCTCCTTCCAGCAACTCCTGCAGCCAATCTGGTATCAAATGTATAGCTCTGCTTTCCGTTGGGCCATAATAGCAAGGCCAAGAGTGGGGGTCTTGTCATCTGAGCAGCCCAGAACCTCCATACACACTGCCCAGGCTTGCACCTCCAGGAGGTCATTTCAGTGCTGCTAACACAGCAGTTTGGCTACACCCCTGGAGGAGCACTCCATTGTGTCTCGAGACACAGAGATGCCAACAACAACTTAAACTGACTTCAATATTGTGAGTACCCTGTGCACACAGTGGAGATGTGTAGAACTGCACTGAGGTTGTTGGGAAATCTTAACGCTGTGAGAATTCTATGCATGCCCTCAGATAAGGTATTCTAACTTTCAGTGGAGATAATACAACCCCATAAAAACCAATAGGCTTCCAGCCCTCGATCTAAATGGAATGGATTTTATCTATTGATTTTGCAGTAACAATTTAAAGAAAATATAGCCTCAAGTCTGGCAGTGTAAGTCAGAGAAAAGAATTTCTCATTGATTTCATCAGCAACAAACAAGAGGAGGAACATGAAGATGAAATCACAGAAACCAACTAGGGCTCTCCATTAACTCTAATGGGAGTGTATTTAGATATGACAGCTATTTTGGTGGCATAGCTCTATGTCAGCAGGGAAGTAAGGCCCAGCCCAGGGGAGGATAGAATGGCAACTATGGCCAGCTAGTCACTCTTCCATTCCTTACCACACCCCTGCCTTCCCCTTACACCCTTGTTGTTACAACCGCATAAAAGATGGCGGCCCAGCAAGATGATTACATAGACTTGACCATACCTGATTAAATGAAGAATCACTATCAGAGCAATTATCTGTATAGTAACTGCTGTGCTGTTCTGTTTTCACCTTCCTCTGAATTTCCTTATAGCGCATCTGATCTTCTTCAAACTTGTTAATTAAAGATTCAACTACAACCATCATAACATTCTTCAGAGAATGCATCATTTCTCTATACCTTCAGAGCAGAACAAATGTTATAAAAACAAACACACTAAAGTTGACAAATCTTATTACACAAAGGCTGAACTCCTAAGCACGAACATCAATGGGACTTAGTTGTGGATAGGTAAGTACAGTCAATAGGAAGTGATTGGTCTCTTTTTGTGGGGGCTTTGCACTGGTAGCATCGCAGTCAGAACAGAAACTTTTAAGGGGAAGCAATGGTTGGGAAGTTACCTTCAGAGATGTCCAACCATACGAGAGGGAAACCATACAAATGTTAGTACCTATTCACTGAAGGACTTTTACACAATAAACTTGAAAGTGGAGACTTAACTGGAAAATAGAAAAGGTCACAGATTGCCATAGCAAACTGATTTACATTCAGATACAAACCAACCAAGCCAGTATCGGGACCAAAGAACAACAGTACAGGAAAATACAGTCTCTGTATTGCTGAACCACAAACCATATCTTTGGGAAACCTAGTCAAGGCTGCCTTGGGTGTTTTTAGGTACTATATATTTTCTGACAAGACAAAGGTGCTGTTGTGGGCAGGTGGGGAATAAATCTGTTCTGGATGAAGCCACTATCCCCTGTAGGAGCAGATGCAAAGACTACACCAGTTTTGTTGCTTGAGGCCCAAATAATCTCAGTTCCAAGAATGCCTATCTTCAGTTTAAGTTGATCTGCCTCCCTAGATTGCAACAGCTTTGCTGCAGTAGTCCATGCTCTGTTGAACTCTAGAGTTGACTACTGTAATGCAATCTACATGGGGCTACCATTGAAGACAGTCTGGAAGCTGCAGCAGAACACTATCATATTATACTTGGACTTTTGGAGGAAGAGAGGGGAACTAGCCCCGTTGTACATCAGTGTGGAGAGAGTCTCTTCCTTTAAATTCCTGGGAGTTTATCTTAGTGAAGGCCTCACTTGGAAAAACAATATAACTCAGGTGGTTGGGAAGCCCCAACAGGGACTCCATTTTCTCAGGGTCTTGTGAAAGAACAATGTTAAACAACAATTGATGACCTCCTTCTACCGGTCCACAATAGAAAGTGTCCTCTCATATTGTATCACAGTGTGGTACGTTGGCTTGACAGCCACGGAGATAAAGTCTTTACAGAGGGGGGTGAACACAGCACATGATATCATGGGCTGTCCCCTGAGCCCACTAGATGACATCGCAAGGGTTCGTTGCCTTAGGAGAGCGAGAAAAATTCTCAGGGACGATTCACACCCCGGCCAGCACCTCTTTAATCTTCTACCCTCGGGCAGGAGATATAGAAGTATACAGTGGTGCCTCGCAAGACGAAATTAATCCGTTCCGCGAGTCTCTTCGTCTAGCGGTTTTTTCGTCTTGCTAAGCAACCCTATAAGCAGCTTAGCGCTATTAGCGGTTTAGCGGCTATTAAAGGCTTAGCGGCTTAGCTGCTAAAAGGCTATTAGCGGCTTAGCGGCTTAGAAAAAGGGGGGGGGAGCGAAAAAAAATCTCAAGACTCACAAGACATTTTCGTCTTGCGAAGCAAGCCCATAGGGAAATTCGTCCTGCGAAGCGCATCGAAAAACGGAAAACCCTTTCGTCTAGCGGGTTTTCCGTCTTGCGAGGCATTCGTCTTGCGGGGCACCACTGTAATCAGTCATACCAACAGGCTAAAAAATAGTTTCTATCTGTGGGCTGTTAGGCTGCTGAATGGAAAATAATATAGTGCAACTGACTTTCGGGGTTGGTGTGTTGTGCAACAAGCACACAGAGTGCAATGAGATTGAGTGTTAGGGGGACGGGGGAGGCTCGGTTAATTTCATTGTATGCAGGTTGAACATTGACAAAAAAAGGTACTGCTACTACTGTACTATTATTATTAAATTATTCCTATCCTTCTGGAATTGCACTAAATTCCCATTTGCTACCAGGCCCAACTCAAGGTGTTAATGCTAGCATATAAAACCCTAAACAATTTAGAGCCCAAATGCTGGAAATACTGCCTCTTCCTGTATCTGCCTAGTCAGACACTGTAGTCTGCAGGGTAGGTCCTTAACGTGGTCCTGTCAACAGATGTATCAATAATGCAAGATAGGGCCTTATCCTTGGCAGTGCCCAGGTCATGGAACTCCCTCCCACTAGAGATTCAGTAGTCCGTCCTCCCAGTGAAAAGGGAAAGGGTACTGTGAAATAAAGGGTATATGGGATATTTATTTGTGATTTTATACACTGCCTTCCTAGTCACTCCCCTTTACAGTCTTAAAAAAGAATCCCATGAAGACTGAGAATCCTAAATAACAGCATATAGCCTTGGGGTTTTTTTATATAAACAAAGGCTACCCTACAAGGATGAACATAGCCTGGCATTCATCTGTGCTCTCTAAAAATTATTTCTTTGTGCGGTTGGCTCAAAACTGACATGGCATTCCTAAATGTAAATAAATGGCTTATTAAAAATACAGCAGTCCACACATTAATTTATAAAAGCAATTAAGAACTGATTAAGTAACGAGGTTTTTCACAATGACATTTCTAATTTCCTCTCACAGAACAAGGCCATCCACATATCATTGAAAGTACTATTAAAATGTTCCTAAGATTGATCTCATCATTAGAGGTTCACTGAACTTTTCTACAAGGGGTCCTCCTTATCCTTGGTACTTTCACATTCGTCTTGCAATCTCCCACTGTCTGAAGGTTATCTGGCTATATTTAAAGTGATCAACACTTCCAGTAATATTTTGTTTGGTAAAATCTCATAACTAACTGGGCTGACAGAAACATTTCAGTAATTAGTATTTATTGAATGCACTTCTTACCCATTGTAAATAATTATAATTGAGTTCTAATTTTGCTACTATTCACAGAAATTGTTGATAATCATAATACCCTAATCCAATACCACCTATGAACACAAAAGCACCAGTCATGCTCACACAGGCACCCCCAATTAATGCCAAGGACAGATATGTCCTCACATCCGACAGTACCAATGTAATTACACTGAACAGTGAAAATCCCACTTAACCGAAATCTTTTTACTGGACCACCTGACGGGCTCCAGATTAGATTACAGTTTACAGTCCCTCCCTGAATCCCTTCTTAGAGGTAGAAAAGATGCATAATCATTGTGTGCATACCTCTAGCTTGTTACAGTGTGGTAATCTGCAGCACAGTGCTTTAAAGTAGCATTAAAAAAGATGCAGAAGAAAAAACTACTGCAACAAATACAAAAAAAAACCACCAAAAAACACCAAAGAGTAATTTTTGGTGAAGGCTTGCAGATAATAAATTGGCTGTACTTATTACACTGCTTCCTTCCAGAGACATTTTGTAAAATGTACTGTAAATGAGGGGAAACTTTGAACTTAGGGGGGGTGGGTTGCATTCTTTGGTAAAGTACTTACTGTAAAGAGCTTATTGTACAAATTCATCTGAATTAGCTTTAAGCAGGATATATATTCTCAACATTTCTGGTCAAATTACACCCTACAATTTTGGCTACAATTCCATTTACATGGAAGTAAGAACCACTGAACCCAATTGGCTTACTCCTTGAGTATGCATGTATAGGATTGCGACACCATGCCATTATTCCATGGTACCTAGCACACTTGTTTCAACAAAGTAGCAGAAACAGTCATTCAGAAGGAACAGGTGTCTCAGGATATGCATGAAATGTGAGGTGCACATTAATACCAAGTCTTCCCATGCTCATACTTATGGAATCAAAATCATACCACTGACACATGAGCGAGGTATAGGCAGACTCAGAATAATTCTGAGGTACATACAAGTACCAAAACTCTGCGGGGTAGAAAGCTAAGGAAGGGAGACACCCATTCAAAAAAGCAACAACCCAGCCCCTGAACTACTCCACAGCACAAACCAAGAAGATTAGAAGAATCTGCTGGATCAGGCCAGTAACCCATCTAGTCACCATCCTGTTCTCATAGTGGCCAACCAGAACTATTGAGATGCAGAGAAAAAATTAACATAGTTGGGTGGGAGAAGAATAGAGCTGCAGGAACAGAAGGAGACACATACAGCAGACATATATTCCTGGTTCACACTTAAAAACTAGACTGAAAAAATAATAAATGTAGCTGGAATTGGATACCAAGCGCGTCTACTTCACCCCACCCTCAAAAAGATCCAAGAGGAGAGGAAAAAACAACAACCCAAAATTAGCCTAGTGAGGACTGGGCATGTTCAGTGGGCCTGGGATGCTGGCTAACGTTCAAGGAGAGGAGGGGAAAACCAGGGGGGTGAGGACAGGATAAAATGGCTGGAAACCAGTATTCTACACTGCAGTATTTTGTTGCAGGGCCACTTGTTTGAGTTTTAATGCCAGCATAAAATAATTTTTTTCTGGCTTAAGCAAGGAAATATTACAAACAATGTCAAATCTGAAGTCAATCTTTCAGAAGAGTTACAATAATGAAGTAACACAATTTCTGAAGGACAGTGCCAGGAACCGATAAAATCAAGTATAAGCAGGAAAGAACATTTGAGAAAGTCATTCTTTTTGGACACTGTAGGTTTTTACATGTGTTTTGTACATGTACTCACTCTTTTGATTCTCGAGTCTTTTTAGTAACATGCTGTACCAGTGTATCATACCCAGATCCTTCACCCTGATTCTGTGCAGATGTACATTTCTCAGTTTCTTCTTCTATTACGGAGCCCAGCATGCTACTTATATATTGCCTAAGATACTTCACAAATTCATAGCTGTAATAAACATGTAAAGTATAACTTACTTTGTGCTGTTGTATTTTCAATGTTACATAAACTGTATTTCATCAGGTTACTGCTAGAATTCTGTACAGCAGGAGTTGGTCTAGGAACCTGTGGTCTTCCAGATGTTACTTCTATCATCTCTGACCACCAGCCACTCTGGCTGGGGCTGATGAAACATCTGGTTGTTAGATTCCACAGGTTCCCCACCTCTGCTGTAGAGGCGTCATGAAAGATTAGCAGATTTTTAACAGTAGATTTGCAGAGGTGAAAAGAAACTAGGTATTTAACTCACACCGAGTTTTGAAAGCATTTGTGGTCTATCTGCCAACTGGAAAAAATAAAGTATTTCTCCATAAATACTTAGTGTACATAATCCTATGGCTGCAAAATTATCAAACACACATAAAAAGGGAAAATGTAAAGATATATCTAATGTCTCAAAAACCATAGTTCACAAATGTTTTCAGTTATTATACATAATGCCACAAAGCAGCCTGCTAGATTTGTACAGATGGCTCAGTATTTTTTCCCCATTCCAAAATATATTACAATTAACCGCTTGCCCACAGACCTGGGGCAAGCAACAATTCTTTCCACATGAGTAGCTTGGTAGAAACAGCCTGTGAATGACAGACAAGCATTTAACTAAGTTGAAAATTGTTTCTTAAAGACATCTGCAGGATTGTAACATCTCAATTTCTAAAATCAACTGACTGGAACATTATATGTATGAGTACCCGCAATGTTCTAACAACACACAATCAAAAACATTGCATACTGCCAGTCATCAGCTGCAAAACTGCAGCAGCAAGTTTCCCCACATGGATCAGCAGTCACTATTCAGTTCAATGATGACACAAAAATAAACTTTCAAAAAAATTACTTGTGAAAATTTTCATCTGTTTCCTCCAGATGTAGAAGAATCTCTTCTGCACACTCTACTGATGGCGCTCCTGTGATTTTTTCTTTGACACTTTGCAGTAACTGTCTGAGCATACACTGCAAAAGAGCTTCGTCTTCACTAGAAAAATGAGACATCTAAAGAAATAAGCATAAACATTGCATTTCTGTATTCCTCAGTAATACACAACTCACTCTAAGCTTTTACAGATTTAGACTGAAAGGAAATGAAGCCTAGCAAGTTCTTAGCAGAAATATGAGATACAGAAATCTAATTCTAATTTTATATGATTATTATCTGCTGTTGCTGTATTACCTGCATTCTCTGGGCCCAAATTCCTGGTTTTTTCTTTCCTTTACTGCCTTTCTCTCAGGCAGCAGTGACACAGGTAAAAGGAGCGCTATTTTATCATCTTTATTAGCACGAATGGGCCTACAGATATGGCTTTGGGCTGACAATGGATGATCAAGGTCATAAAAAGAAAGTGTTAAGCTTTCTTGGCATCCCTAAATAATTCCTCCATTCTTAGAAATGTGAAATCCATCAAAGTTTGGGGAAGAACAAGAGGCACTATGAAATTGATTTTGGGCAGAGGTAGAGACACCTTAATAACTTGTGAGGAACTTAGGGTTGTAGCCAACTAAATCGTACTCAGAGAAAACCCATCAAATTGAAGTCAGCTAAGTTAGTCATGCCCATACAAGGGGCCACTCTGAGTTTTATTAACATTAGAAATGTAGTACTGAAGACAACTCAGTTAATACTTGAAACTTTCATGGCAAAAGACTTCAGTGAAACTAAATGAATGCTTTATGTATTTTACCACATCAAAAACAATGGCCATACAAATGGAATCATGACTACACCCAAACAAAAGTGAATTCAGAGAAATAAGTGCCTAGGGAGCAATCTATAGGAAGAGCTACCAGGATGTGCAGGGTTAGGATCTAGCGGATCTCTGGCTGAGAGCTGCCAGCACGGCTGGACTACACTGATTTAACTCCTTCCATCCTTGGCTTAGCGGGAGATACACCAGCTTATCTCCCCCGCCCCTGCCATGTTCCTGGAACATCTCACCTGATGGTCTTGGCTCAGCTGGGATGGGGGAGATATGCAAAAGGGTGGTGTAACCGTTTTCAAGGTTTGTTTTCTCTCTGCCAGGCTTGGGCCAGCTCAGCCAGAAGTAGCCCCATTAGGCTCTGGTGTATGGTACTTTAAAATCAGTTTAACTTGGCACTACTTTACACTAGCTTCTTGTGTATAGGACTGCTTCCCTAATGTCACATTCCTCTGCACCTTGAAGTCAGGAATAAATCCTCCTAAACTCCATAAAGATACTTCCAAAGTAAACATATACAGAAATATCAGGGCCGGATTTAGGCTTGATGAGGCCCTAAGCTAATGAAGGTAATGGGGTCCTTTATATGTCCAGCTGTCCTTTGTCAACAACAAATTGTCGCTATTTTGTGTGTGTTGAATATATGCTATATGGTAATTTATGGACATAATAGGTATCTAAAGCCATTTGCACATAACAAAATATGCAACCAGTCCATGAAGAATGTAGGCACCCTATATACAGAAATGAGCAAACCAGTGATATTTTAGGGAACAGGATGGCAGGCCATTACTTACATCGTAGCACCAAACACTGTTGCCATACGTAGGCTTTATTTTATTTGTTTTTTAATCTTCTATTTTGGAACTGTACATCCAGGGTTTTTTTCCCTTTAAATTTTTTGGGGCCCCCAAGAGAGTGGGGCCCTAACCTATAGCTTGTTTAGCTTATACGTAAATCCAGGACTGAGAATTATGCAATTAAAAAGTTTACTGTGTACTTAAGATTCCACCAATTTCAATGGGTTTTAGCTGTGAATTGAAAACCATCAACTATCTGCCCTTACATATTCTATGTTTGGGTGGGGAAACCAAGAGTTGGAAGGTTCCGTAAAGGGGCAGAAAGGCAGGAAGAAAGGGTGCATTGCAAGATGGCAATACAACATGGGTAGCTTTAAACCTGAGCGTTGATTTTTCGAGACAGCAGCGTGGCCAGCTGACATGGGAAGAGACAGTTTCAACAGAAGAGTTTCAACAGCTTTTCACAGAAACTTGGTCCAAAGCAGTTTATCAGACAATCGTTCCCTTCCACGGCATTCAAAGCGTCACCTGCAGCGCAAACTCCTGCTTTGCGCAAATGGCACCGAAATGAGGCGCGGGGCGGCGGACAGAGCATAAGCCGTGGGCGGTGGGACAAGAGCGAGGAGAGACCAGCGTGGAAAGAGCCCGGTAGGTGTGCCCGCCCGCGCCCCGGCGACCCCGCGCTGCCAATCCCGGGGGAGCTCAACTGCCCAAGAAGCGCGCCTCACGGGAGGATGGCAGCCTCAGGCTGCGCGGGATGGGGAGGCGCAGCGAGAGCGCTTACCTTGGGCGAGAGGAGGGCGCTCTCTGCCCTCGGCCGCCGAGGGGCCTAGAAAAGGAACTGGGGCGCTTTCCCGGGAAGGAGCCTCCGGAGCGACGCCCTCCACTCCGGCAGAAAGAGCGAGGGTGGAATTCGCCTTCCAGCTGCTACAGAAACCCTCAACTTCTACCCCGGGCGCGGCCCTTAGCAACCGCCCGCCGCAGCCTCGCTCGCCGCACGGACGTCCCTAGCAACGGCGCCGGGGAGAGATGCGCCGCGCGGAGGTTGCCGGGAAAGAGGCGGGGCGAGCAAGTGAGAATCCCAAGCGCGCGCTTGATTATTCCAATAAGGGGCTCCCCGCCCACAAGGCGGTGTGCAAAGGCTCGAGATCCCGTTTGCATTGGAATCAACGTGGCACAGATCGTATTGCATAGCTGCTCCATATCATATGTGTCTTGACTTGCTGGCTGCATGTTTCCACCGCCCGTTGACAAGCTATCCGGACAGCGTACAGTCAATGTGGTTTGTTGACGCTGCGATCCTATGCTCGCTAGTCCAAGAGTAAGCCCCATTAAATTGAGTGCATGCGGTCTGGCTTAAAAAGATAGGCTAGGTTAGGGGGGAAACCCCAGATTGCGTGCCCCTGAAGGATTGTTTCAAACCACAGTCTACCTCCATGTTCCCTAACTTCCAGCCCGCCCGCCCCCGTTGCATAAAGTCACCCCAAGGGACCCCTGCCCTATACAAAGCTGCATTTAGAACATTGGTTTGCACAACCCGCTGAGGAAAAGGATGACAAATTCAAAACAGTAACAATTCATTCAAAATCCAATTAAAACTAGTTTAATTAATTCAACAAAATTGATGAACTTGAGCCTGTGATAATCATTTACACCTCTAGTGCCCTTCTGCCACCCCCTTGCCTTAGTGCCCCCTTAGGTGATCTCACTGCCCCCCAGGGAGCAATACAACACACTTTGGGAAGCAATGGGCTGCCGAGATGATTAAATCCAGTCAAAGGCAACTATGGGGTGCGGCGCTTATCTTGCTTCAGGTCAAGGGAGCCGGTGTTTGTCCACAGACTGCTTTCCGGGTCATCTGGCCAGCATGACTAAATCACTACTGGTGCACGGATGACCATGACGAGCGCCAGAGCACATGGAAACGTTTACCTTCCCACCACAGTGGTACCTATTTATCTATTTGTACTGGTATGCTTTTGCCACTGCTAGGTTGGCAGAAGCTGAGACAAAGCAACAGGAGCTCACCCCATCACGGGGACATAGCTGTCAACTTTTCCTTTTTCTTGCGAGGAATCCTATTTGGAATAAGGGAATTTCCCTTTAAGAAAGGGAAATGTTGACAGCTATGCACGGGGATTTGAACCACTGACCTTCCGATCAGCATGCCCAAGAGGCTCAGTGATTTAGACCACAGCGCCACCTGCTCCCACAATTTGTTGTAGAATGCAGCCAGTAGAAGTCTTGCAGATTGCACAGGAGGGTCAGCAATTGGATGGCTAACCAAGCTTCCTTTCAGGGACATTTTCCACCATTATCTTTTCATTGAGGCATTCCTGATAAGCTTCCCAGGCATTTCAAGGTCTCCTGGAGCATAGCTTGAAAGTGCTGCCGCTCCATGAGTACAGCTTTCTGTGAACCAGAAGATCACTGCAATTTGTAAAAAGTATTAAAATAATACATTTTTGTGAAATAGATGCAACATGGTCTCTCGGCTCTGAACGCTGCCTTGAAGAAGAATTCAAGGGGTTTGAATGCTTGCAGACCTTTTATAGAGCTAAAAAGAGAGTGGCTTATCTTGGCCTTGCCTTTTGTGAGACTGAATATACCTATCATCAAAGCAAAAAATGGTGTTGTCCAAGTATGATACAGTATTAGGAACTAAAGAAATTGAAGGTACCCTGTGGCATGAAGTTGAAAGCAGCTTATTTTGCACAAGTTTTCCAAAACATATGGAAGATAGTTCCAAACACTATCTACTGCAGGAGTAGCTACTGCATAGGTGTCAACTTACAGATTGGAAAATAAGGGACCAGCAGCCTCGAAAGTAAGGGATCAGCAGCCAAAATAAGGGATTTTAGTCAATCAGCAGCCAAACGAAGCCTCAAGCGGTGGTTCCCACAGCGCAGCAACCCGGCAAAGGGGATGCAGCAAGGAAAACCACAGTCACCTTTCCGCTGGGAAGCGCTGAGCAAAGGCGAGTCCCCAGGCAACGCGGCCAATTTGATCGGCACAAAGCATGTAAGCTCCACCACCCCCAGTCGTTCTTAGACTCCTTATTGGGTGAGCAACGCAGCCAAGCAACACAGTTGGAGCCTCCCTCCTCCCTGGCCGGCATGGAGGGAGGGAGAGGAGCTGCTTCCTTTGAAATCCGGGAAATTTAAGGGACATCATCAATAAGGGACAGCAACGGGACACGGCGCTGGGATAAGGGACTTTCCCGCCAAATAAGGGACGGTTGACAGCTATGAGCTAATGTACCCTCCTGATGTTTTTTAACTACAATTCCATCACCCCTCTTTACTGGCCATGCTGAATGAGCCTGATGGAAGTTGTAGCCCAACAACATCCGGAGAGTGCCATGTTGGCTACCCTTGATCTATGCTGTCTCAAGCCACTGCAGTTTTGACCCTAGATTCCAAAATCTTTCTTTTGAACCCTGCCAGTCCTTCCCTTTATTTGCTGTGCTATTTCTGTGAAAAAATTGTCTCTCTCAATACTGGAGTGGTGAGACTACAGAGGAGCCTCTTTTATGTGATCTGCTCTGTCTTTAGTTCCAGTTTTCCGGCAAGAAGACAGTAGCAACAAATTCATTGAGCCATATGGATCTCCTGCCTTCCCTTTGCAAACAGGGAAGGGGTCAAGTAGCTTATCCACATCAAGAAAGTAGCTATCTACCAACACAACTTAAAAAAGTGTGAATTTTACCACCACTTGAAAATGCCTGCTGTCAAAAGTTTTTTGATTACTTTTATTTTTAAGTAATCAAAACTTTTTGCAATGAAGACATTTCAGCTGGGTTTTTAAAAACCCTTCAAAGGCACATTTGCAATGCAGTGCAATGATCTTGAAATGTTAAACACACACGCCATAGTTAATCCTGAAGGAGATTCTTTCCTCCTTATAAATGATCGCTAGAAATGTGTCAGAGTAATGCTGCATCATACATATTAATAGATGGAACACTTTTCAGCAGCTGGCTGTTCTAAATAATATAGAGATGCATTACAATTAATACACATCATAGAGAATTATGATGTAGAGCATGTATTATACATAGCTAAGTGTTGTGCAAAGGCTATATCACTTTTAAGAATATTTATAAAGATGTTCTAGTTATTTTGTACCCCAAATAGGCTTAAAGTATTTTCAGTGCTTATCATTGTGGCTGCAACATAGTGGTAATATTGGTATATCCTATTCAAGTGGACTCTTCTGTATGTCAAATCTTTCTGAACATAAAGGTGTATATGAAGCTGAGTTCAACTATGTCTCCAATATTATTTACTTTGGTGGACAATAGCTTTCAAGGGCCTCCAAGCAAAGTTTCCCATCACCTGCTACTTAGTCCTTTAAAAAAAAGATATGTCGGGTTGAACCTTGGACCTTCTACATACAAAGGATGTGCTGTACCTTCCATCTGATTGTGGGTGGGGGGAGCACATCTCAAGAATTTGAAGTGCCTTAGCTTTGTGGAGGCCTCAGCAATTCACTTTTTGACGACTGAGGTTCAATATTTTATACCCTCTTTAATGTACCGACAGATGTGAGCATGACTGAGTATTGTGTCTTTATGGTGATTGCTCAGTTTGTCATCCAAACAGAGGCAGAGAAAAATGATGCCATCACTGAATAGGTAAAACTTTGCCTGGTTTAAGTGGACTATCATTTTAGCCAGGGGTCAGCAAACTTTTTCAGCAGGGGGCCAGTCCACTATCCCTCAGACCTTGTGGGGGACCGGACTATTTTTTTGGGGGGGGGGAAATAAATAACAAATTTTTATGCCCCACAAATAACCCAGAGATGCGTTTTAAATAAAAGGACACATTCTACTCATGTAAAAACACGCTGATTCCAGGACCATCTGTGGGCTGGATTTAGAAGGTGATGGGGCTGAATCTGGCCCCTGGGCCTTAGTTTGCCTACGCATGGTTTTAGCTATATTGGGAGTTTCCTGGACCTCTTTATTCCACATCTCTAACTTTTAATGAGATGCTGTGTGTGCCTCTTTCATTTTGCAAGTTTCCTACTAAATCATTGAATAATTATATTGCTGCTGTATTTCATTCATTAGTCTTCCATTTATGTACCTTATGGTGTTGTTGGGTATTAGATTGCATATAACTCAGATATTTGATTGCATATAACTCAATATAATACCAAGTCACTGATTTTCATCAACTTAACAGATGTCTACATTGTATGTCAAAAGAGCTATAAACAAAAGGTGGCAAATTGTTGTTTTTCTTTAACATTTACTAAAGGAAGAGCAGAACACAACAAATACTCTCATTACAAAGAAATATATTAACCAAAGATCTAGAGACAGTACCATTCTTGAACACCATATCCCATATAGTGTTTTTTCAAATTTGAATTTTAAACAGATGGCTTCATTTTATAGCACACCATTTGTCACCATATTCTATATAAAGAGAAATAACATGATTAAGTTTCATAGAATGGTAGAGTTGGGAGGGACTCTGATTATCTGTAGTCCAAACCCCTGCAATGCAGGAATATGCAGCTGTTCCATATGGGTATCGAACCTGCAAGAATCCAACATTGCTGCATAGTGTTATCTTCCATACCACTTTTCCAGGAGGCACTACTGAGCTGAATTTGAAAATGCCCAGTAATATGTGTGGACACCATGCAAGGTTTAATTTGCAAGGTTTCGGTTGTGCTACTAAGGGAAGCAAACACTAAAATGAAACGAGCGTTGACTAGCCTGCTTTTGATCATTATTGTTCCCTGTTTGGCCAAGGTAATAAATTGTTTTCTCAGTGCTGCCTTACCCAAATCTTTCTTGCAAACAATAAAAAGAGGGGATATGTTCTATCTGATTCATGGTTGTTATGTGCTGGTGTGGTTGCTCGAGAGCAAACAGGCAAGACTCCAACCTGTCTTTTCCAGGCTTTATTATCTGTACAAAACTATTTACAGTGCAGAGTGTCGCAAGCCCATGTCTGCTCAGTCGCTAGCAGAATCTGGGAGTGGGCGGTCCTTATACCTTCCCCAGCATAACAGTCTTTTGACCCCCATCCTTCTCCTCCCCTCTCTGCTCGCAAACCTACTGCGCAGAGTGGGCATTGGCAAAGGGGGACTTGCCTCCCCTCCGTTTTGCTCAGGCTTGGTGTTGAGGCTCTCCCTAGCATCTTCTGATCTCTGCACCCCCTCCCCACTGGAGGCAGGGCTTCCCTCCTCGCCAGAGGAAGAACTGCTTCGCAAGATCTCCGGAGGCTCCCTGTAACACAACTGCCCTTCCACCTCTCGCCTCTGAGCTGATGACAGTTCCCTGACAATGGTTATTTACAAAATCAGGTTATTTACAAATCTGTGTTAATTTGTGCAATTTGCAGTCTATAAAGTGACAAAACACAGTTGCATACATCTGCTTTCCTAGTTTTTGGTTTTTGTTTTAATGGCACACAAGCAAAACCTCGACCACTGCGATGACAAACATTACCATAATAAAAAAATTCCTTCCAGTAGCACCTTAGAGACCAACTAAGTTTGTTATTGGTATGAGCTTTCATGAAAGCTCATACCAATAACAAACTTAGTTGGTCTCTAAAGTGCTACTGGAAGGAATTTTTTTTTTTTGTTTTGACTATGGCAGACCAACACGGCTACCTACCTGTAACTAAGACAGTACCATGTTAGCAAAGCCTCAGAATTGGCCTTTTCACATGGAATATTTTTCCAGGATGCAACTCAGTCAGAGGACTTTCAAGGTACAATGTTAGTAAGACCTGTGAAGCATAATGAGACCTTGACCGTTTATTCTTAAATCTCACTTTTTGGATGATTTATCGTGCTCAGCTATGTTTATGCACTCAAAACTATTGATCTCTGTTTCTTCATAATTGTTGTCAGATTCAATATGCCCAGATAGCAAGACAGAGATAGCAAGACAATATGCCCAGATATTCAGCACAGGGACTAAATTTCCAACTGCCTGGATTATCCCTTTCATGCTGTCCTTCCATGAGAGTACATCCCACTAAGCAAAGTGAGTCTTGCTTCTAAATAAAGTAAACATTCATATGATTGCACTCTATTAAAACCAACTGCCTTGCACTAAATCTGACCACCATAATTCTATACGCATTTTTAAAAGGCCATTTTCATTAGAAGGCAATTAAACTTCCATCTATTTCCCAGTGTAAGCGACTACTCTCCAATTCAGGTGATAGTTTGAGGAGAGTTAATGAAGATAGCTTCTTTCTCAAATAAGTTTAAGCACATCTGCTGATTCAATTTTTTTGCAATTAGACTGTTGCCAAATGTATTCCTAAAAGCTGAAATTTAATATGCTATTTCATTGAGAAACAGCAATGGTATTAGAGCTATGGAAATAATATGCTACTGAGTACTTGCTAAAGCAAGAGCAACTCTTTTTTTGTTCTTGTATGTAGGGTTGCCAACCACAAGAAATTGATTGCCAATTCTCTTTCCATGCCTAGGTAATATACCACCTAGGCACACCATTTTTTTTTCTAGCCCTACAGGTTATGGATAAAAAATCATGTTAAGGGTGAGTGAATTAAAGTTGTTAGATCTGAAATAGTCTGGTGAACACTAATCTTGCTTCCTCTCCCTACTATCAAACAGGAATTTTACTCATATCAAGTTAGAGTCTATTGTGTCTACAACACAGATAGCCAGTATTGTGCCTTCCAGATGTTGGAGCACAACTCCCATCATCCCTGACCTGAAGCTGCTTGGGAGTGATGGAATTTGGGTTCCAACAACATCTGGAGGCTACCCCTGGCCTACACTTGAGTAGCAGCAGCTAACCAGGGTGTCAAGAGTTTTGCTCTTGGTACTTTTAACTGGAATTGCCTGGGATTGAACCTGCAACCTTCTGCATGACAAACCATGTGCTCTTCCACTGAGCTACAGTCCCTCTCCAAAGTTTACTAGCATTTCTTACTCTTCAGTTTAGATCCAATCAGTTTTCGTTGTCATACATGACTATACAAGCTAATTTTAGACATGGACATTGATAATTTAAATATACCATTATTCTCTTGTTTTTTGTGTTTCCACTGGGTTGTGGGGTTTGTTTGTTGTTTGTTTTATTTAAAAAAAAAACATAATCCAAATAATGAAAAAAAGAAAATGCATTTTAAAAATAATAATAATAATAATTCATTGAAATTCTCATGAGTACAGGCTTACCATACTTTTGAGGTGACCAAGAAGTGTTTGTGAGTGCCCTTTCTTTCATTCTACAAATGATCTCCCCAGTGCTCTGCACTCCTGTGTGCCTGTACTCCATTGAAAGCCCAGGGGAAAACATTGTGAGGTAATTCCTCCCATGGGGCTTTTTCAGATGAGGAAATACAAGAAGACTGCAGAGTGCGGAATACATTTTTTTCTTGGAAGTGCGGGGGGATCACCTTTTGGCCACCTCACGAAGAGGTAAACTGAAAACCCCAAACTCACCAAAATATGGAAGCAACCTGAAAATGAAGCAGAAAACTAGAAGCCTCATTCCCAGAGGAAGGAAAACTTTGACAAACATCCGTAGAAATTTATCCCATTATTCATTGAGGGGCAAATTCCAACCAGATTTTCGTAATTGGTTTGTGGTTGCTTTTTTAGCTTTCACAGTGAGCATTCAAAAAAAAAGCTTGGCTGCTGTCCAAATGTTGGTGCATGCACACCAATGGTGGTTTGAATTTATCATATTGCCTCGGGAATTATACATTGGTTTCACCTGGCCTCATAGCACTAGTCATGGCAGTGAAGAACTCTGCAATATTATTTATTTGTCAGTCTAAAGCTCTTCAGTCAAAACCAGCTCCCAGAATGGATTACAAAGATCAATAATAAGATAGTCCCTGCCACCAGACTTGCAATCTAAAATACACAACACAAAAGTTAAAGAGATTAGAAGGGAGGAGGGAAAATACAAATTCAAGAGCAGTACTTCATAGGATGATTGGCTGGAATGAAAAGAGTTCAAAGAAAGGAGGAGCCAAAAATTGCTGGTCCCCGCAATTGATTGACCTTGCTTCTGAAAGTGGCCTCAGTCTGATGCAGCCTGATGGAATGGCTGTTGCAAGATGACAACTGAGGGATACGCAAAGCCTGATGGAACTGTGTCACAGGAATAGTCCTTCTTCCGTTTCCCCCCTCCCATGCTGCCTGCTGGAACAGCTATTAATAGAAAGCAGTTGAAGGAGGGTTATTCCAACTCCAAACATTTATATAAACATCTAGCTCATTGTATCTCAAAACCTTGGGATGAACAGCAGCATTTAAACAAAATGAAACCCACAGAATAAAATGAGCATTATAGTATAAACCTCCATTTAGCATGTCAGAGTCAATTCACCCCCATACTGGTTTAACCTTATCCATTAAAATTCAGCCTGAACCAGGTTTATCACACTTTTGTTAGTCTGCAGCTTGGATTTTGGGAAGACTCCAAAAGAAGATCATGCCCACCCATCTGCAGGCTGCCATTAATCCAGTTTTGTTCTGGTTCAATCACAGTCAGTGTGTCTGCATTCTTAGTCCCCCACTGTGAGGGAACCTAATTCAAAAGTCAATGTTTCATTGGGAGTGGAATGTTGTCCTGGGCTCACAGCCAGCTCACATCCTCTTCTGATGTTACTTTTTATTGGCACAGATCTTACATATATGAGCTTTGCTCCCAGACGCATTCATGATACGTCTCTGGAGAACAATTTACCTGTAACTTATACCTTTCGAATAATTCTTGGCTGACTTGACTGAAACCCTTTAGGTTTTCCGAAGAGAGTTTTGTCTGCAAACTTGGATAGAGACCTTGCCTAACTTTTTTTGATGGTTCGTTCATTTTCTCTCTCAACATCAGATTGTCATCTTTAAAACTGGATTTGGTATGGTCTGTCTCTTAGGATAATACTAGCAAAAAAAGAATGAAAGTTCAGGTTGTAGAGCACTTTAAGTACAGTATAAAACAATGAAAGTTAACTGTGTTAGCTATTTCACAACTGGGACCTTGCAACAAAATGTTGCTGTGTATCTCTGGTGGATGGATACTACCTGTGACTGACAGGGCTGGGGCGGAATGATAGACAGATATCCCGCCTCTAACTTGGGTCTTATTTAGCCCAGGGGAGACAGGTTCAGCAATTGATGGCAGCAGGTGGTAAAGAAAGCAAAAGCAAAGTCAGAAAAAAGGGGCTGCATTGTTTGGGTAGTTGGCCGTTACACCTCATATTCAACTGCTGCATTCCTGACTGGCCAGCCATACCCTCCACAGGAAGTCTGCAAGCAGAACCTAAGTGCCACAGCTTCCTGTCCCTCCCTCTGTAATTTCCAGCGACTGCTATTTAGAGGCAGACTAGTGGACACAGAACACAGTCATCATGGCTAGCATACCTACCCTCCATGAAATTGTCTACTCAACTTTTTAAGCCATCCACACCGATGGCCATTGCTACCTCTTGTGGGAGCACATTCCACAGCTGAACATTAACAATAATGTTACTGTGTGAACGTATACCAAAGTCGGGAAGGATGGTAGCTTTTGGCTCATCCTTCATTTGATGGAAGGTAGAGATTGGTGAGCATCCCTTCTGGTTTCTCTGATTCCCATCTCAGCTTTTCCTTGCCTCTGCTTTCACTGCTTTTTATCCTTTTCCCTGCTACCTTACAAGTAGCCACCCCATGTCCCTTTCCCAGTTTTATCCCAAGTAAGCCAAGTATCTTGGGACAATGTCTAGGGCACTCATCAACTTTGCCTCAAGCTCTTCTCTCAATGTCACCTTCTGTTTATCTGCTTATGTGACATAGCTAGCTATCCCTTTCCTAATAGGCAGCCAGGGAAGGGCTTTGCCTAGTATTAAGCTCACAGGCCCTCCAAGTGTCCCTATTTTCCAGGGACTTCCCTGATTTAGAAAAGCCGTCCTGGTTTCTGATTTGATCCCAAAATGTCCCGCTTTTCCTTAGGATGTCCCTATTTTCACTGGAGAAATGTGGGAGGGTATGGAGGTATCTGACCCCTGAGCCGTCCGAAGGCAATCCTGTATACAGAAGTTCTTTTTAATGTTTTATTGTGTTTTTATATATGTTGCAACCCAGTAAGATGTGTGGGGTATAAATAGTAGATATCATTATGGAATGGGACATCCCTATTTCCATCAGAGAAATATTTCAGGGTATGAGCCCAGGGCATGCAAGCTGCCTACAAAAGGAATGGCTGAGACAAATGCATAAAAACCAGATGGCGCAGATGCCAAGTCTTGAAGGAAAATGGGTCTGACTGAGTAGTGTAGAAGACGACTCCTTCTATTAATGTCTTTGGATCCTAAGAGCATGGATGTGAACCAGAACGTAGCCCCTTTTCGAGTGTTATTGGAGACAAATTCAACTCTTAGAAGGCAAGCAGGAAATCAACTCATAGCACAATGACCTTTTAGATTGAATGCTGCTGTAGAAGTTTGCATGTCCAAGTCAATGGATGTCTTGCTAATGGCTCCATATATATTTCAACCAGGACCACTAAAATACATCTGTACTTTTCATTCAAGCATGAAATACTGCATTGTGAGAGAACAAAGGAGCCACATTGAATCATGTTATTTGGTGGCTTTTAAAAAGCGAAAAATAAATGACTGACATTCTCCACATTTGACAGCATGTGTCATGCAGCCTGCAGTGCTTTTTTCGATGAGTGCTTTTAAACAGAAACAGAGGTTTTTAAATCCTGCAAAGGGGGGGGGGTAATAAAAACTACTGAAAATCACAGGAGAGAAAAGAAAAAAATGTTCCAACAAGATGTACAGCTATTGGATGAAGATGTAACAAGGTGGCTAAAGGATGCTAATCCTTAGTAAATTATCCTGAATATGCATTCTAGAAATTACTGCCAATCAGAAAGTTTAAATCATATATGGCTAGGCTAGGAATTTTGTTAGTTAGATTAAACGGAGCGGCTAGTAAATCTTGCATCATTAGGGGGGTTGTGCATTTACAAGAAGTCCCAGACTCTTTGTTTCTAATCTCCAAAATCTTTACTAAGATTCATGTGTCTAAGAAACACATTTGTGATATTAGTTTTAAATGGCCATTGTTTTGTGTGCATTTATCAGAGGTTGGAATTGATCCATTTACTCTAGAGAGATTCACTGCCTGAACTTAAGAGTTTGACAGCAGGCCCATTCTCTCATCCTCAGTACTTTTAAATTATTAAACTATGCCCATTTCAAAGGACTAAAACAAATTGAATCTGGCAGATGTTTGTTTCCTATTAAATGGGGAGAAAAGCATGGTGGTGGTTGCTGTGAAATAAATCTCATTTTAAATGGGAAAGCAGTCTGTTTACTAATCCAATACTGCAAGTGCTGTTTATTTATAATTTTTTTGTTGCGGGGGGGGGGAGAGACCCAGAGGACAGCAAGAATGCAGAATCCTTGGAATCTGTTTTGAAATTGCTGATCATCCAAGTTCCGTGTTCTGTATTAGACACACAATTACCATTGACTGGCAATAGTGTTTAGCTCAGCCTCGGCGGATAGATCTGTCAAGCTGGTGGAGAAATGCTGAGCCGAGTTTTGGAAACCACATCACAGAGCCATTTCCCAAATGTAACTGTGGTTGTTGCCCAACAGTCTGAAGAAGTGAGAGAGAACAAATGGAAGCATGAAATCAGAGTAACAGATGCGTCCATAAGGCGCAGAATACCAAGAGAAACAGGACAGAGAAACTAAGTGATTGTGAAGTCACGCTTTATTCATCGTTTCTAACATCTGTTCGTGTAGGCTTGGGAAAACACTGAAGGTAAAGAATGTAAGCTTTCGGTGTCATTTGGACTTGACAATTAAGCACTGAAACTCAGGGAGAGCTAGATGACTATTGCACAACTTTTCATAGTTCTGTATATGCCCTACAGCAGGGGAGGGAAAACCTCAAGCACGGGGACCAAACACAGACCTCCATTTCTCTCAGTCTTGTCACTGGGAGTCTCCCAAGCTTCACCCTCTCCCCAGCCACATTCCCTCTCCTAAGGTTGCATCCCTCACCAGGCCTGCTTTGCACCCTCTTCGGGTTTTCCCTGGGTAGAATGTGTGCTTGAATTCTGATAATGCTTTTTACTTGCCTGGATGCAGAAGGGTGTGCAAATGTCTGTAGAAACAAGTCTAAAATTCACATTGTTGCTTTGCCTTTTACGGCAAGCCCCACCCAGCCCTGGCAACTGGCTCCCAGATGAGTGTGCAGCCCTTGGGCCAAGAATGGTTCCCCAGTCCTGACCTATAGTAGTATATTTGTTATGTTCCATTCCTGGTTTCTGCACCATTTTTTTAAAAAAATGAAAACCAGAACAATGGGTCTTGAAGTGTCATTCAACTACACAGTGGCTTTCAGGTTGAAAGCAGGAGGGTTGCATCCAGTGGTGGCTTGCACTAGCAGAAGTGCTTCTGGTCCTCCATTTTCACCCATCCCACCACCAGCAATGGCAGCCCCCTCTTCCAGCCTTTCTCAACCTTGTTCCATCAGCCCTAAGCACCTGTCTGTCATATTCTCTGTGCCTTATCCCATTCTGTTCCAGAGGGTCCCACAACCCTCAGGAGAAGCTCTTGGGAGACACACGGTGCTGCATTGGGTAGGTGGGATCAGCAGAAATCAGATGGTCCAGTTTGCGCAAATGGAAATGCACAGAGTCATCACTGGATACTGCATAGAAACTTAGAATTGGACTCTGCCTTTTCAGAGGAACAACACATAGTATCTAACCCAGATAAGGATGGATAACCAGGCCCTTGGCTGAATATACCATATGGCCTTTTAAATGTGTTTGTGGGAGAAGGGTTATTGAGTTTTGTTTTTATTTATTTTCCTGTTACGTATCCCACCCTGCCCAATATTGTATTTTTATGTCGTGAACTGCTCTGTGATCTTCAGATGAAGGGCAAGATAAAAAAATGAATAAATAATAATAATAATAGTATTTCAGAATGGTGACTGTTCTGAAACTCAGGTGTTATGAGTTGAGTCCAGACTTAAGTCATGCTTACAACAGACTCACTCAAATCAGTGCTTTGTGTCCAATGAACTTTTATTGAGGCAGACCCAAATAAATTAATGGGCTTAAAATAGTCATGCCCATTAATTTCAGTACATCTACTTTGAGTAGGACTGAGACTGGATACAACCCAATGGTTTTTTAAGTCTCATTGATTTCAGTGGATCTACTGTAAGCATGACTAAGTCTGGATTGAAGCCTTTGCCGCCTGACTCCTTGTTTCATGATGACGATGTTCTCAGTTACCTTCTAGATTTGAAAACAAAAAACACATTGTTATCCATCAATGAACACATCTCTCCTTTCTTTACCTATAGGGCAGTATGTGTGCAATAAAATGTAGCATGATGATTTATTGCCACCTCGATCATAATCTCATTGTGAACTTCGATCATCAGTCAACCAACCATTTGTGTATCTCTACACTTTCAAATTAGCCAGATTGATTGCTTGGTTAAAGTCGCAATGTGAAATCATGTAAGATCCTGCTTCTAAATTCAATTAGATGAAATTGCCTATAAAATAAGTACACGGTTGCCCTTCAGGATCTGTCTCCGCATGTGCAGAAGGGCTAAAGAGATAGGTCTGGCCACTGTCCAGCTCCTGCAGCAATTCTAAAGCCATACAAAACTGAAAATGAAGAAAGCATACTACTGCTGGCTCCATCTTTGCATATACGGGTACACACACACACACATACATTCACACACACAGGTTTTATCATATCTGCATATTATAAATACAGGGGCGCAGGTGGCACTGTGGTTTAAACCACTGAGCCTCTTGGGCTTGCTGATCAGAAGGTCGGCGGTTCAAATCTGTGCAATGGTGTGAGCTCCCGTTGCTCTGTTCCAGCTTCTGCCAACCTAGCAGTTCGAAAGCATACCAGTACAAGTAGATAAATAGGTACGGCTGCGGTGGGAAGGTAAACTGTGTTTCCTTGCGTTCTGGCTTCTGTCACGGTGTCCCGTTGCACCAGAAGAGGTTTAGTCATGCTGGCCACATGACCCAGAAAGCTGTCTGCGGACAAACGCCAGCTCCCTTGGCCTGAAAAGCGAGGTGAGTGCTGCACCCCATAGTCGCCTTTGACTGGACTTGACTGTCCAGGGATCCTTTACCTTTACTTTTTATGTATTATAATTACATGCTCCAAAATTCTATCCTTTGTAACTTAGATACATCATATTAAAAGCTTTATCTTCCTAGATATCGTTTTGCACTGATTAGTTTAATGTACCGGTAAATCACATATTTTGAACAAGCCTTTTTTTTACATGTTTTACATTTAATAGAATTTAATTTTAAAACGTATTTTATAAGTAAATGCATACTTACTCACTGGAGAATGTACTGCTTTCAAGGCAGCATTCTTTGTTTTTATCAGATAATGTTGTTTCTGTTTTCTTAACGAAAGTGGATTATTTGAAGTGTAAAAACTGCCAGTAGCTTTAAAAATAACATTTTCTACGATTTATTTCATGATAATAGACATTCACAACCTTTGAAAAAGTTAGAGTCAAAGACTATTTCCACAGCTTCTATTTAGATACATTTTCAAATAATGATTAATTATTTGCTTTGATTTTTTAAAAAAACCACAAGCAACAAAAATCCAAAGAACAGAAGATAGAGAAATGCCCTATTGATCACCTCATCTGTCACTTTTTTCAACAGAAGTTTGTTTATAGAGTGTGGCTTCAAAAGATTACACTAACTGAAAAAAGAATCTCATGGGAAGTTTTGTTTTATAAATCCAGGTTCAGAGTTGTTCATGATCCTGTTATTTCCTTGGTAGGTAATCTGTTGGAGTAATTGTTTACTTTTTATTCTGATCCCCTCAGCAATATATGATGATGTTCTGAGATGCTCAGATAGCAAATGCATCATTCAATTTTCCTTTGAGAAAAGGTCACAGCACTTGGGGCTTTTTATTTTAGAAAAAAAAGGCAGGGGGGCATGATAGATTTGTATAAAATTATGCACAGCGAGGAGAAAGATAAGTTTTTCTCCCTCTCTCATAAAGTTAGAACCTAGCGCCATTCAGTGAATCTAAATGTTGAACAATTCAGGACAAAGAGATGAAGTGATGGCCACTAAACTGGGTTGCTTTAAAAGAGGATTAGACAAATTCATGGAGGATAAGACTTTTAATGGCCACCGTTGGAAGTGGTATTGAACTGGGTGGTGTTCCCCCACCCATCCCTTGCATCCTCCAGCTGTAGAGCTTCCCCTCCTGCCTGCTGAAATCCCTGCTGGCAGAAACCAAATGAAAGTCCCAAAACAGGTTGTCCCAGGGCAGGAAGGGTGAGAGACTGAGTCCGCCCAGAATCCCTTGGATCCCCAACTGCCATCACATCTTGAAACTAGGCCTGATCCAAGCCTAATCACTGCACTAGGTCCAGGCTGGCACAGTGATTTGCCTCCCCCCACAACCACCACCTCCAACCCTGGCCAGGGATCACAGCAGGGCTGTGAACATGGCAGTAGTTCCACTGCTCCATTAAGCACCCCCTCTCCCTAGGCAGCAGCCAGGGGTTGGATTGCACCCTTAGCCTTGTATTGAAAGCAGCACTAAGCAACTGTTCGACCAGTGCAAGGATCAGTGCCAGATTTACGTATAAGCTAAACAAGCTACAGTTTAGGGCCCCACTCTCTTGGGGGCCCCCAAAAAAATTAAAGGGAAAGAAAACTGGATGTACAGTTGCAAAATATAAGAGAAAAACCAAATAAAACCTACATACAGCAACAGTGTTTTGTGTTGCATAGGCTCCTATGACGTAAGTAATGGGCCCTGCCTGCTAGCCTGCTCCCTAAAATATCACTGGTTTGCTCATTTCTATATATAGGGTGCCTACATTCTGCATGGACTGGTTACATGACAACGTATGCAAATGGCACACGTCTAGATACCTATTAGGTCCATAAATTACCATATATTCAACTCAAGAAACAGCAACAATTTGTTACAATTTGTTGTTGACAAAGGATAGCTGGACATATAAAGGGCCCCATTACCTTAGGGCCTTAGGTAGCTTAGGGCCTCATCAAACCTAAATTCAGCCCTGGGAAGGATTCCCACTTGCACAACTCCTTTGCCTCTCCGTAACCTCCCCAAATTTGCTTGCGACGGGGGGGGGGGGGAGGCAAAACAGATTGTGGGTGGCAGGAAGGAGAGTAGGGAAAATCTTGTTGCACATGCTTAACTCCATGTGCTGACAGGATGGTTAATAAGCATTCTTTTGGACACAAGTCTTACTGTATGCTATTTTGTATGCTAGTCTGATTGTTGATTTGCACACAGACATTTCTGGACTGAACTCATTGTGATCAGGACTGTAAAATCATTATTCATAAGACCAAATGGTGCAGGAAGTAGGTTTTACGGACAGGAATCCCAAATTGTTTCATTGTGTAACTTGATGTTTATAGCAGCCTTTCAAAACGTGCATGTAAGGTAGGCCTGTTTCATTATCCTCAATGTACAAACCAGGCAGTAGCAGAAGTTGAAACCTAAAATAAATGCAGTTTGTGGAGATCACAGTATATATATATATATATATATATATATATATATATATATATAATCAAATAATATTATACCAGAATATGGATCGAAATCTCTTTATGTTGCAACTCCCCCTAGTGGGAAATAATTTATCATTTTAATATGTATCCACTGCTAACAACATGAATTTTCCTTTTCAATAAAAATGTACCGTAATCATCAGTCCTTTTCATATATTTGGGTAATCACTGACACAGACAAACTTCTTCTGAGATTGACACATATTTTTGAAAGCAGAATTAATTTCAGTTGTGTAGCGATTACTGCTGGACTGTTAAATGTATTCAGAAACAATTATAAACAGGCCTTGAACACTGAAAAGGAGCAATAACATAATACTTAGTAACAAGCTTTTTCTCCCCATATGAATTTGCAGAACATAAAATGTCTACTAATCAGCGGCAGATGATGTGAGAAAGTGGCAGGACTCACCTTACCGCTGATCTGTCATGCTGTGGCTGCTGCTTACCAAGAGGCAAAAGGGGTAGGGCAAGGGCACTGTGGGGCACAAGCACTGTGGGGCTGCCAGATTGGCGCCGCTGGTGCATCTGCCCCATGCTGATCTCCTCTTCCCAGTCAGCAGCAGCAACATGACCAGCTGAAGGTCAGGTGAGCATCACTACCATGCTACACATCCACTACCACTATAAAGGCTTTGCATTCAATATAATATCTAAAGCTGCTTTAACAAGAGACACTTGCATTTTTGTTCATTTCCTACCTCGCTGCAATGATGGCCAGCAGTGATAATAGTAAAGTGAAATGGGTTGGATCCAGATGCCTAGAGCATCTTGAAATCAAGCCCTATTTATTTCAGTGGACTTGTGTAGCCTCTTCTGTAATAGAAAACAAAGGGAGTGTAATTTTAGTTTGTAGCAAAGATGGGTTGGATCCAGACTCACACATGCTTAAAGTACGGTTCATTTCAGTGGGTCTACTCTAAGCATGACCAAGTCTAGAGCCATCCCACTATGAAAGCGCTCTAAAAGTCAAGCCTTTTTTAATTATTGTAGTTCAGCATCACTTCTTTATGTGAGCTGGTGTCTTTAAATGGCATGCAGGTGTCCTAAACATTGTACAGTTTGTGCAACATATACTGTAGGAGAAAATATTTAAATAGTTTTCAAGTCTGAAACATACTTTTAAAGAGCCATCTCACACTTTTTTTTAAAGATGGACTTGTAAAACATGTGCTGCTGCATTTTTATAAATCACTTTTCATTAAAAAAAAAATCAGTGTGCTTTACAGTACCTAATCAAACAATAGCATTGCATTCAACAAAACAATTTGGTTGACTGACATTCAATGCCCTCTTAAAATGTGTTTTGCGGGTGGCTATTGGGTTGTTCTTGTTTTTATTTTGATTACGTATTCTGTGTTTTTATATTGTGATTTCATCCTGTGAACCTCCCTGAGACCTGCAGGTATAGGGCAATTTAATAATAATAATAATAATAATAATAATAATAATAATAATAATGGTGCACATCATAGAAACAGTCCAGCAGCAGGTTGCACAATACAAATAACCTTGCATAGATACCAGGATGTTCCAAAGGCCTGGATAAATAGATGGATCTTTAGCTGATGATGAGAATTCAGCACCGAAGAAGGCTGAACCCACCCAAGGGCTGGAAGTTCCACATGGTTCCTTGGTAAGTATATGCTAGTGGGAAACAAGGGTTTGTTGTGCAATGCATCATTGGGAATGCTATATAAAAACACTTTAACTGCATAAACACTAGGTGGCAGAGTAAGTACAGAAAAATCTAAATGTTAGGTGCTATTTCTAAACTTTACAGCAATTTGCACAAGTCAATATATTAGGGTACACTTTTTAAATTTGTAGTAATCTTTTTCCCCGTTTGTTTTTCTCTTCCAGAAATGCTCCTGATCAGGTGTGAAACTTCAGGTTTTGTCATTCCTCTCCAAAAAGCAAAACATATGGGACATATTAAAGCTTACAAGGAACGCAGAATAGAATGTCAGAACTGAGTTCGCACAATGCTACTTAAACAACACATTCATATTTACTGTATATGCGGGGTTTAATCCTGTATGCACTTACCCGGGGAAAAGTCCCATTGAACACAATAAATGTCTGTGGTTCTTTTTCATTTACACCATGGACTGAAATAAACTGATTTGTAGCAATAGGAGGTCTGCCTCAGGAAAAAAACATATGTTTACTAAGCTTTCATATATTTGGTGCTAGGTAATTTGAAGGTCCCCCCACATATTTAAGATACCTAATGTGATATGGCAGTAGGCCTCAGCACAGGGTGGGAATGGAGGAGAAATTCAATTCAGTTCACATTTCAAGGCGATCCTACCAAATTTGTACCCTACAAAACCATAGGCAAAGAAAAAGCCCATCCCTCAACATTCTCTCATCTCTGAATTTTGCAATGCAATCCTCCAGACAAGTAATATGTACATAAATGCATAAGCTAGGATTAGTGTGCTTTAAAATGCATATGTTAATAAAATAACACATAAAATGCATCATATTAGGGGGGGAATGCTTTGCAAACATGCGTGTTAGGCATATCAAAATTTGGAGCAATTCACATTAAAATGATGAATTTCCATGATTTTTATTTTTAAAACAACAAGAACAACAACTCGTGAATTGTTGCAGAAAACTGAATTTAAGATTGGAACAATGAGAAACTAAGAAAACAAAAACTGACAGTTTGATCCATCCCCAACAGAGAGAGAGGGAGGGAGAGAGAAGCGGGGAGTAAATAAGTCAATGATTCCTTTGAACTGGGTAGCCACTGAGGACATGAGTACAGAAGTCTTCAAGCTGGCTGCATCGGGCAGAGATTGGTATTGTAACATGTGGTGACAACACATGCACATTCCACCTTAGGATTCTTACAATATACAGTCTCATAACTTTACCACCAGTCATTTCTTTTCCCCTTCTACTCCCCACACACACACACACACACACACACACACACACGCACCTGATTTGCTTTGTTGACATTCTAGCCTGATGAAGAGTTTTGAAGAACACAAAAACTTGCACACTGATTTGGGACATGGACCGGAACAGTAGGATGGAAACAGCAAATCAGGTTCCCCAAGAAGTAAATGCAGCTTGCTGCACCCGCATATAAGCCATGCTACCAGCCTTCCCAAAATAGTTGCTTCCAAATTGAATTGCACTTTGTGGCTGTGCTATGTTGGTCATGGGTTCTAAAACAGGATGGGCTGCTATGGACCTACAACCTTAGCTTCTGCGGGCACTATACCAGCCTGCAGTGGTCGTGGCTGGATAGGAGTCTTTCTCCTTCTCTTTGTGTTGTTCATCCTTCACAGATAAAAACATATCTGGGGGAGTGTCTATGTTCTTGATTTTTAAAACATAACACTGCCTTGTGGGCTCTTTGTCAAAAAGGCAGGGTTTTAAAACTGTGATATGTAAATAAACACTCAACTCAACAGGGAAGAGACATGCCTAAGGGCTCTTTAGGGGAAAACTGTCTTACGAAGTTCTTGGGCTGGGGAGGGCTGGACCAGCGAGGGACCGTCCAGCTCTACGGAACCAGCGGACCTCACTTTGCCAGCAGACAGCAGGTGTCTGGATTACAAACAGGCCAACTATGAAGCAATGGGTTATGGTGACTACTTTCCAAGAACAACATATTTTCTGCTGTCTTAAGAGCTTTAAGGTCTTAAGACAAGGAAGACAGATTTCAAAGGCACAGTTCTTCGCTCATGATATTGAGGGAATCAGTGATGCTGGTGGAGCTTTGCATTGCTAAACTTTTCTCCTCTTGGTTTTTTACTTTTTGATGCTTATGACTACTTTTGTATTATTTGTAGTTACAGAACTTTTTATATGTTGTAAGCCACCTTGAGCAGGGTTTTAACTATGGAAAGGTGGCATACAAATAAAACGATGGATTGATGGATGCCATGAGTATGCAGATGGTATCCAACTCTGCTTCTCCTTTGCATCTAAATCGGATGAGGCTCTGGGAGAATGGGACTGGTGCCTTTGAAGACAGCCATTGAAGGTGGTCTAGAAACTGCAGCTGGTTCAGAATAACACAGTTATTTCCAAGCCCAATTCAAAGTGCTGGTTTTGAGCTGTAAAGCCCAGCATGGCTGCGGACCTCAATAGGACCTAAACGAACACCTCTTCTTATAGCATACCATCCAGCAATTTCTCTGATGAAAATAGAGACGTCTCATTGCATAATGATAATTTTACTACTGTATTTATACCCCACACATCTTACTAGGTTGCCCCAGCCACTCTGGGCAGCTTCCAACATATATAAAAACATAATAGAACATTAAACATTAAAAAGAATTTCCGTATACAGGATTGCCTTCAGGCGGCTCAGGGGTCAGATACTCCATGCCCTCCAACATTTCTCCGGTGGAAATAGGCACATCCTAAGGAAAAGTGGGACATCCAGGATCAAATCAGAAACCGGGACGGCTTCTCTAAATCAGGGACATCCCTGGAAAATAGGGACACTTGGAGGGTCTGCCATAGGCACCTACTTGGAAAAGATCAATGGAGGTTCTCTGAGTGCCCCAACAGTTTATGGTGGCTATGATGCAGAGAGTCTTTTCCATCATGGCGCCTGGGTTGTAGAATACTCTTTCCAGAGAGAGTCCTAACTGGCACCTGCATATTTTCCAAGCACCAGGCAAAGACATTTTTATTATCCCATGCCATTTAACATCTTAGCAATATATTTCAACATATTTAATAACTTTTGGGGATTATTTTATTTTTAGTGGCTTTTTTAAAGATTGATCTAAAGATAGATGTTACTAGTTTTGACATTGTTCTGTCTTCTTAGATATATATTTAAAAAATGTTAGCCCTTTGAGATTGTTCTTAGCTCCCCCTATGCCCTTTGGCAATCTGAGTATGGTGATATAACATGTTTGTATTCTCTGTGCTGGGTCTGGGCTTTATTGTGACATTTGATTGCTCTACTTGCATTTTGTCTTGATGTTTGTTTTAGATGCTTCTATTGTACTCTGCTTGGGGGACTTGGTTGGGAAGCAACTAATAGATGTAAACAATAAATAAACACGCTGTCTTGTTTGCTCACACTCCTAAATCCAGAGGCCGAAATGCAGAGTTGGCTTCAATGAAAATCCATGTAAACAGTAATTTGAGATGGAAACCAGAAGGATTTTTCAATGTTATTCCCGGCTGTACCTCACAAGTTTATGTTTTGATCTTGTTAAAATGCTTACTGCCACATTTAAATGCTAGTTCTACAATCCTTCAAAGGCTCACAATAGGCTTTTAAATTAGTGTTCCATATCTGGATTAAAAAGAGCTCTATGAATGTTGAGAGGTATTTCTTTACATTATATCATTTAAACCTGGTAATATTAAAGCCGATTAACAGACATGCTATTTTAAAAAACAAAGGGTATAATCCAACCCAAATTAAGTAAATTTTAAACCCATCAATTAAGTAAATTTTAAACCCATCAATTTCAGAGAGAGAGTTGAGCACTTTCCTAAATCTCTGTCATTGAAATCAATGGGATTTAAAGGTACTTAGCTTGTATTTATTTCTCACATAAATAATCAACTTTGGTTAGATTGTGCCCCAAATCTACACATGATGAAATGGCAAGTGCTTGTCTGTCCAATTTTTTTGTACACTTTTGTAACACAATTCTAAGTAGCATGGTATCATTTTATAGGTTAAATATCCATATGTAAGAATGAAAGTAAATTCGCTTCACGTGATTCTGAAGTCCATTTGACCAAGGATCCTTATAAATGGTAGATTTAATAATATAAACCTTGCCAGGGCCCTTTCCCCCCCAGCAAGAACTCAGCAGAACTCAGTTCTGGCCCTTCTCAGGTGGGCACCATTGCCATGATAAGAGAACCAGGAGGCATTCATGGGGAGTTCTGGCACCTCCTTTTCTAGAAAGGTAGCGCTGAACCTTCCTGATTTGGATCAAAGGCCCAACTATCCCAGCATGCTTCACTGCCATGATAGCAGGGGCAGTGCTGGGAGCTTTTCCGCTGCCTCCTGCACCTGGCTTCTAGCACTATGCAGGCACTACTATGCTTGGGAACCAAGCTCAGCCATAGTGGCTTCAACTTCCGGATCCTTGACTCATCCTGGGTTCTGAGAAAAGGCCAAAGGCCGTCTTCCAAGTCAGTCATTCCGGGCAGTGAGACCAGACGAGGTTTGTCACGGTAGCTAGAAAAGCTTTTTCAACTTAGTTTTATTTTTTAAGAAAAGCCCTTTTTTAAAAAAAAGAACTTTAAAAAGCCTTTCAAGCTACAGCGGGAAACCACAACAGTGGTGCAGCCATAGTCCTGGCCACTTCTCCCAGAATGCTTCACTCTGAGAAGGAGGACACCTTTAGCCCTTTCTCAGAACCCAGGTGAAACTGGAAGGTGGAGGCAGGCAGCAAACCAAGCACCATGGATGGCAGCCAGGCATTTCTGGAGGGCTCTGGGAAAGTATTCTAAACAATAGGGGATAAGGTGTAGAGCGCTTTGAGGGATGGATAGAATCATCCAAAACCTTTCTCTAATTTGGGGCAATTTCCAACTTTTCAGAAGCCCCTTGTGCTCCATCTCAGATTGTCCTTATCCTTCAGAGAGATTTTCTGGGAAGTGCACTTAAGTGCATAGGAGAGAAGAAATCATGAAACTTTAATAACTTAGGTTGGGATCCAATCCATTGAATTTAGCCCATATAAAGTATGGAGAAATTTTGACACTATTCTACCGACTTACTGGTCTAGAACACACTAAACCCCACTGAATTTGATAGGTTTTATTTCTGAGTAGATACACATAAATTGCACCATAAATGACAGAAAAGAAACAGCCCAAGGTTTCCTAAAACTATATATACACATTTCACAAATATATACCCCCCCCAAAAAAAAATTACCAGTAAATAACATTCCAGGCAAGGATTTCACCCCTTTGTTTCATTTCTCTTATGTACAGAAGGGGGAGCCAAATGCAAAAAAATGAAGGCCATGCATAGCCTTTGATTATATGCAGTGTTATTGTATCTGATTTTTTTTATTTATAGAAGCTTTTT